CAGGAACCAAATCAGCATCAAAGAAATCTTGAGAAACTGAAGAACCATGCGGACGTTTCACACTCTTTGCGAATACTCTCGTCAGCCAACCATTTTTGGGACCTGAACGAAACAATAAAGCCAGTCCACCAGAACCACTACTTTCCAAGTTAAGCAGCACTGCAATATCTTTAGCCCAACGATGTTGAGCAACAAAGCCATGTGCTCCATCCAACACAGGTTCTTCTGCACCATTAAATAGAAAAATAACAGGTCTATTCAACTTCAAAGACCCTGAAATGATATTATTCACGAGTTCCAACATGACACCACATCCTGCAGCGTCATCCGAAGCTCCAGGAGAACCTACAGCCGAATCCACATGACAATTCACCAAAACTGCATTTCTACTAGTTGGATACTGACAGATTCAACAGTAAGTTTTTCTTGCAATATAGCCCATGTTGCACTTACCATATACTTTGGCTGGATTCTCATGATAACATTTTCAATATCAGTATAAACAGTATGAAAGGTGAAATTACCCAGAGACTGAAGTTTTATTCGATAAGTACCATTGACAGTTTGTTTTTCAATCACTGCCTCCAAGTTATTTGCGACATCTGCTCCTTCCTTACGGTTCAAAATTTGCTCCAATTGATCCATGATATATCGTTGACCTTGTTCTAATCCTCTTGAACCAACAACTCTATAACCAATATCTGTAGCTAGTACTTTGACATGTGAAAGAGCTCGTTCACTGGAGAAAGTATGCTGAGGTGTGCTTTCTGCCAGTTTTGGCCTTGGACTATGAGATAAGCCCCAATATGCGATAGATATCAACGCCACCAAAAACAAGACGACTTTGAATACCTCGTCCTGAGTGCCGTGTTCAAAATCTTTTGACTCAAAACTCTTTCTTTCTGCTTCTTCACTTGTAGCCAATTTCACTGTAGTCTTCTTCCTCCTTCGAAGAAAGTTCCAATCGGCCATATTAGAAAAATTCCAGAATCCAATATCTTGTCCTGTCGACTATTGCTGACCTACCAACGTTTCTAGAGTAACAAAATATGAACGTTGTAAAGGGTGTTGGTACCGGCTTTATATGAATCATTTCGATAGTAACCTTGACATTATAGATACGCTTATCCCATGTCTTGTTCTAAGCTTCTCTTAGCATTACTGTCTATTATTTTTGAAGACACCCAGTCATACTAGAGGAGTCAAATTGCGCCGTGTCGCTAGTGCATAATAACTGCAATACAAAAATATAGTTTCAATGGATCACGTGTCGTTGAAATCTTCTATATCAGTCATTTCTCTAAGGACGAGTTTGACTAACATCAATTAGTGTGAGCGACAACATAACTCTCTATATACTAGACTTTCAACCTATTCCTTTATTTCTCTCTATCCTGGTCACTTACTAAAACGGCAATTTTCAAAAGAGACTATTGAAACCTCTCAAGGGCAACTCTTGAACCCATACACCAAAACACCAGAAGTCTATCTTCCTAGTCATTCCGTATCAACTAATGAATTTTTGTTCATATCCATTCTAATCTTACAAATGAGTTTGCATATTTCCCATGGATTTACTCAGGGAAATAAAGGTTGTAGACAATTAGCTACTCTATCAAAATAAAAACATTATATTCTGGATAGGATAAACTAAGTGGGTTGAAAATGACTTAAAGCTTCCATATATTTTTGCTCAGGAGTAAGAGATAAATGTTTACAAACTCTTTGATATTGCAGCAGACCGACACGTGTATAGTCACCTAATCTTCTTTTCATTTCTTCCAAGAGAAGGGGCGGTGCTGTGGAATTTTGGCTCCAACAACATGAAACAATCAAAGCTTCTATCAACTTGGCTGTCACTTCTAAACCTTGAAATTCCACTTGTCGAATAATGGCTTGTGGATCCTTTATAAACTCGAGGGCGTCATTGTCTTGTTGACGGACTGCTCCACAGGCCACTCGAACTTGTAACGTCAACAATTCGGTGGTGACAGGCACATCATGTTGTTTCATATCCTTCAAGACACGTTGGAATAGTTGAAAGTCTCCGGTTTTTGCAATTCCTCTTAAAGACCATTCATAAAACGAATAAACATGTTTTGATGATGCATTTGAACGACCAATCCTTAACAAGTGCATCAGAGTTTCTTCATTCTTACTATATCCTACTGAAAATAGCAAATTAACAAATAAGTTGACATCCAATTGCTGCTGCTTAGCCAAAGCTGTTTCAATTGTTTCAATGGCAAGATTCACTTCTCCACCTTGCGCATATGCAAAAGCTAATGCCGTTTGTATGGCGCCATTTTCTCTGCTAATGTTGGTCTTCTCTTCGTATTTGGAAAGGAATTCTAGTGCTTCCTTATAAAGACCTTGACGACCAAATGTTGCCACAACAAGAGCCACATGCACAGAGTCAATAAAGTTTAAGTCTCTTCTCATTTTATCCAAAATATCTACAGCAGAATGATGGTCTCGAGCAACAAATGCAGCTTGCATGATTTGTTCGTACATATGTTCAGATAAGATAAAGCCTTTGCTATATAAAGTATGGAACAGCACCAACAATTCCTTTGGCTTCCCACAACTAGCTACAAAATCGCAAGTAGCTTTAAGGTGATCATGGCTAAGAATGGAACGCGAAGATGTGCCAATGTAGTTTAAAGCAGAAATCAGGAATTGTATCCGATGAGGAATGTCGTTCCGGATAAGATATCCATAAAACTTTTCAAAGACAGAAGCTGTACGAAATATCCTAAAAGTTTGAATCAAACGCAGAGCAGTTTTTGGATCAGCATCTAAAGCTGATTCAAACCATAGCAAAACGTCAGTATGAGGAAAATTGGGGAAGGTGCGTAACTCATAAAATCGTAAATATAGATTAGCCACTTCCTCAGACTGACCAACTGAAGATAAATATCTTGCAATTTGACGAAAATTCTTTAAAGCAATGTGGTTCAATACCACATCATCTTTAACCAAATCCACAGCCTCGTTCCAGCGGCCGCTTTTGATGACTTCGTATATCGACTGATTTATTTCGTCTCTTTTTGCAGCTGAGAAAGCAAGTTTCTGCTTCCGAAACATAAGTTTAGAAGAAGAATTTTGTGTACCAACTTCCGATTCGTCCCCTTCTCTGTCTTCTGAAGAGCTTTCGGCACGTGCCAAAGTCGATGACATTAAGTTTCTTTTTGGAGCTGTGTATATTAGAAATGAACTCGGTTTCTTTAATAAGTTAATTGTGTCTGACGTCAAACTAAAAGCTTCCAGTTCTCTTGGACGACTATCTTTCACGTCGAATCTCGGTAAAACTCTGGACGACACCCAACAACAGCTAATCAGGTCGAAAACATTCTTGTTATAAGTTATCTTTGGAGAAGACAACCATAAAGAACGCGAAATAAGATATGAAGCCATAACTAAAAGGTTCAAGAAGAGGATACCGAGAGCAGCGGCTCCTTAACGAAACAAGCTGAAATCAATAATAGCAAATCAAGAAGAAGATTAAGATGTTATTGTAACCTTTTTCGAACGATTCCTAAGTAATCTACCATACCAGAACTTTCTAAAGTATTTTCTATTTCAAGTAAACCATTTTGAGATATAAAGATTCCTTTGGACTCCAAATATTGAAAAAATTCTTCTAAGTGTGAAATAACGTGACTTGGTTGCTTCAAACTCGAAAAGCTGACTTTGTCAGTTAGTGCAACATTGGATATCTCTTCTAAACTAATCATCTCTGCTGCCAATTGAATAAAAAGTTGAGCCATAAATGGAGAAACAGAGCAAAACTGGCTTTCTAAGAATTCCAAAAGTCTACGAGCACTTTCAAAATCCTTTCGTTCCTTTGCCCATTCCAATGCTAAACAATTAACTTCTTCAGTCAGCGTCTTCGAGCGTTGCAGCAAGGAAACCAAAAGACAAGGATTCAAAAAAGAACTGGTTTCACTTTGGGAAGACTTACAGAAGAAAAGCAACTTGCGAATCCATAAAGGTTGAATACGCTGGTTCAAAATACAAAGTCCATCTAAAAATCCATATAAAGCTTCCGAATCTTGTATATTGTCCACAATGATACCTAAGAGTTGCTCTTCTTTCATATACTTCAAAGACCATTCTTTGTTCTCCAACAGAAAAATCGCAATCTTCAGCATCGACTCGGATTTCTTCTTCTGTCTTTGTATAACTTGCTCATCTTCTACAAATATAATTTTGGCGCCACTATATTCAGAACAAAAGCTTAAAATTCTTTCAACCATAAAAGCGTCATTATTATCCACAAAAGGTTCCAAAAAGTTGGCAGGAATATTTAAAGTAATTCGCTCAGTTTGACAAAATTCCAACCATTGCAAAGCTGCATCTAAACGCTCTATATTTCTTAGTGTCTCAAGGACAGCGAAACCAAATTTGTCCTTTGTTCTTACATCTGCGACACTCAACACCTTGTATAATAAAGCACTACATCTTGCCTTGTCCCCAAGTAACCATAGGGCAGCCATACTATAAACATATACACAGGGTTTCAAGGCAGAACTTGTGAACATCGCCCAGTGGGGACATGTCGCATAGATATCATAAACTTTTTCCCACTGTCCAGAACACAATAGAACTTCCAAATAAACTTCAAGTTGCTCTGAACGTTCCTGAGTTTCTTCTTGTGCTTTTTTGTAAATAGAAGAACTTAATTGAGTTACTGTGGCGATGTTTTCAATCAGAAACGAAAAATACTTCTCAGGATCCGCCTTTTTAAGAGACAACACATCTCCGGTTTCTACTATCTTGTGTATACTTGGACCATAATAACCGAGCCTACTAGCTAAAGAAAACAGTGTCTCCTTGTCCTCCTTTGTTTTTATTTGCCATTCTCTCAACAATTTTCTGCCGTTAGTGGTGTCAGTTGCTGGCTTCCAGCGTAGTTTCTTGTCAGAAGGACTTGCATCTCTTACGGCATCTTGAGGCGTCACTGGAACTCTTTGTAAGGAATCTTCCGTTGTTTTACTTGCTGTTTCACAATTTGTATACAGTGTACGCAAGCTTTGTCTCTTAAGGCGACGAGAACCTGGTTCGTATAGCTGTTTCCATCGCAACTTGTTCCACATTGCCCAATAGAAAATACGTCATTATGGCTCACTAATATTTCTAGTGATTTTTCGTTACGAGTAGGGAACAATAAACAAGAGTTTATAATGAGCAGGGAATATGATAGATATCCTCATAAAACCTGGATTGAGTTGTACACTATTGTGCCAACATTCCTATCCTGTCAAAGCAAAGTTGTTCGTGTCAATAAGATTCCTTCTCAATGAAACTCAACAAATTGGCATTGTGTTGTTTCAAATTTGACCTTTTTGTTTAGACTCTTAGCATATCCATGTTATCTTTCAATCATCTCTAACAACCTGAGAAATGTCAATCATTATTATTGCTACCTGGAAACAAAACCCATAAATCCACTCTTCTACAACAATAGAAAGCCTGGAGGTACAGAAATGCATTCCTTTTATTGAGGAAATTTTATTTTGGTTACAATAAGAAGAGGTTGTTCAGTCTTTTTTGTTTGAATGGCAAGAGTGCATAATAGCTACAAGAAAAGATCCTTCAAGTAGAGGTTTTCATTTCTAAGTATAATTACAACAACATAAAACGATACACTTCAAATGTTTTCTTATGTTTCTTGATAGGATACAGAGCAGTTTCTTGAAGTTATCATTCCCATAACAACCAAAATACCAAAAGGATAACAGAAATGAACATTCATTTCATTTGGAAGAGTGTGCCTGGACGATTATGGAGGAAGAGCAAAACACAGCAAAGGGAACATCAAGTTCTGGCAACACAAAAGGTGTTGTTGAAGGTGAAACAACTTTAGCAAACCAACTGACTTTCAATCAATCACAAGAGACAGTTTCTACTGTTTCAAATGCAGGAAACCAGGCCGATGAGAGAACAGAGACGAGAGGAGGAGCGCCAAATACGAAGGAGCCTTCTCAGTCTGCCGAACCTGTTCAGAATAACTTATCTACAAAGTCGACAGCAAATCCTTCTGAAGGAAAAAGTACCCAACCAACTCCACCAGTAGTGAATCCTTTGGACCATCACGCTAACGAAAGAACTTTCAACTCTTGGTAAGTAAAAGTTGGCTACTATGACTTCTATTTATATTTTCTTAGGCAAAGAACTTCTGCTGCATATCTTGTGATTGGTATAGCACTAGCCAAATTTTTCAAAGGTCTTACAGCTATTGCTGGTTTCATTTTCTTTTTGATTGGTTGTGTCATTGTAGTTTTTGCAGCTCTTCGCTTTGAATCTAAGAGAAGGTAAGAATTGAATAGGATTCTGTCTATGTACCACTTTTTATTGAAACTTTTAGGCATATTGACAAGTTTGAATATCCTGCTGAGACAGTGGGTCCTTGGATAGTCACTTTGTGTACTGTTGGAGTAGGCGTATTGTCGCTGGCTGCTTTGTGGTTGGGAGGCAAGCCAGCCTTCATAAAGAACGGAAGGCTCTTTTTCTAACATTGGCGAGTGATGGATACATAATGTTATCAAACAGAGTTGCTACAAAGAATAATATTTGATGGCTTTTTTCCAACTTGATGCAAATTCGTTCTTGAACAGACAAAAATGGTTTGTTAATGGCCATTGATTACTCGATTTTGGTTGTTCGAAAAGCAGCTTGACTTTAAGTCATTTGTAAAATCTTCTCTTGTTATATTTAAATAGACACGATAGCTTGGGTGTGTTACTTCCATACTCAGCAAAAAGTCTTCATCTTTACAACTGGAGACAGAATTATTTTGATAAGACTCTTTATTTTCTTTGACACAAGTTCCGGAACAGAATATTGACATAGGATTATCTGCACGAATATATGTGTCTTTACTCCTTACTGGTGTTGCTTCATTTTCTAAAATGGCTACGTGAAAAAGGCTAGCTTCATAAACGTTGTACGACGTTAAGTAACTGATTCAAATTGTAGATAGTTGTGAAATTTCCGGGTAAAACGTCAGCCACACTTTCACTTCTATTGAGCCAGAAAACTTGAAAACCAAAGTTTGAAGCTCCAATCGCATCCCAACAATTGGAACTAATAAAAGCAACGTTCTGCCTGGGGACTTGAAACTTACGAGTGACTAGATCATACACAGAGGGGTGAGGTTTGTACACTTGAACTTCCGAAACCGAAATAAGTTGGTCAAATAAAGGGGCCACATTTGCGCAATCGACAAGGCTCTCGAGGGAAGGCAAAGTCCCGTTACTTAAGATGGCCGTGGTGAAGTCATTTTCCTTGAGTTGATTCAAACAGGACGGTACATCTTCATAACAATCCAATCTCTTGTATGCATCTAGTAGATTCACTTTGCTTGAGTCGTCTTGAAAACCGTGAACTTGTAGTGAATACTGCAAAGAGTCTGCCGTTATTTGATCAAAAGGAACGTAAAGACCCATCAAACTCCTTAGCCACGTATATTCAAGTTGTTTCTGTCTCCATAGCGCTGAAACAGAAGCATATTTGTCACCTAAAATTCTCTGAAACTTGCAAACTGCGGAGTGGACGTTGAACAACGTGCCATAGGCATCAAAAACACAGCAAGCAATCATTTGGAATATTATGGGAAAATGAAAATTTGAGGCACTGTATTTTAAAGACTATGACACGTGCGTGGCACGTGTCATCATATTAAAAAAAAGCCCCCTCCTGGCCCTAGGCCAGGGCGTAGGAGGGGGATGGGGGAGGTAGCAGCGTGTGGTGAAATGCATAGACTTTTCAAAATACAGAGCCTTACTCATCTCATGAGGGTTAGGTACATGTCTGAATAAGCACACTCTCTAAAAAGCCGCTCTTCTTCATGTAGCTAGAATGTCAACTAATTCATTTCTTGAGCTTTACAGAAATCCTTACAGAAAAAGGTTCTTCTATATCTACCTGATCAGTGAGAAGCCAGATACAAATGCTCTATCTATCAACTATCTCAAATCTCTGAATTTTGATATTTCATTATTGTTCTATTTTATATACACCGATCATTACATTTTATGATCGATTCAAATCCACGCATCGAGAAAATACCGGTTTTTTTATTATTCAAGTAGTAAGCTTATACTAGTGATTAAAATGAATAGGACAGCACAGCCCTTCGAAATATCTCCGACCCATGGAGAAGAGCTTTGACACGTCATTTGACCGCATGGATAAAGTTTTCAGTTGCCACATGGCAGATGAGAACCCAAACATTCGCTCTAGTAAAATTCGATTCTGTACCAAAAAAACTTGCAGTTGATAATTCTACTACTTACACTCACTCTGAGCATGGTTCACTCTTTCTACAAAAGCTATCTTGAAGTCTTGTGGTCTCTAAGATATAACGTCTCAGCTTGTCAATGACTCGTCGATGGATAATTAAAGTAGAACATCGAACCAACAGTTTTCGATATAGATAAAGAGTTTTTGCAAGAAAGAAAAACTTAGACTGTGTATCCAATATGCTTATGAAAATTGCCATGTTGTCTGCCTCAGATTATTACAACGCAGGCTATCTTTACAAACTCCTTTAGCTCTGAATGAATCATAGCCATTAAAATTTGAACCAGTTGTTTAACAACCAGTCGATCTATGTAGATAAAAGTTTTCATGTCGCGGCTCAAAATGACAAATGGCTACTCGTTTGATTCCTAATTCAGCTTCCCAACTCTGTGAACCCCAAACTGAACAATAAACTTGAGCTTAAAAGTCTTCGCAACAATAATATGATACACAGAAGTGAAAGCTTAGAGATATTTAAGCTCAAGAGAAAGTCAGAGGTACTGCAAAAGAACTTTTCTTCATCAAACAAGTTTTCTATGTAAAAACTACCGAAGTTGTCGGAGACACTAACTTGCTGATAAATCCAACCGCTTGAACAAATTGTTTATGGCAAATGTGCGAAAGAGTGAAACGGAATACTGAAAAGAAATTGCAGGTACAAGCTGTATACGAAAATACAAAAAGTACGTCAATTCTCCATTGTAACACTCACTCTTCTACTATAGTCCATTTGCTGACAGACAATTCTTCAGCTGGAAACTGAGTCAAGATACATTCAAACTCTTCGATGGACAGAGGTTTTCGTCTCCTAGGAGTGGCAAGGTCACTGCTAAAAGAAAGCCTTTGTAAGACTTCTTCTGCAGAGACATAGTTATCCATAACATCTTCATCTTCATCATAGACATACTCTGAAACAGAATCATCTATGCTTAAACTGGGTTTCTTGGACTTTTCTTGACGTTGTAACAGTGACTTTAGCAGCTGTTCCCAGCCCCTTCGAGTCCTTTTTTTCTTCATATTACCGGTCTTTTGTTTTTTTCTGCTCTGCCCTCTTAACCCAAAACAGGACCTGCCGTAGTTGTCATATAAATAGAGGCAGAAGTTCAGCAGCTGCAACATTTTGCAGTTTCTCTGTTTATTTACTCTATCCAAAAGACTTGAATTAGAGGGAAGAAAAACACTTCATCAAAAACTTCCGTGCAGTTTCAAACAAAAACTTTCCAACAACTGGACAAAATGAAGCAAATTGTGACAACTGGCAGCGACGGTCACAGCCAGAATAGAATGGACAAGGTCGGATGCATTTTGCATGTTCATCGAAATTCATAGACACGTCAATCCGCACCCTCCTAAAACCGATGGTTCAGAATAACTCTGTAATCTCGTCAAAGGAAGTTTTATTTTCTTAAAACTTGACTGGTGGTAGCTGCTCTGATAAAGTTCATTGTATTCGTTTCAGGTATTGTTATTTTCAACATTAATATGTAATTTTGAACAGTCTTTCTCCATTTTTATTCTTCTATTTTTCAGATACTTTATTTCAACTAGACTTGTTTATATCTGTTCATATATAACCCAGCTAGTTTTTTAGAATCTATTCAAAGTCAAATATTTTACTAACAAAGGCGCTTTTCATAATATTCATACTATTTTGACAATCTGTTATTAATGCCACCTTTATTACTTTACCCTTTTGAAAACTCAAGTGAAACATATGATTTGCTTTAAAAGACTTGTTCCTTAAACTTTATGACGCTTTCACTAGTATCCCTATTCTGTTCACTTCCACTGTTGTCGAAAGCTTCCATCTTCTAGAAATTCCATTGGAGAAGAATCAGTGGAACAGTTGGAAGAATGAATGCCTAGTGAGACTTCAAGTCGGAAACATTATGTCGTATAAAACTTCCTATCAGCCTTCTCCTCCACCACCACCACCTGTGTTTAATCAGCCGCCTCCTTCAGGCGGTTATTCAAACAATCCTAACGTTGTATATGTTGTTCGACAACCACCTCCTGGTCCAACAACTTACAGGTTAGTAACCAGTATCTTTTCGGTAGCACTGGTGTTTTGAGAGTTGTTTTTATAGTTCTTCTCCCGACACAGATGCACTGGCTTGTTGTGTAGCTTGTTTGTCTGCTTTGGCTTGTTTCGAGTGCTGCCTGTTAATTTAGTTGGATGGTTGCGAAGTGGTAGTATAGTTTTTTTAACTACAACTCCCTGAACTACCATCATAAGGATATTACGACCTATTGTATTGTTACTGGGACATAGCTACCTTGCAGTATTCTCCACTTAGGGATGGTTAGTTTTCGTATAAAGTTATTTCAGAAACTAGTAAACGTGTGACTGTTTGTTTTCTAGAACTCAAGCGTTAACGGATATTTATCTGTCGTTGTGTTTACACAACAGAGAGCATATTGTTTTCAACATATTCGAACACAACAAGAGATATTCAGCAAATTTATATTCACTATCTACGCAAGTTGTCTAAAATACAGTCGTATGTCTATTTCCATTCTACTAGTAAGTACTCGCTAGGTATCCAACGATATCTACTCCAACAACTCATCGACATTCCAGTCTTCAAAAGTTCCATCAGGTAAATATCTACGAATGGTAATTGGAATTTTCCTCTCTCGAAGTTCCTTTTCCAAACGTGTTCAATATATACAAGTATATTATATATAGTAAGCAGTGTATTATCATACCTTTTGGGCAATTTCCAAAGGATCCGTCTCACCTTCCAAATCCACCATAACTGGAGCACCTAAACTTATCTGCAAAGCCCTGGTCCCCAAAATTTTAGCTCTTTCATATTTCGTCAGAAACCTTGTCGTTATTCTTTTTTGGGTAGTCTCTTTGGCTTTTCTACAAATTATTGTGGGTTGTTGCAATCGGTTCTTTGCACAACAGAATACGGTAAGAAACACTTACCCTATTGGCTCCATTATCTGGTTCTCTTCATCTCTTTGCTAAACAACGCTTGGTAGGATTGTAAACATTACAAGTCTTTTTCCTTACCATCAACCAATCAACTTCTTCTTCCCTTTCCTCCGTCTCATCTTCTCGTTCATCAACATCTAAATTCTCCTCATCAAAGTCTAAAGTTGGTTCATCTTCTTCCTCATCAGGGAAACTAGTAGAATTGAGCTTCTTTCAAATAAGGAAGAAAAGTTGCTTACCCTGCCTCATATCCTTCATCATCCGACATGTCGTTGCTGCAACAAATGTAAAACTAAATTTCTGATTGATGAATATGTCGCCTTGTTGTGCTGTCGTCTACGCTTCCGATGTACCTGTTGCTCTTGTCAACCGCTTTTCCTCCATATGTGGCCATTTCAATCTAATAGAAACTGAACAACAATTGACAGAGTTTTTGTCCTATAGCGCTACTTGGTTGAATGGAAAAGATTTGGCTGTGGAGTTGGCTGACACTCTAGCATCCACAGATTCTCGTTGTTTTGTTTCAGCTCTAGTTGGTAGAGATCAGCGTAATTGGTAAATGTTGTTTGTTTTCACGAGTCTCAGTATCATGGGTTCTTATGTCTAATCAGGCATATCGTATTGCTGTCTTTTACACCTCAACGAAAATTCTGTTATCGTTGTTATAATACTGACTTGATGGACTCGCATCGTTGGGTAGATGTGTAAGTATTGTTTCCGTAAGTGATACAATATTTACTTTTATCATAGTTTGTGTTCCATCGTAGAGCAAGCTTTGTTGGAGAATCCTTTCAACCCCGAGGAAAAGAGTAATGATTGGCAAGTAAGTCATTATTTTTGTTATCCTATTCCAAAAAGTGGAAGAGAGCATATAGATGATATCGTTTGTATCACCTTTAGAACAACTATTCCGACATCAAGTTCCGTATTGTGTATGGTTACCCAAATATCAACGACTTTCATGTTTTCCGCGTTTCGATCAAGTCATCATTTTTCCAGGTATAATGTTGTTTTCATAATAGTATACATGATGAAGTTGAAAGTGTGAAAGGTTCCTTTCATCCATTGCATCGAGGCCACTTAGAACTGGCCAAAGTAGCGGAACAGTTGAGCCAACGTCCAGTTATCTTTGAACTTTCCATTCAAAATGCTGATAAAGGAAAGTGGAGTGAGTCTGAGGTGATGGAGAGATTGGCTCAGTTCAGTCGTGAATTGGGTTATTTTTGTGTGTTGACAATAGAACCATTGTTTTATAAGAAAGCCCAGGTGAGTATTACTCATCGAGTCATGAAATCCACTCATCTCTTTATTGCGTAGTTATTTACAGGAGCCTTTTTTGTGGTTGGAGTTGATACGGCCCAAAGAATGGTCGATTCCAAATATTACAACGATGATTATCAACAAATGATTTCGTGTCTACAACCTTTGATGGTACTTGTGTGGGTTTTGGTTATGAGTATCTTCTCTTGACATGACACAGGAATATGGTACCAAAATTCTGGTAGCTGGAAGAATACAAGATCCTTCTTCCAACACAGGAAGGTGTGTGTCCTTATTCTCTTCAAAGACCAACACTAAAAAGAACAAAGATATCTCACATTACAAGATATTTCCATACCTTGTACATTACAAAATTTATTTTATCCCATTCCACAAGTAATAATATGAATTGTATCATTCCTTAGAAGACTGAATGTAAGATATAGGAACTCTTTCGATGCGATATTTCTTCCACATTATTAAGAAAAGGCCAAAGCTAGTTAGTTGTCTCTACTCGTTCCACAAACGACAGTAACCAGTGATAACTTGGGTTGAATATATTTTTGGATGGCATCATTCACTTGTTCCAAGTTTAAAGCTTCAATCTTTAGAGGAAAGTCATCGATCCAATGGAGTGGTCTATCATTCATATAGAAATGAGATGATAACCAAATATATTTTTGGGATTACCTTTCTTGATCCAATGTCTGTATGATAACCGATGCAATACTTTTACTAGTCGCCAGTCCCACTTGAAAGTTACCTTGTATCGTTGCCTAGAATAGTAACAAACATAATAGGAAAAGATTCCTCTCAATTTCAATTACATGACTACCTTTTTGGCTTGCAATTCCCATTCTTCTATTCCATTTTGAACGCTATGATGAAACACATAAAATGATCACCCAAACCAATCTTTTCATTCTATCACTTACAAATGATCCAATTCTCTTTGAATAGCAGCCAATCCTTTAGAAATCAATGCCGGAGAAAAGGTTCCATGTATATTCCAATAACCATCAGCTCCATATGCAGTACCTCCCACTCCTCCATATATTCCATATGTCAGTCCTTGTTGTTCTCTTATCCGTTGCATCAAACCTAAAAACCAACTGGAATGATCCCTTAATACCTATTTTTAGGACTCTACTTACGACTGGATCCATTTCCACCCAAAATATGCATTGCCATCAATATGGCATAATAATCTGGATGACTTTCTGAAATACCAATAGGCTGACCTACCAACACATCTACGCTTTCTTTTTCAGGTAATTCAATAAAACGACGTATTCCTAAATACAATATTCGTCAACCCCATATAAGTATGATATCCAACTTTACCATCGGGTGGAATAGACTTTGCATAATACAGCTTTCCTTCTTTGCTGTTCTCAAAATAGTTTAAAAATTGGTTTCGTTTCCAATCGCCAAAATATTGGCAAACTTGTGTTGATAACACCTCCATAGGAATATCACCAACAGCAACCAAACGTAAACCACCAAGACCATATCTATCAAAGACACTAGTTGAGAAATAGAGTCTCCGATTTTCATCAACTTACTTGCTATGAAAGTCTACAACGTCATCACAGGTTACTCGATGCAAAGCTTCCAAATAGTCTTTCGATCGATATACATAATTTGGATGTCCAAAAGGATACATTTCAGCAAAAAAGTGTTCTTCTGCTACTTGAGTGGTATTATCTTTACAAGACTCTATTTCATCTGCGAGCCTACTGCGTACCATTTCGAAGTCTTGTGGCAAAAAGATGGGAAAACGCAACTTGAAAATATATATATCATCAATAATACGTTATCCTTCTTTCAAGAAAACAATAACTTACCTGTTCTGATAAAAGAGATAATACCAATGACAAGTTTTCCTTTAAACAAACAGCTTCAAAACACAAACGTCGACTCTGACTATGAAAGGATATTCCTGCACCCACATTTTGTAACATTCTCGATATTTCATATTTATGCTCATAATGCTCAGTTCTCTGGATACTTTCCATGAGAATTTCCATACATCTCTCTATCAAGCACTCAACTCACCAAACCCAACATTTCTACCATCACATCGGAAAGCACGAGATTATTCCAACTTCCTTGTCTACCATGTTCCTCACCTCCTATCAAAGAACCTTTTATTCTCACAACTTGTCGAAGAGATGTCTTCATAACAACAAGATTGATTCCATCACAGGGCTCCAAAACAACTACTTGAGATGCCATTTGTACTTTGGGATGTTGAACCGTTTCTACAAATATCATTTCCTTATTTCATCAAAATATAATCCTAACAGCTTACGAGGCAAAAGTATCCATGGATGAGTTGATGAGGAATTTTCTCCAGAATGTGATAATGAAGCATGTAAATTCATTCTATGGAATGAATGCGATTCCTCTAAAGAATGGCTGTCATTCGATTCTTCCAAATGTAATGATGATGCTTGTTGGGGTTCCAACCATCCAACTGTACTTTGATTGGAAACAAAATATTTCTTTGTTACCCTTTGAATATCATCGATACTTATTTGTTCCATATATGCATGCAATTGAGTCATATATTTCCAATCTCCCATAGACATTGCTTCATTCAAGTTTTCTACAAAACCTAAAGTACCATCTCTACCATAATACAAACTAGCATTCATACAAGTCTTTGCAGTGGCCAGTTCTTCCAAAGTTACTCCAGATTGCTTGATTGCCTTTATCTCTTCTAGAATTTGTTGTTCAACTTGGGCAATGGATATTTGTTTACCCATACAAGCATAGATGAAAAACAGACCAGGATCCCTATCGGAGCATCATACTCGTCCTATTCTAGTGTGATTACTATTCTTTTTTACTTACCGAAAAGAACTTTGCCAACCATTGACAACAGTGACCATACCAGAATCCACCAGTCTTTGATAAAGCCTGCTGTTTTTTCCATGAGATAAGATATTTGCCAACAAGGATAGACAAAGAGAGTCTCTATGCATTCCACGTGGACTCTTCCATGCCATTCCTATGACAGCTTCATTTGCTATTCTACGTACAACCAGCCTACGAGGACCTTTTTGTGGAGGTTCTTCCGTAACTTGTTGAGGAATAAGCAACTTGGAAGGTGCAATATCTCCAAAATACTTGGCAATCCACTGCAATACTTGTTCTATTTGAATATCACCTACTAATATCAATGTTGCATTGTTAGGATGATAGAAACGTTGATAAAACTTTCTTAATCGTTCTGCATGACTATTTTCCATATCCCAACGCCAACCAATAGTTGGGTGATGATAAGGATGTGCTTGAAAAGCGGTTGCCCAAATCTCCTTATCCAACGTTGCTATAGGGTCATTTTCATCATTCTCATATTCATTTCGAACGACCACCATTTCTTTGTTCAAGTCAACTTGTCTCAACAAAGCACCGTGCATTCTATCTGCTTCCATTTTCAATGCTTCTTCTACATACTCTTTGGGTAACAGTTCATAATAACTCGTTCTATCCAACCAAGTGTTCGCATTCACTATGGCACCTATATTCTCTAACAAAGTGTTCATAGCTTTGCCATTCTCGCGATGGTAATTCTTAGATCCCTTAAACAGCAAGTGTTCTAATAGATGAGTCGATCCTGTTTCTCCTACTGATTCGTTTCTCGATCCCACTCGATAAGTTACCATAACTGTGGCAACGGGAGCAGTGGAATCTGTTTTCAACAACACTTGTAAACCATTACTCTTCAAACAGTACTCTTCTATTCCATCGCAAGTCCATAGTTTTTCAAACGCTGATGAACAAGGTTGAATAATTTTGGAACTACTTGTGTATTTTTGTCGTGGAAAAGTAAAGCAATAGGGTCGGTGTCCTCCTATCCAGTTGGTTGTTGAGGTGATGGGTTGTCCACCATATTTCTTATGATGGGAAATAAATAGTGTCGTTGTTTTCAATAGTCTTTGAGAATATGTTCTTTTCCAGTTTGTTAAACTACAAAAACAGGCCATCTACGCTTGTTTGGCTATGATGAACAGAATAACATCGCCCGATCGGTTCTCATTATTATTATTATTATTATTATTATTATTATTTATTCCCAACTACTTGAAATAAATGATCTTCATCTCCTGCAGCTAGTTGAGGAGTTTTCAATTGTGGTGTGGTTACCTATGAAATGAATCATTATCATCATACAAAAAATAAACCATGTTATTACCTTTTGGTCTTTCAAACTAGGTCGCCCTTGATTCTTAAAGAACCGAATCAACTCAGACTGCAATGCACCAAAAGAATAGCAACCGTTCTTCACAAAAGGTTGAACCCACAAAGAAAGTTCATGAACCATACTTGGAAAACGTTCATCGCACAAGATAATCGCACCAAAATCTTTTTCATGTCGAATCACTCGACCTATTGCTTGATTCATCGCACGAAGGGCTTCCAATCGATACCAACGTTGTGGATTATTCTTTTTCACAGTAGATAAATAATGTTGTTTCATTTTCACTTTGCGTTGTTGTAAAGGAGGAAATGGAATACCCACTAAAATAACTGCTCTAGCATATTCATCAGAGAAATCAATACCTTCACTCATGCGTCCTCTACAAACTCCAAACAAAATACAACCACTTGCCCTACTATCCACTTGTTCTTGATAGTGACGAAAACTTTCCTGGAATTCCTTCTCTTCTTTGGATTCCACAACCAATGACTTGCGTCTATAAATAGAATCCCAAATAGAAACAAAATCTTTAGATTGGTCACTCGTTTGCATAGAATAGGTTTTCCAATATTCGACACAATCCATTAGCAATTGATAACTCGGGAAAAATACCAACATTCCTCCAGGAATAACCAAAGAAAAGTTATATATACATCGTCCCAATTCTCTCTTGTAAGATATCAAACTTCGGTTGCGATAACTACTATTCAATACTTCTCCACTGGGACCTAAACCCAACATTCCCACAAATAATTGATGTTGACTTATGATATGTCGATTCTCCAACTGAATAGGAAAAGGAATCTGCAACTCACTTTCTAAGAATGATAAAGGACTCAAAGTGCCACTTGTCAATACAAGGCAACGAACTCCTTTTACAAGTTGTTTCATAACGACACCAGGATTAAAGCACCAATAACTCAAAGTGATTCTTCTTCTTGTTTCCTCCGTTTTCTGTTCTCCATAAATACAAACCACATAGGAAAGACGAGCTTCTTCTTCTGACAATTTGAATAACAAACGCATATACTTTAGAAAGGTAAATACGGCATCATTAGAAGAACTTTGAAAATCTACCGAAGATTCAAAGTCACTGTGCTGATCACCAAAGAGTTGCTCAATCTTGGATGAAAAGGCATCGAATGTTTTTGGCGTAAGATTGACTTTAGAAAGCAGCTGAAAGAGAAAACTTGGCTCATAAACCAACTCATGTGCAGAAACGCCATCAAGTAAATGATGCATGTCGTTCAAAAGTGTTCGAAACAACGCTAACAATAATGAAACGGCATCTTGAGAATATTGTTGGATACTTGAAAGGTTGTCTCCTTTTGACTTGACTCTTTGAAGTTGATGAATACAAGCATCCAATAAGCTAGTTGTTAACTCAAAACTTGCACAATTGGCCGCTATATCTTCTATATGATGAGCTTCATCGAATAAAATAATATCGTTGGAAAAATCCATTCGCAGAGACTCTCTTAAATGTAAATCCACTAAATAGTTGTAAGGCAAAAATATGAGTTCGCTTGTAGGTTCCCGTTCTTTCGCAAGATAATAGGGACATATCTCTTCTTTCTTCCCGAAATTCACCCAATCTTCCAAGTCGAGGATCTCATCTGCCATTTTTTCATATTTATAGAAATTCTTCAAGTTATTTCGATATTTACAACCTTTTGATTCACAGAGTGAACGACAGAGTCGATTCTGTTCCGAACCTCGCAAGTGAGATACTTGTGGATGAATACAAAGTTGTTCTCTCGAGCCCAGGACAATCACGCTTGGTCTATATATTGTCTTTCTCAATTGATCAATAGCTTGTGCCAACTGACTATGTGTACGAGAAGTGTATATTATTCTTGGAGTAGGTTGAATGCCTTGGTTTCCACCAAGACTTTGAAAAAGGTCATCCAATGTGGCTCCGTCGTCATTCTCCAACGCACGTTGATTCTCCTTTCCAACTGCACGTGAAAGACTTGATTCCAATCCTTGAAAGAATTCAGCGTCTGAATGATGAAGAGATGACGACTGTCCTTTGGAAATAGTTGACAATTGGCACTTCGCAATAAACGACTGTCTCCAAGCCAAAGTACTGCATAGTAAACAGAGTGTTTTCCCAGTTCCTGTAGGACTTTCTAACATGGCGTGTTGACTTGTTTGAAGTGCTTGGATAACCTTTTCCATATAGTCTCTTTGAACAGGATAAGGTTGAAAAGGAAAGGCAACTTCAACTCCTAAAATAGCTACCATTTCAAATGGGACAAAACACACATTTATTATAATGCATCAACATATCATCATTCCACTCAATCATTTCTATTATAAATTCCTTTATAAATGATCCGAAATATTGGCGTAGTTTGTGGATCACCCAATGGCATGATATGCTTTCCATAATTTTCATTGATAAATAATGCCATTGAGAAATACCATCCATTGGCAGCAACAAATAAACCAGCCACTCCAGGTGCTGTGGTAGAAATGACACCAAAAGAGGCAAAAGATTGGAGAATCAGCTGCACGTCAACCATGAATATCAATATGCATAGCGTCAAGTTGTGATTGAATGTTGCTAACCACAGATAACATGTGAGGATTGCATAACCTACGGCCAAAATACCTATCGGCATATTAACATCATCACCGAATACCAACACTCCCTCATTTTCCAAGGTAATCAAAGTTGCCACGGCTATCCAAAAGGCTCCATATGAAGTCAATGTTAACAGACCAAATGTGTTCCTAGTGATAAAACATAACAATCCAGTCAATAACTGAACTGACCCTCCATAAAAGAAGGCTGGTCCTATAACTCCTGAAGCTACGGTGGAAGGCAACAAACCGGCATTCACTGTGCTTAGGATAAAGTCGGTGCAACTGAACGAAGCTGCACCGAGAATAACAGGATTAGGAAAAGCAGCGGGTGCTATTGGAACAGCTTTCTGTTGGGATTCGATATCATTCAGCTTTTTAAATATTCCATAGGTACTATCTCTTTTCTCTTGTACAATCTCTTTATAAATGGATGAGATACAGCAAAAGAATCTTCAACATTATGCTTACCATCGTTTACTGCATTGTTTTCTTGGCTGTTGTCTTTCATAATTGAAGCACAAACTTCAAAAGGAAAACAGAAGGAGAAATGCAAAGATATGAAATGGAGTCTAGAATTTCCATTTTGCCCAAACACAGAAGAAATTCATCGATCACGTGAATCCCCGAGATCGTCAAGGGAAAGAAATTAGGTCGAGATGAGAAAATGGATCATTTCTAATCCAGAAAGGATGATGGAAGAAATTGATGTGATCTATACAAGAGATTATATGAATATTTGAATACTACTGGGAGCATCAATTTCTTTCTACATATAGACCATAAAGAACGAGCTACAACTGGACGATATAAAAACCTATAGATTATATCGAAGCAACAACATTCCAAAGCTTTATTCTAGAACAAAACAACTTCCTATTCTTCTTCGTTCTGAGGCTGTGATGCATTTTGACCATCATCTTTCTTTTTAGATATTCCAGATACGATATCATCAATCCTTAGCAATAATGCAGCCGACTCCACAGCGGTCTTTATCGTCTGTACCTTTACCGTGTATGGTTCCCAAATCTTTAAGAATGCAACATATTCAATACAAAAATAGCTATTCTTCCTGATAACTTACTCCATATTGCGACATGTCCACAATTTCCCCAGTTTGGCCATTCACACCCCAGGGTGTCTCCTTTCCAGAAGCATATTTTGCACGGAGTTCAGTCAAGGCTCTCACTACATTCGCGCCACAGTTTTCCTATGTTTCAAAAAATTGAGAAAATGGAAAATATTTCCATAACTGCTACCGTATACCAATAATGTCCTTGGTATCACTTCCATCGCTTGTGAAACTGCTCTGTATGGAAACTGAATGACTCCTTCCAAAGATTTGGCTTTCTCTCCCAATGCTTTCGAAACAAACATTTCGGTAGCTCCTAGTTTCATGTACAATTACTATCCAGCAAAGTTACAACTGGTTTAAGTTACCTCCTCCTGGGACAATACGAGGGTCTCTCATGATATTTCTAGCAACGCATAAAGCATCCTGCAAATTACGTTCTATTTCATTCAGAACATCCTTTTTTGAGTTGAGAAATAAAATATCAAACGTCTTCATAACATTAAGTACCTTACTAGCTCCTCTTAATAAAATAGTACAGGCCTTGGGAGAAGCACATTCCGTGATAAAAGTAAAATACCTACATGCAATCCAGTCAGTGCAAATATAGACAAACGATTCAGAAATTATTTTTCCAGCATTATCCATAGGAAGAACGAAAGTTAGTGTGGAAAAATAAATTCATCATCTTTTCTTTAACAAATCTGAAAAATACTTACTCATCGCCAATCTTTTTCACTTCGAACAACCCTGCGATTCCCAAATCACTTTCCTATAAATATAAAAGTAAGAAACTAAATGATATCAAACGAATCTCCCAACCTTTGCTTCTTCTGCTCTTGATACTATAGTAGCTCCTGTAGCTTTAGCAATTCGATTATTTTCTGTCTTCTTCACCCTCCTTATGCATGAAATATTGGCTTTCATAAGATAGTGTTGTGCCAAGTCGCTAACACCTTTCTCTGTAATAACCAAGTCCGGCTGTAACTTACAATAAGTTCTTGTAGTAAAGCTATTAGAAAAAAAGACCAACCTTGAGTTTCACTATCTCGCTGCAAAGTTTCTCCACGTATGTTTCCTCCTGCTTAAGTAGAGCCTCCCAATCACTTTCTTTTGCAATCTCCACGTTGGCTTGACTCTCCAGCTTGGTATACTCAAGAGGACAGTCAAGAAGTAGAATCTTCGGGTTGTTTATCTTTCTGCGCATCTTTGGATGTGTCACATCCTTATCAAACATAACACCGCGAAGAACACATGAATCTTCCACTCCTCCTCCTGGTACCTTTTCTATTCTTGCATAATTCTTGATATCGATAACTTTGTGGCCATCTACTTCTGTGGCGATCGTCCTTACAGCCGTGGAAGCCAATTCACACATAAGTTCCTTATGACGTGACATATACTTTGTTCCAATACAGCTCGCGATGACGTTGTTCACTGCTTTGTTATCGTTTGGATCGATTTTGGTTGCAAGTTTATCTATAACCTCAACGGCATCATCGAGTGCTTTAAAGTATGCATTCACAACGATTCTCGGGTGAATACCTCGCTCTATGAAGGGTTCCGCAACACTTAACAATTCTCCTGCTAACACTATGACTGAAGTTGTTCCATCACCAACCTTTTAGTATATCTGTTATACACTTCTTTCAAATTGAGAGCGATGTCTTCCTACCCACCTCTTCATCCTGTGTTCTCGAAAGTTCGATCATACTTTTTGCAGCTGGGTGGGATACGTCTATTTCTCGCAAAACAGCGTTTCCATCGTTAGTAAGAACGATGCCACCCATAGCATCCAACACCATTTTCAACATAGCGCGTGGTCCTAACGTCGTACGGACTGTATCCGAAACGGCCTTGGCAGCCGTGATGTTGCCAAGTTGTGCCTTGTGGCCGCTTTCTCTCTTTGTTCCCTCTTCTATTAAAAAGTCAGTATGCAAGGGAATCGCGGCAATCCAACTTACTCAGAACTAAAACGGGTACTTGAAACATTTTGCGTCAACGATGCAATAACAGCACAACCAAACTCTCTTCAACTGAAAACGAATGAATGGAAGCTTCCGGAATTGGCGCCAACCGAATGAATGATATGTTATCTTCTGCGCTTCATATGTGTACAATGGCAGATGAAAGGTACCAAGGTTTGAAAAACTTTTACAACTTTTAGAAAGCTATTCATTCAGATGACGTAAAATTTTTGCTTGGTTTCAATGATTTGATGACAACCGTCTTCATAAAAACCTTACGAATATTGCGTGATAAGGAAGAATGACAGCACTCGTTTATCTAGAGGCTACGTATTTCTGCCTTATACAATTCAAGGCATTGTATTTCGAAGGTTGAATGCTTTTGGTTATTTTATTTGAAAGGGAGGCTTTGCAATGTCTCCTCAACTCTTTTTCTTACCTCGGTTGGTAATCGAAGCTTATATGTGAATTGGCTTCACTGAATATGCAATATTTACAATTTTTTGAGTAAACAATGAGTTTGGATATTTGCTAAATGAAGTTTTGTAATAAATCTTTAGCATTACATTTGTATTGGTTGGTATATACCGTCCATTATGCCGACGTCCCGTAGAAGAAAGAATGGTAAGGGAAGTACACCATAAACAACCGTAAACAACTCATTCACTTCTTTTAGGAATAATTAAAAAGCAAGCTAAAAACAGACGACAATCCAATGCAGATATCATAGAAGCCGTGACGAACTGTTTACAAGCTTACAAGAGCATTTACATCCTCAACTTTGACTGTATCAGAAGTTCCATAATGAAGGAACTTAGAAACAACTGGAAAGACTCTCGTTTCTTTTTTGGTAAGAACAAAGTAATGAGATATGTTTTGGGAAAAACAGAAGAGGAAGAACCCTACAAAGGACTGCATCAATTGGCTCCCTTTCTGTCGGGAAATATAGGAGTTTTGTTTACGAGTAGAACAAGAGATCAAGTCCACGACTTTTTTGACAATTTTATTGTAAACGAATATCCAAGAATAGGCTCAAGGGCACCTCGAGATGTGGTATTGAACGCGGGTCCTGTGGATATTCCCGTAGAGCTGGAGCCACGATTGCGGGAGCTCGGATTACCTATTCAAGTACAGAACAACGAGATATTTTTGACGAGTGATGTCCCACTTTTCCAAGAAAATAGTGTTATCAGTAGAGAGAGTGCGAAAATTTTAGAAACGTTGTGTATGCCCATACTGGAAGCACGAGTCGAGATTGTCGCTGAATGGGACTCGGAATTCGGTTTTTCAGCCAATGAACGATAGTGCAGTCGTCTTTTTATCATTTACAATATTTACATAAGAGTAATTTGAAAGTTTTTGAAGTATACCTCAAATTATATCAATATCCTCATATGATAGTCACATGTTTGTGGCATTTCGTATCAGTTTGTTGTTTACTATTATAAGTTGGTTTTGAGATGACAATAAATTCTTGAATGATACAATAACTAACCGCAAGAGTCTCATATAGTTTAGGACTTGGATTCCCACCATTTTAGACTCAAACAACTTGTCTCTGTGCCGACCCACTTGTCGTTCTTAATACTTTAGATAAATTGTATCTAGCCAAACAGGAAGACTAGATTCAACTGATAATAGACAATAATTTTTTATAAACGACAGCAATCAACTAATATATATATATATATACATATACATTCCTGAAACTGCCTTTATGTTTCAATTTTCAGAACCGTAAACTGAAGTAGGACAAATACGGACAACTACAACTCCAATAATATCATATCAACTTACAGATTCGACGGAACTGCGTCTTTTCATAATCATCATCACTTCAGTACTGAAAGAAAACTTGAAAGACTCTTAGAATTGTCCGACGTCACCATATTTCAGAATTGTTCCACAATTCACGTTTCCACCATCAAAGAGGAAAAGATTGTACTTTAGCCACTCTTTGTTATGCCAATGAGCCTTGGCTTTTCTTTACGGTTACTGGCCAATGAACCTTCTAAGAGTTGGCTATTGTGTCGCCAAGAGCCTGTAGTTCCTTCTTCTGTCTTTCAGAACTCAGCTAAAGTCCGACATTCGATGATATACGGGTCCAAGCTTCGTATACTAGACTTGCTGGTTCGTCCAGTTGGCGTTGTTAACGGAATATTGCTTGGATATGTAAGACAAAAGCGATGTTTATCTCTTGGCAACTAACGGAAAGAAATCTAGTCAGTTGGAAACTACCACGCGGTTTTTAGTAAGCAATTTTTTCCAATAGACGTCCCACATTGTCGAAGGTTTGCACTAAACCTCAATTCAGGTGAATTTATGGAAGTAAGTGAGATTCGCAATCACTTAATTGTTTCGACTCACATATTTTGATGGCTAGGTCCATTGGTATCCAGCGGCCAATCAGTGTCTAATATATTGGATGCACTTGTCCAGTAGTAGCGAACGTTCGCGGCACTTTGTATTATACGAATTACCTCCTCCAGGAAGGCTACCAACCAAGCTTTTAAAATGTGTGGAACTTTTTATTCAACGTGAATATTCCGCATATGATGACGATTCCAAAAAGCAACAAGACGGGATAAATGGAGAATGCAATAAAGATCACCTCACAGAAGAACAGGAGAGACCATTCGCTTTTAAGGGAAATAAAGATTCTTTGAAGCGGATGGTCGGTATTTTTCGAGGTACTGGACGCAGAACTACTTATGACCCTGTACATCGAAACGTCACAGAAGACTTTACTTTTCCATACTCACAAATCACTTACTTTATACAGGAAGCCAATGAGAGTATAGACGCAGAACGTCAAGGAGCAGTGGAGCCTCCGTTGTTTTCACTAACGATACCCGTAGTTTCCACTAGTGTGGTCACTGGTATAGTTGACGAGTTTTTGAGACAAGAAGATTTACATCTTCAGGTAGCAGAGGGAGATACTACTTTGAATTCTTTAAGAGAGCGTATTTCTCGAGAGAGACGATGGCGACAAAGACTTTGCCGAAAGTTCAAAAGGAGTAGAACCTCCTCGCATTCAACAGATGACTCTCTCGTGATTCCTGTTGCTTCGCACAAGGCTGCTTTTCATTTAGGTCTTTCTATATCGAGTCACTTCTTTTCAGAGAATGATTCTTGTTGGACGTCATTGATAGATGATGGTGAGTTAGGAGACCGTATTCGTTCTTTGCAGACTTTATCTTCTGGCTTGTGGATGTTTACTCGTGCTGGCGAGACCATTTTTATTCCTTGTTCGAATCAAGTCAAACGCATTACGGAAGAGTTTGGTCCTCATCATCGAAACAACAAACGAAAGGTTTCTCGCATTGGAAACGGTGAAGTTACAGAAAGTACTATTCCCAATAATGCGACAGCCATGGGTAGTTCTTTATCTGTAAGTTTATTTTATCACTCGAGTTGTCTTATTATTATCTTATTCTTTAGGCTGCCAGCGAGGAGTCTGGAAATCAACAACATGGAACGTCATCAACTTCTGATGAACAAGATAGCCGTCGTGCACTATTAGATAAGATAAATGTATTGGAATATCAGAATTCCTTACTTGTTCAACGAGTTCAACAATTGGAACGTGAAAGGGAGTCAAAGTCCAAGTTGAATTTTTCACCTGTTATAAAGTCTCCTCATGTTGAACCCAAAGAGTCTACAAAAGTGGCGACACCTTTTGATTATCATGAAGAGTTGAACCGTATTCTTCTGAATATAGACACAGAAGTACACAATCAATGGGAGTGGGTTGGTTCTAATATGGATGAGCAGGATTTTTTCTTTTGACGATAGGCATACTCTAAAAGGAGAGTAGGATAGAATGGGTTGTAATCCATCCGTTGGATTTCTTTTGTATATATGTAGATGTAGATATCTATAAATGTATTACATTTGTATGAGAGAAGAGATCGTATTTGTTGACGTGGCCATTTGATAGAATATCATCGATGAGAAAGAAAGAAAGAGAGAAGAGGGATCTTGTGCCTTGGACATGCCAACGTCATTATTAGGACGCAATCCTTTTCTCAAAAGAGCGAGGAAAGAAAATGAAGAAAGAGTATCTTTGGAAGTTTCCAGTTCCCCAAAACCTGTTCAAAGTAGTGATCAGGCAACTTGCGAAAAAAAGTTCCAACAACCAACGGAACATAACCACCTTGTGTTGACAGAACAGGAAATCGACAATATACTGAACGACACAGATCCTCCACCAGTAAACACTACCAACGATAATAAGTATGCTATCAAAACTGTGGCTAGATTAGAGACTGTCAACCAACAAAGATCTTCCTTGTTTTCCTTTCAACAACACACGGAAAACGATCTGAGAAAGGTTTGGCGTGTAAAGAGGAAGGCTTCTAAAACCAAAGTGGAAACAAAGGAAAATAGCTCAATTCAACAAAAAGTTGGTTTTTCCGTTGATAACCTTGGTAGCAATCACATTCCACTGAAAGCAGAGTTGGTAGAGGAGCCACAGAAAGAGACAACAAGTATAAACGACGAAGGTAACTCCGAAACACCACAAAATGGGGTTGCAGAACAGTCTACACTTTCGGAAAAGCCTTGTTTGAAAGCGAAAAGATTCTCTCCCAGAAAACTTTCTCTTATAAGAAACTATATAGATACATTGAAAAAGTTACAAGATAATCAAACCACACATGTAGCAGAATGGGGAAGAAAGAGAATGAAACAATTGATAGAAGAACTACGAACTAATTCACAGGATGATGTGCAATCCACAGAAAATGCAAGTCAAACTTCATTCAGCAATATAGAAAAGGATATAGTTGAAGTTGAAAGCATAGGCGACCTTACACATATTTCCAATTGCTCAACACCCAAAGAAGAAAATTCTTCCAACATCGATAATACCATCTTTTCAAGTTATTCTTCTCTATTGGACAAAGAAGGAAACAATTCATCCAACATTTGCAACAAAGAAACCGATACGTTGGAAACATCTTTTGCTGACTTGGATGCCAATACTATTGAGAAAATAGCCTATTTTCTACAACAACAAGAACATTCTCTCAGGTATCTCAGAACACAACATGTTACTCAAAGGAGACTTCTCAAAGCATTTTTGGAAGATGCTTCTGAGGAAAAGTTGGAAAGTGATTTCTTTGTTCAACATATTCATCAATTTATCTCATTATCTTACTTGCCTAATAATAATACAGTGGACTCCCAAGTTCAGATGGAGTCTTCCATCCAGTTAGGAGGGTCTTCCATTTCGTGGTCCGGTTCTTATGATTTTGCTTTACATGCAATGAAAGAATATATATTGGAATATCCAGCAGTTTTTGAAGTGTCCTTTCCACAAGGTCGTAAACAACAAGTCGCACAAAGAGCTTTGTTTAGTTATTTGGCTTTTAATCCTTTGGCAAATGGCATCGGAGCAAGACAAAAGGTAGTTGAATACTATCGAAAATATCAATCGATGCGACAACAAACGGAAAATGGGAATGGCAGTATTCGGATTGAACGTCTGTTGGAACAAGCAATGGAACAGCGCTCCTCAAGTCATAAGAAACAACCCATCTTTATTCCTTACGCAAAGGATAGAATACCCTTTGATAAGGAACCCGTTGCAAAGGAGTGGTGTATCAAAGTCTTGATGGATAAGAGAAAGCCCGAACATGAGATTCCATCGGTTTCCTATTTGAGTGAATTGGTGGAAAATGCCAAACAGCATTCTCCTCATATGTACAGTTGGTAAGTGTTTGAGTTTCTTTTGTATCATCATTATTGATGTGAGTATAGGTATGAAGACTTTCATTGTCTTATTCATGAATGCTGTGTGAAAGACATGTCTGAAACTCAACTCTTTCTTTCTTGCTTGGCTACTTGTTCACCCAATTCTTCACTTGCACAAAACACGGTCAATGCGATGTTGAATTTTCGAGCTCTAAGCCAAGGCAAACGTCCACGTTGGGGACCTTATCCGATGCGAAGTTTGATCAACTACTTGGCAGGAGCATTGGGAAGACCATCGGGACATAAAGTTCGAGCTTTCTTGGAAAATTTATTATTTCCATTGCAAAGCAAAAGTGTAACTATCGACACACATATGCAGAAGATTGCATTGGGAACAGGTCGTCAAAGTCTTTCTCCCTTGGAATATGCTGTTTTAGAGGATTACTTTCGATTTGTGTCGGACAAAATGTCTGAAGCATTACCCCATCGTCTTCAATCCTCTTTATGGTCAGTCGTAGCTGGAAATATGGATTACTGTTCCGAATTAGAAAACTATCGAAAGAGAGTTATTTTGAATCTACCAAAGGAAATGGATTCTTCAGCACGAGACATTTTATTGCTTCATTTACGTCGAATGCTTTTAGAGTTGGGTTATTTATCGAGAAAAGATTGCGATACTGCCAAAGATAACGCAACGATTACATTTTGGATATATGTTCCTTTGAGAAAGGAAACAGTGAAAAGTTTAAAAGGTCACATTGCATTGCGACGTACGTTTGCAAAGAAGCAGCAACGGCAACTTCTTGCTCAAGAAGAACAAGAGATAGCTGAATATGAAAGAGCCATTGAATATTGTATGTCAAAAGGAGAAGAAGAAGTGAAGATTGACAATCCATCCGATTTGAAATGGTTTTATCGAGACTGGTGTCAAATTCAGTCTTATTGTGAACCTGGTAAGTTGCATTGGAATGAAACCAGTTGGTTGGATGGCATAACAGATGAGAATATTATTTCTCTCAAAGACGATTGGTTGGACCACGAAGATCCTTATTTTGGTTCTCACCAATATTTTGATTCTTGTCGCGACTTGCAAATCATTTTGCAACGCAATGGATTATGGAAATGATTTTGAATTGGATTGTGTGGAGCTGAAACAGCATCTCCCAACTTGACTCTTTATGTTGTACAGTCTAAAGCAAACTCCTCCCTTGTTGTTTTTTGTCAATGTTTGTATTTCCAAAAGATACTTGAATAGTTTATCAAGCACACATATATGTAATAGAATATCGCAACGATATCTACACAGCACTGGTGCTTTGAACAACCTACATCCTTGGCTTGTTTTGAAGATGCAGTGGTGGGAGTCACCTGTTAGATATATGAGTATGTTAGAAAGTATTCCATCACAAGTGGTTAGGTTATACAAAACAAGAAGAATGGGTCATAGTGTTACAGTAGCTATCCTAGTAGTTTTCGTTGTAGCTATCACTATTGCTGCGTATGGGAAAGCAAGAAAAGAAAAGAAAGAAAGGAGGAAAGGTGACTCTTTTTGGAAAAGATGGAAATCATTGTTAAAAAAGGGTGGTCCAAATGCACCTAGTCAGTTGCCATCGTCCACCGTACTGAATTCTGAAAGGTCCCGTACTCTGTTTGAGAGAGATTTAGAATTGGAAATACAGCGTTGTAAATGCAAGGCCAATGGAAAGAATAGAGCAATGACTTATCGTCCAGGCTATCTGTTACAAGCCACTCAGTTGTTTTCACTTTCTTCAGAAGTAGTTGTGGATATCTTTATACAACAAGTCATCAAAGTCATCAGGTCTTATGTAATAACTGCTTTTCATTACACCAGAAGCAATCTTGTGGAACAATGTCTCCAAGAATTGAGTAACTTGTTAAAGTTACATCGTCAATGGATAAAGCCAGCTCTCATGGATTGGACACAGGGAGACGATATTGCTTTTCAAACTCTATTTGCCAAGTTGAATGTTCGTCATACTTTGGATTTGCGAACTCGATGGGTAAAATATTCTGTCTTAGATATTTATCGTCTTTATTTGGAACAGTATTTTGCTTCCTGTGGAAAACAATATACCAAGATAAATGAGATAGGCAATCGTCAAGCCTTACAAACCTATTTAGGTATCAACAAAGAGGAAGCTTTGGTTGCAGAGGAATATGTTGCAGGTTGCGTATACAAAATGGCTGCTGTCCAAGTATTTGAAACTGGTGTGATTCAACTTGAGAAACTTGACTATTTGATAGAGTTGCAAAAGTTCTTAGCAGTTGTTCTGAAGAAAGAAACAACTCTCCATATTTATATGGAAACTGCGAAACCTTTTGTTGTCAAATATCTTTGGGATATTATTCGAGACCAGGGAATAACTTTGCAACAAGCGATCAGTAAATTGAGTTACTTGGTTAGCATAGTTGATTGATAGTAATATCATTTGCTTTACTGATATAGGACCATATCTAGGAATCTACTTTGAACATTGAACTTGAACCATTTTTTACCAATCTTCAAGGACATGAAAGCGATATGGAGCTGCAACGAAAAAAACATACTCTGTGGAAATTCTGGACAAGTTATAAACAAGGACTGAGATCCCAAAAAAACTCTTTCAAAGCAACTCCTTGGGAAGATTCAGAAAAACTATAATGATGTTGAGCCATATTTGAAAGTATTCTTCTTCCATCAACTATGGAAATGGACGTTTGTACAATCTACTACATTAGTGTATTTGTAATTTACGAAGTCTTTGATATTCTTTCCAATGACGCTGATACCAAAAAAGAAGTCGAACAAAATCCCATATACCAAAATCTGGCCACATACGAGTCGAAAAATAAAGCAGAGAATATGAAGACTGGGTATGGTTTACTTTGTTAGTTATGATAGCCAACCTTACTTTGAAAAAATAGAACACTTACTTGCCATAACAAAAAGTCACTCAATCTTGTCTCTCCAGATGTGCGCAAAATGATATCTGGAGTTAGACAGTCTTTGCTCATTTGTTGACCGCGTGCTATATATTCATCCAACATATTGGCATTCATATCCATGAGGGATAGCTTTGATTCCAAAAAGTCATCGATCATATGCACCATAGCTGTACATATTTCATCTCTTGCTGTATAAGAAAAACAAATGTTCAGTCTTGGGCCTTCATTTTCAGCAGTTTCTTTCATAACGGAATACATCAAATGTTGAAGATCTTCAGGTAACAAGGATAAGTCACCAACCACAGTCACTCGAACTCGGTAGCGTTGAACGACATCTCTAAAAAAGTTGAGAAGCCATTGATTTCACTGTTATGATGAAGCCCATACCTGGAATCCAACATTTCCACCAGCTTTTCTCTGGTCAACGCAAACAATCTTCTCCGTTCTTCTTCCGGTCTCTTATAGTTTTCGATGGAGAACGCGAATAGTGTGAGTTGTCGAATGCCACTATCATAACACCATTGTAAGGCGTTGGTTAGGGTCTTGCTTCCCCAAGGATGACCTTCTGAAGGAGGTAGTCCCTTCTGTTTTGCCCAGCGTCTATTTCCGTCCATAATAATAGCCAAATGTCTAGGAACAGGACCAAACTTGATGAGAAAAAATAATAAACTGGTTATCTTCGAAACCAATATTTGATATAACTTGGATATCAACATAGCTAAAAAGTCTCAAGGAAGAAGAGTAGATCCATTCGAAAAGTGGTTAATAATTCAATAGATTTGCATTCCATCTTTTAGGCCTCCAAATTGCATGAAAGCTTATTTGCCAAAGCGATCAAAATATCTACTTGTGGTTTAGCAACTTGTAATTAGATAGAATTTCTCATTGCGATGAAGATTCTAGGAATATGGTCAATACTTTATCTTTCCTTTCGTTGCTACAAAAATTTTGTATAAGCAGCCCATAACTGCTGTCATTTTTCTATTTTAATATGGATATTGAAATAGCCTTGAACAGTTGCACGTTCTTCGCTTCTACAAGAAATACAACTTGTAGTCTTTTTAAATCAAATCATCTTCATTTGGGGTTCACAAAGGTGAACAACGACTTAACATCCTAATTGATAGCCCCAGAGAAAATGCAATTGTAGCGACTTCCCTCAGAAGTATATAACATAATAATAGCTTCAACTTTACATCAAAATATAAATCAGTTGAAAGACAATACAAGTTCTCAAGGAATGTAGCGCGAATCCATCATTTTGAACTCTTCGTTGTATTGCCCACGCCATCTTGCGTCAACTTTGTTTGGAACTATTCAGTAACTGGACATGGCAGGTGGTAAGAGACCAAGCAATTATGCCAGAAACAGTACTCGGAACCATAGTTCAAATAGTCAGTCAAATTTTTTCTCGCTATGGAGTGCACCGTTTGTAAACTTTGTTCCGCAGCAAAGTAGCCAGCCACCACACTCAGGATCCTCACGATATTCTACGGAAGATTTATTTTCTCAAGAAAGCACTAGGTCCTCTTCGCTTGGGCAAGGAAACTCCACAAGCTATTCTTCAGCTGAAGACAACGAAAGCAACGAGTCGCTAGGAAAGACTTTGGAGCAATTCGTTGAACAAGTAGCTGAGCGCAGTTGCCAACAAGCAGCTTCGAATTTCGAGTTGCAACTTCAACGGCTGCAAGAAAAGGTACGCCGTGCTCGCCAAGTTTTTATTTATCTTACAGTTGTTCTCAGATGCGATACTTGGAGAATACCGTTAGAACAGAAGAAGAATATAGAAATAAATTTTGGGAAACTCTGCAAGTGATAGACGCAAGACTAGACCGCCTGGAACAAGAAGTGAGAGCAGTTGTTTCTTCGGAACAGAATATTTGTCAAGATGACGTTAACTCGGAACAAGTGGAACAAGGACAACAAGGCAGAAGAAGGTCTGAAGTTGACGGCCTTTGCGACATGGAAAGGAGTAATAGCAAACTTTTGGTAGAACGTATCGAGAATTTAGAAGCACAACTGGGAATAAGGCTTTGTTTTAACACAGACAGGGCCAAACCAACTCATTCTAACGAGGTGTTAGAGCAACGGAAGGATGGGAAACAGGATTTTCAGTCTAGTGTATCGAAGATGGATAAGACTGTGAAAAGAATTGATTCGAGAGTAGAGGAAGCCATGAAGAAGATGGAAGAAGCTTCTTTGATGCAATCTAGTGCTCATGAAAGACTTGCGCAGAGAATAAAACAAATTGATGAACTCCAAACTTCAGTTAACGCTGTCAAGAAGCTGTTGGAGCATAATTTGCGTGTACAAAACGAAGCAGAGTCTATCGTGAAAGAACAAGCAAACATCATCATAAAACATGTTTGTGCAGCTATGCAGCAATATACAATGAAACGTATAAATGAATACAATGCGTTCTTGGACTCAGTTTTGAGGAAATATTTGCCGAATTACCAATGCATTGAGTCAGAGAGTCCGGTGTCCAATGAGAAAACTTCTTTCGATGCTTGAATATATTACTCGAAATTTGTGTACAGGTTTGATGTGAACGCTCTTTTCATGACATATTATTGTAATTTTTCCTATTCTCCTCAATGGAGCTGTAAATTTAAAATAGAGCACAAAATCAGTTGGTCAAACACATCGGCAGTATGAAATGTGTCAAGTTGTTTGGACAAGATATCTAAATTTTTTTAAACATCCAACTTTTAATTCTAGCTCGCGTGTCTGGGTTTTAGCCTTTTTTCTGTTAAATGTAATAATTATCGAAATGTCCAGGCTCAAACTACTTTCAAAAAGAGTTTAGTTCATGCCAAGTACTGTCTAGAATTTGAAGTTTAATATTTCTACAAAAAAAATAAAATTTTGGCCATATAGCGCAGGGTAGTCGGGGTAACAGTTCAAAGCAAACGACAGTCTTTTCTCAAATAAAATACCAATAAATAACACGCATACTTTCTCCCTTTAAAAATTTTTAAACAGTTAAAAAGCCAATAGATAAACAGAGAAAAGTAACAGGCATTCAAAAGATGTACTTAAAATTTACATTGACATTGGTCCACCATGAATTTATCTAAAATTTTTAACTTTTTTTCAGTATGCTGTTTAACTTAATTAAAACTCATGGGTCTTTTTGTTAATCTTGATGTTTTTGAAAAATAAAATTATATGTTGGTGAAAGGATAAAATTTAATCGTATTTTTCAATCTGCTTTGGGCATTTTAAATTTGACCAGAAGTGACCTTGTCATCAGAAAAATGAACATATTGCCTTCTTGAGCACATAAATTAATTTCTCCGAATTAATTTCCTTCTATTCAATAAGCAATGCTTTGGTGTCTTTCCACGATCAAATTTCTGAAAATTAACCCGTCTCGTCAGCTTTCTGTTGCATTCTGTGAATAAAATTCGTATTATTGAAGCAACGAGATTGCTGTGTTGGCTCACTGCATCCTTTATTCTTTTCTAGGTCCTTAATTCTAAGCATTTTTCTTGCATTATTATAGAGGGAGCTAGGTGGATTTATGGTTTGCAAAATACTGCAATTCTTATTGAGTTCAGAAACCTTTAACAACAGGAATAGCAATAAAGGCAGTTGAGAGCAAAACAAAATCGAACCATTAGCTCTGAAATTGTAATAACTTTTACCTTACCGAAGGGAGTTCTTTTTGTTTCTCGAAATAGGACTTGTGCAAAATGAATTTCTGTTTACAAGTGCTTTCTCCTTATAAGTTCTTATCGTTTTGAAATTCACCTTCCTGTATCAGAGAAACAGAATCTTGTGCAAAAATATGACGAGATGTGTTTTCATAATGTTAATATAAGAGAACAGCAGTGAAGTGAACCACTCCTTGCCTAGTCACTATCAGAATAACTCGTTGAATATTTCAAGGTATTATTTATCCAAAAATGAAACATATTATAGAGATACCAAAAACTGTTTACAGACAATCAAGGTTTATGATCGAACGAACGAATTATTCCCAGACAAGCACGTTGTTCCTGCTCATTTCGCAAACTTTCAGACCCATACACTTGCATACGGACAAAGAAGCTTCCGATCAAATAATAGGACCTAACTTGAGTTACGCTAAAAGGAGTACTATCATTTGCAGATTTTAAAAGCGAGTTACAACGTTCACTTACCGAACTTCTCTCTATTAAAGTCTTTGAAACAATTCCCATAGCATCTAAATAGCGATCCATACATTTCGCGAGACAAGTTTGTTCACTTGACGTTAAAGAAGAACCAGGTTTCGTAATGCACTTAAGGAAACATTTTTCTGAAATATTTTGAACCAACTCTTGAAAGACTTGTCTAAGCATCTCGTTCCTTACACGTTCTTCAACCTATTGACAAGTTTATAACTATCTACGATTGAAGCGAGTTTATGAGGTCTTACTTGATTTCTTTCCTCGGGGGAAAGTTTTGATATGCGTTCGATAGTTTCTTTGTCCAGGTCCATTTAGTGTGAAAAACAGTTTCCCCACGTCGGTACTCTTAATCTATCGAAATTTTCAAAGCTATTATTGGGCTTAGCCTCAAATACTTTGCAGGCTAAAAATTTTTTATTTCATAGAAGAAATGTGTTTATATGCTGGAAAGCTTCTAGCAGTTATTCATTGGCTACAATTCTAGTTATTCTCAACCCCTGGACATTTTCATGACAAGGAGAAGCTTCGAGAGCACAAGGAAGCATCATGTCTTGACACAAGGAAAAAACAAACAAATTTAATTCAACAAATATTATAGATGAAATTACTGAATAACTATAGAAGAAACCCCTGCGACTGGAAGATTGAGAGTGACCTTTCCATCTTCCACTAAAAACGTTCCGACTTTATCAAAGTACAACCCTTTCCAAGGAACACTGTACCATACTTGAGCTTCTTGGTATTTCAAATTGCTGAATGAAGACACATCAAAGGTAACGTTTCCGCAGTTCATAGTTACCAAAGTGAGAGTGTCATCACGAACAGCTGCTAAAGTTAAAGGATCGCTGGTTGAAACAAAAGTTGAACCAGGTTTTAGAAATCGAGTAAATTGTCCAAAAGTATAATATTTTGGAGTTGCATAGAATGTGTAATCACCCACGGTGTCTAAATGTGCTTCCAATGGGCCCCATCCAGAGCCGGCCATATCAACACCTTGCCAATAACACCAAACTTCAGGTTCCAACTTTTGAATGTCTTTCATTATATGCCTTGCAGTAAGCAATCCTGAATTGTCTCCATTACCATACTCGGAAACCCATAATGGTTTTTTGACATCAAGCATTGCCTCATGAAGTTGAGCTCGTCGATTACCAGCATAAGTATGGGTATTGACTTGGTGAAGGTCTCTAATGATGCCCATTTTGTTGTAAGCAAGGACAGTAAACAAAGTCTGATCAATAGAATAGTCATCTGCCGCTGCAATTTTTGTGGGAATATTTGCTTCTTGTAGTTTTTTGTGCAAAATGGGGATTAGAATTTGTTGGGTATCCAATCCAATATGACATCCTTCTTGACGGTTGCCAAAGGTCCAATAGTCAGCCAACGGCTCATTGAACATTTCTAACGTAGAAAAAGTAACATTAAAATGTTCATAAAAATGTTTCACAACTGTAACCAAATAATCAACAAATTGGTCTTTGTAATTAATATTGAAATTTGGATAACCCTTTGGGCCTCCTGTGGTAGAGCCGCTATAAGTCATCCAATAAGGAGGAGAATAAGCCATGGCCTCTTGAATTGCAACTCCACGTTGTATTGCTGCTGTAAGGAACCATCGCTGTGACTCATCTGCTGACCAATCATAGACACCTGGTACAGGCTCATAGCCTGGAAGTCTTTCTCTTTCATTCATGAAGAAGAATTTTGGATTCTCTCCTCCTGGGATTTCATAGCGTACTACATTTAAGCCAAGGCCATTCTCCTTATCAAATAGCAAATCGGCTATTTGGTTCCTAACAGATTCAGGTGCTCTTCCCATAACAAAGGCAAACCAAGCCAGATTGATACCAAAGCCATGAAACTTTTGTTGTTTGGCTGTTGCGTCAATCATCACCGTTTCTTGAACGGCACAATGACACTTGTGGTTGCAATCGTTGATAGTATCATTTGAAGAACACTTCGATAAGCAAGGATCCAAAGTTAGACTGTCATTGCCTACATAAGGTCCTGGATTCAATTTGTAAGCATTGACAGCAACAAATAAATATATTAGGAAAAGTATAATAAAGGAAGAGTTATAAAAAGCCATGCTAAAATTGCAAAAAGTGGCCAGTAGTGTCTATGCGTCTTTTAAAATGCTCCGCTTTGAAAATGTCCTTAATGCACCATACGAACATTTGGGATATAACCTCAGCGCTCCATATCCCACTCTTTAAAATTCCACTGTATTGCCGTTTGGAAGGGAATGTCCCTGTTATTGTCCTGATGACGAGATGGAAAGCAATGTGTTGGAATTAGATTTGCAACTTGAGAGCTATTTGAATCGGTATATTCAGTCCTCAAAATATTGAGAAACATTGTCAGGCAACTTGTTCAAGTAAACAACGCATCCATGTTCAAGAAGTGTACTATTACTTTATTTAAAATTTTGAAATGTCGTCATTTACATGTTTTTCGGTGCCACATCGTTCAGGAACTTTAGAAGCTCCAAGTAATTTGAATAAAAGTCCCTTGAAAACAAAGGTTTACGAAAAGTTGAGTCAAGTGCTTTCTAGTGTTCGGGAACCGTGTCATGGCTTTTCAAGTTTCTCCTCTTGGAACGGCTACTGGTTGAACCTTCGACAAAAGCCGTTGCATGTTTCCAAAGAATTTGTACAAAACCTTGTATCACAGTTGAAAGAAGGACCCAAATCCGAGTGTTTTGTTCAGTTGCTTGTTCAGATTGTTGCCCAACGATGCTTTACGGACATCAACAAAGGAGTAACGTTGCTACAAGTGATTCTGGAAAGAGAAGTTTTCAAAGATTACATTCAAATAGTGAACTTTTTCTATAATATTAACGTATATTGTCATTTTTTATGGTTCCTAGCTAGCTTTGAATCAGAAGGCTTCCATAAAAGTTCTTCCTTACCCTGGTCCACCTTGTTTGAATGGTTGGAGGAGAGCGTGTTTCGCTCCACTTCCTTTGGAGGTGTTCAAGGAGAGCAAGAACAGAAACAAGAACATTCAACTACCGATTTTCAAATAGTTCTGGAGGAAATATTTGCAATATTTTGTTCGTTTTCTAAAGTGAGATTTGAAAAGTCTGATCTTCTAATAGATAGGGAAGCAGCCTTGCGATGTGTTTTAACCTTTATCATTGACCCAAATGGCAACATGAGACGTGAACTTGTAAGAAAAATGGAAATCTTTGTTTGGTTGGAATGCGTTAAATGCTCTGTATATCTTTCAACCGATTTGGAAGCCCTTACATGTTTTATTTTATGCATACGGTTGTCCGAAGAGATGGAACCTGAGTTTGTTAGAGATTATCTATCGATGGATTTTAAGATTGATGTGTCACAGGTCGAATCAATTGGAGGTGAACGCACCATCATAGAATTGTTTACTTTGGTACATTCTTTCAAAGCTCGTCGCTTGCTATTTTCTATTATTTTGCATATTTTATCAAATAGGCTTAGTCTGTCATCAAAAGGATCATCTCTATATCAAGTCGGAATGAAGAATATTCCTCAAAGCCTGCAAGAATTTGTTTTTGTCTTGCAGAGCCGATTGGCAGCTGAAGCATTCCCTTATGTATTTAGAAGATGTCCGCGCAACTTTGCATTTGATGTGCTCCGACATGTCTTTATTGATTCCATATTGTTCGATGATGAATCTCCTGAAGCAAAAGAGAAAGTAGACAAACCTTTTGTTGTAGAGTTCTTCTTAGAGTTGGAACGGACAGCAATAGAATATCAAGGAGTTCATGTGACTCCAGATGACGAGAGTATTGCCGAAGTAGAAAACGAGTTTTGGGTCACTAATCCCGTTCCATCAGCTATTGCAGTGCCCTTTGAAATGCCTTATGAAATAATACAAAGACTGCTTCTATCTTCTTCCCCTTGGGATGCAAGGTTTGGAGAACGACACCTTGCTGATGTAATAGCCTATTCTTTGAATGCTGGACGTGATCCTACCGCAACAGTCATTCTATATAAAAGTTGGTTATCAAAGGCAAATCATCGAGAGATGCAACAGTTATTAGATTCGTTGGCGCATATTTTTCAGCATCTCTTTATTTTGTTCCGGGAAATGGGAAAAGAGTCGAAACTAAGTCGTTGTATGAACCTGTCGCTGGATTGGTTTGTGATTTTGGGGAATTGTTGTGCTGAAACCAGTGGTATTGTTTCATCCATACTCAATTTCTTTGATTCTTTTCTGGACTTGTTAGTTGACTGGCGGCAGCTAAGTCGAAACGATATTGGCATTTTCAAAAGTTGCGATAGTGTTGCTGAACTTGTATGTCTCGGGCATGTAACTTTGCGTCCAGATTGTATCTCATCACTTTCTTTAAAGTCCTTGTCTCCCTTTGCACAACTACTACAAAGTATTTCACAAAACATTCATTTAAGAGGTGAGGTGCAGAAAGCTACTCATCGTCATGTAGAATGGAAGATGTGGAAGCTTGTAAGGCTAAGTTTACTGTTATTGCTACATCTGAGAGGAATGCCGATTGAAGGTTATTTGCAGGACTCGGATCCAATCATTCGGAAGATGTCAAGCTTTATACTTACCGAATTTCCCAATTCTGTGCTTTTGGAGCGTTCTCCTTCTCAATTGATAGAGCTGATATCCCAAACCACAGAAAGTTGATATTTAAGGAAGCGATATAATAAAAGTGGATAGTCTTTTAAAGTATGTTGCAATCATCATCATGGTTGTTAAAAGTCGTGCAGAAAACCGTATATTGAAATGTGTGGGTTGTTTGATTTAGATTTATTTTAAGAAAATGACATTATGGGTTAGCTGTGTTCTGAGGTTGGCCAGATCTCATCATCTGTTTCAGTATTGTCGTTGTTTCTTGTTGCATCAATTCCATCGACACTATAAGCTAGTCTTGGTGTATTTGTATTGACTTCATTGGACAACTGATTATCACTCGTTGGATGATTGGCTTTGGCAGCTTTCTTTTTTGGATACATTTTCCAAAAAACAATGGCAGCTATAGCAGTGATCAAGGCGAAACCAAAAACAGACATTACTACAATAATCACCAGTATGGTAGTTGACAAACTGCTTGGATGGTATGGTACCGTCTCTAAGGTTTGTTCAAAAGTCTCAAGCTCACCGCTACCTACTTTCAATAGAGTAATTTTACGAACATTTGACAATTGCTGTAAAGTTTCTAAAGGAGCACGTTTTAGGGCATCTATTGCAGTATCCGTTTGTCGAAGGTCCACTAGTGCGGCATATATAGCATTTGTTTCTTCTTCTCTAGCTATTGCCGCTGCTTTGATAACAACCAGTTCTATCTCTTGCGTGAGTATTCCAGCATTGGACAACAACTGAGCCAGAAATGATTTAAAGATGAGATTCATTTCAATGGTGAAATTGAAGGGAAGTAGTTGATTCAGTCGGAAAGCAGTGTAGATATATTCATGTTGACTACCTCCCGAACTCAAGACGTTGACTTGAGCAGGAGCGTTGGGATTTGGTGAAAACCCGAGGCTCCAAATGTCTCCCAGAACCCCACCATCATCGACCGAAGAAACGCCTGCCGTTATCCATATATCACCCCATTCGAATCCCGGAGAAGAACCTTTCAAAGCTACTGCTTGATGAAAAGCTCTAGGAACAGGTGCACCCAGAGATGAATTCTTCACTTGGTTCTTTTTCCATGAGCATATGCGTTCTGAATGAGTACAGTTTTCTAAATCCAAGCTCCACAGATCATTGAGAAAAGTCAACGTTTTAATAGAACAGTTACTCGATTGTTTTGGGTCTTCGCATGTTCTCCCTCCAAAGAGATAAACTTTTGATCCTCTTAAAGTAGTAGTATGACCGTCTCTTGGAAGAGGTTGAACTCCAGAGAGTTTTAGCTGTTTCCATAAACCTGTTTGAACGTTGAACCGCCATAGATCGTTGTAAAAGTTTATGATGGGTTCCGGTTGAACTGATTGGTTTAGGCGTATGACTGAACCTCCAAAATAGTATATATATCCTTGATATTCGAAAGCTGTGGCAAAGGCACGTGGTTCTGGGGCCTCTGGAGGCTGAGCATAGCAATTTTGGGATGAAGACGCCAAGAAAAATGTCTTATCCAAGACACTGTATCCAAAGACACACGAGGAATATTTAGCCAGCTGTCCTTGTTCTCGAATGTTGGTCTGTCCTCCTATAAGGTAAACAATTTGCGCGTTTGGATCGACTGTTGAAGCCATTCCTTGGATCGGAGGAACACCTGGAAATGCATCAAATAGCTTGACATTGTTATAGGCCGCACTTTGTTTTATGACAACATTTTCATCAGAAAAGAGAGCTGGAAATTGTTTTGAGTTCAATACGTGCAAGTCGTTTACAAGAACAAAACTCTGATTGATGCCTCCAAATGTGATATATACTCCTTCAGTTCCGGTTCCAGCTGCAAATGCTCTGCCTGGAATAAGTGCAGGCTCAGTTGCCATTGTTTTGAGTTGAAGCGTTTGCGTATTTACTTGTATTATTCCATTTAGTATCACACCATCTCCTTGTTTACCTCCATAAATGAAAACTTTAGCAGGTTCCGTTTTATTGGTAAAGACAAACGTTTGATGGCCATATCGAGGTTCCATCAGACTGTGTGCTGAAATAAAGTTCCATTGCAATGTCTCTGCACAAGTTTGTATAGTGCATCCTAATATGCAGCTAACAATAAGAAGGTGAGTATAAATATCTAACATGGCAGTCAAGGGATGTATATGACCTAAAAGATACCAGGAAGATCCACAAATGCACAAGTGGAAAATGGCCATTTGGATGATTTTGTTGAAGGAAATGGCGCCAGGGATGCATTTTTCCAAAGTTCGAGATGGAGCCGAAACAGTTTTAATGAAAATTTTCTGTCAAAGTAGTTTTATCTTTTGTAACATTGAAAGAGCAGAATGGCCTAATAATCAATTCTGGAAGGAGAAATAGAATTTCTATCGGACAATTCAATGAGGCAGTCCAAGTTGTTGTTTCAATCGACCTGCAGTTTTTTGAACAAGCAGAAAATATTGAAGCAAACCAAAAAGAATTATTTTCTTCACCACTCAGCGTTTTACTGTCAAAAAACAGCCGACGGACCCAAGGTGCTGGTGACAAGAAAACTGATAGATCCTGCTCTACAGAAGATCAGGGAGGCGTTTCCTACCGTGCAACTCGATGTTTGGCCCGAGGAGCAAACTCCAATACCGAGAACTGTTTTATTGGAAAAGGTATGCTTTCAAATTGTAAGAGAGCACTCAATAAGAAAGACCAGGTTTCTTCTGGACTGGACGGCCTCATTTGTATGCTTTCGGACAAAGTCGATAGTGAATTGCTAAAATGCTGTCCTAAGAATAAGCTGAGAGTGGTTTCTACTATGAGTGTTGGGTTCAATCATATTGATTTAGAAACTTGTAAACGACATAAAATCAAGGTCGGCAATACTCCCGACGTTTTGACGGAAACTACTGCAGGTGTCAAGAAATTTGCAAGTATTTTTATTGATCTCTCAATTGGTCTTAGATTTGGTTTTGGGATTGACACTAGCAACCTGTAGACGCTTTCGAGAGGCTATCAGCTCTGTAGAGGTATTTGTAATATACTGGAGTGACGGACAGTCAACATAACTTTGAATTTTCAGCAAGGTAAATGGGGTAGTTGGTCACCTTATTGGCTTTGTGGAGTGGATGTGCATCACTCAAAGGTTGGTATTGTTGGCTTTGGACGCATCGGTCAAGCAGTTGCCCGACGTTTTTTGGGCTTTGACTGTCAAATTTTATGTAAGTTTGTTTGCTTCCTGTTGTTACTGTTTCTAAGACTCCACAAGACAACAGCAGGACGGAAAAGGCTGCAGGAAAGAAAATGGGTGCATCTTTTGTAGACTTGGATACTTTATTACGAGGTATTAAAGTTACTTAGACAATTGATCAGGTTAATATATATAAATGTAGAGAGTGACATTGTCATACCACAATGTCTACTTTCTGAAGAGACAAGAAACATGTTCCATTTGGAGGCTTTTAAAAAAATGAAACCTACGGCCATATTTATCAATGCCTCACGTGGTGAAGTTGTTGATCAAGAGGCACTGTATCAGGTTTAATGTGAAGCTCAGTACTGAAATGCGCAGTTCTCATTTTTTTGTTTTAGGCTTTGAAGCAAGGGATCATCCGAGGTGCCGGTCTGGATGTTTGTGTACCGGAACCACTTCCTCCTTCTCATCCTCTTTTATCTCTTCCGAATTGTACAATTTTGCCTCATATAGGAAGTGCTTCAACAAGTACCCGAGAGAAAATGTCTTATATGTGTGTTGAAGTATGTTTTCAATAATTTCAATTGGCTCTTTTCATTGAAGCTTTCTTAGAATTTGATTGCTGGATTAGAAAATCAATCGTTGCCTTATGCTGTGTGAAATCTCTCTCTGGCTCAGCAGCCATTAAATCCATACCTCGAAAATTCTTATATTCGTTGGTTATGATGTGGTTGTTGTTGTCTGATGGTATCAGAAACAAACAACAAAACAGTTCTCTGCATTCTACCAAAATAAAAACAAACCGAAACTTGTGTCGGAAAGTTTGTAATAAGTGGTTCAAGAGTCGTCGTTGTCTGAGTTGTCAGTTTCAAAGGAACGCTGGCAACATCTCGAGCAAAACGCTCCAAACTGCTCACTTGGACCTCTCACAGAAAGGAAAGTTAGACGGCTTGTGGAAGAAGCAAAGCTTGTATGCCTTTCGGGCAGTTTCTGATTCAGCCTTTTCTACTATCATCTTCGAGTTTTTTTCAAGGGGGCTTCGCGTAAGCTGTTTTCAGGCTTCTCCGTTGTTATTCGTTGGAAGCGAACTTTTTGTTGGTTCCTTATTGGGCATATTTTCTGTTGTGGCTAACATTATCGGAATAGTTGAAAGACGTGCAGAAGAGTCTCGGAAGCAGCAACAGTTTTTGGAAAACGCTTCTGCACAACTTGTTGCAGACTGGGATTTTTCTGACAGCGTCGAAGCAGACTTGACTTCGTTTGATACCTTCGAAATAGAGGAAATGGTTCGTTGGTTTGAAGTCTTAGAAGAGCTGGAGGGTCCAGGTGCTATGCAATTTTTTCAAGAGGTTTTGTTGAGCGATTCTGTTGAGAAACGAGTTACTTTGGCACGTTGTCTTGGACGTTGCCAGACCAGAAGCAACATTTTATTATGCACACTTCAACAATTAGCTATGAAGGATAGCAATTCTCTGGTTAGAAACGTTGCTCGAAACTCAATCAGAGAGCTGATAAGACACAATGTAATTCCATCGCCTCCTTTGCATTTGCCGGAGAACTTGTCAGTTTTCTCTATGTTGAACGAGGAGCAAAGTCTTCGGGAGTTATCCATCAGTTATGAAAAAATACCTTCAGGAGTATTTCATGTTAGTGGTAAAAGTAGAATTACCGAATCAAATAGTGATGCAAACTTGGATAGTTTTCTCGAGAATAGTTTTACACCTTTTGATAGAATGGATGTTTTAGACATCGTAACGTTCTGTGGTTTGAGTAGTGTTATTATGGGACTACAGTTTTATTGTCTTTCTCATTCAGTTGATCTCCCTTTCCGTTTTGTTGCGTTAGGTTGGGTGTTTGGAGTGGGAGGCCTTATTGTGTATCCTCGTAGTGGAAGATTGTGGCAGTATTTACGTCGAACAACTTTGTTAAGGTCGCTGTTTTCAGAACTAGCAATGTTTTCGTAGAATGTTTGCAAAATTCGTATATGCTGTAAATAAGTTTAGATTAAATAGATATTGTGTGCAGAATCCAAGAAGGGAATCTTGTGTTAGATATTCCTGTTGGCGTACCATAAAGAAAATATAAATTAAACTGTTTAATAGTCTTTATAAATGTATATCTGCTAAGAAAAATATTTCGGCATGTTTTCTAGATCTTTCTAAAAGAGGAGGGAGGGCTGATTATGAAACTTTTCGCATTGTTACAGGCTTTTGAATTTTGGCGCGTTCGGAGTGACTTTCGGTGTCGTTAGAAGAAAAGTTGTTATCTATGACATGAGATAGCATATGCCTACAAAGAACATATGTTTCTCTTTACAAGAATATGGAGAGAGGTATGTGGAACTCATCAAGTATGCTCGTGAGTTAGGACTGGAAGTTTTATCGCGAAGTTGTCTCGTCTATCCAAAGGATACCATACTGCTCGCAGACTTACCTTTGAGGAAGACCGTAAAAGTTGTATCTGCAGTGGCCAGCGGTTTAGTTATTCTTCCTGTTCGATTCCTCTTGGAATGTCGTGATGCAGGAAAAATCTTGAAAGTTGAGGGTTTTGCTTGGCAGGAACAAGAGTTAAGCGCAAGTTCCACTCAATTGCTTTTAGAAGCTTCCAGATATTGGAGAAAATGTAAATATGGTCCATTACAAGACGTATTAGTATTCATAGTGGGTGGAAGCAAACCAGAAGTAAAAAACCACAAGGCTATTGTAGAAGCAGCTCAAGGTAAACTTGTGAAAAATCAGCCCATATCTTTAGAAGAAAAAAGGAATTTTTTAGTACTCATTTTGGGCAAAGAGGGTATTGAGTATTCGCAGTGGAAGGCATTGTGTATTGAACAATGTCTCGCCTGCTGTTCATCATTTTTGCTGTTTGAACTAATCATTATGAGAAGACTACGAAACAGTCAACGCTATATTCCATTCAGTGAATGTGCTTCAAATACTGTAGATATTTTAGGAAGACACCTTCCTAAACGGGAAAATTCAACCCAGAGAAGAGAAGGCTCGATAATGATTCCCTCCGACGCGAACTCAGATAAAGACTCACAAATTCAGCAAAATTTAAGTGATAAAAAGCATTTCAAAAGAATGAGTAGACAGGACAATGAATGGTCTTCTGTGCAAGAGGTACCTGGCGAAAGCAACAATGCTGCTTTTCAGAGTGAACCTCACTCCGACCTGTCTCAATCTACTGTAATATCACTAGGTCGAGGTTCGAATAAGAATTTTACAGATACAACAGAAATTTCTTTGTCGCATGCTTCAGGGCAGATGGAACATGAAGATCACCCAAGTCACCATGGTTCCCTGAATAGTGCTTGTTCTGTCTCTAGCTATTCTTCTAGTAATATTGGAGCTCAGTCATCATCAAACTTTGACTTTGATGAAACCGATACTTTGGATACTGAATGGCCAATCATAGATGGTTTAAAAAATTCTATTCAAAATACGCGCACCGATTTATGCATATATAACGTCTTAAGGATAGCGCTGCGAAGCATTGTTCGCAACCATCAAAGCAGCAATAGACAATTGGGTTCTGAAAAATGTCACAGTAGTCCATTTATTTCTCTGTTTGAGATGGCAAGCACGTCTTTTATAAGAGAAGATACAAATTGGAATATTCCTCTCGCAAGTAGAAAGATTGATACCGAGCTTAAAGACAAGATAGGTATTCGTGGAAGACCTGAAAAGCGTTTTTCAGAAATTAGGCGCCATCGTTTACAGAAGATTGCCAAACAGTGGACCAAGGAGAAGGTTCAAAGTTGGTCAGCAGCACAAATTACGGCATGGTTGAATCGACATGTGAATGCGAATGCTTACTACTATCGTCATACAGATCCTGGTGATGGCATCACTCAGTCACTTGGGAAGTGGGATGAAGAAGAACAACAGCTATTCTTTGCAGAGGTAATTATAATGAATTTTATATGAGTTTTATTTGACTCTCCCGCTTAGTATGAGCGTTGGAAACGTAACGGTTGGCGAATAGGATCTTGTTGGGGCATATTTTCCCTTGCAATACCTCGTCGAGTAGGTTATCAGTGTTCCAATTTTTATCGTGATTGTATTCGTGAAGGAACTCTTGAGGATCCTACTTATGCTATTTCTGTCGAAGATGGTGGTGTTTTGAAACGTTTGCACCCGGAACTTGAAGATAAGAATCTTGTGCCACCACCTGAGGAACTCAACCATCTTTCTGATAGATGGGAATGGCCAGAAGTGAAAGAGATGGAAAGACAAGTGGATCTCTGGCTACAAGAAATTCATCCTAAAGTTGGACATCAGATGCGAGAAATTGATAGGATTCGTAAAGGTTCAACCATTACAAATCGAAATATTAGCAGCGTTTTAAGGCATCGTACGGTAGGTAAGAAAAGAATAAGAGAATCAGAAGATACCAGAGGCAATGTCGAGCTGGTTGAATCTCCTATCAATTTATCGCGTAGTGGAAACGTTCTTACAGACTATAGTCGTCGTACTTTTACGAAAGTTGTAGGAAGCTCAAAAAATAGTTTGAAGCGTAGATTTTCTTCATCCTCTAGTGCAGCGAGATCCTCTCGCGAAAGGTGTGTTCATGGTGGGTTTTCGGAAAATAAGGATGTTGTTACCCAATTTCAAGAACATGTTTCACATCTGCTATTGAAGTCGGTTTCGAATGCAAGAGAATTAGAGTTGCACTCTTCTTCATATCATGCTCATGCAGGCCGAAAGATTGAAAACATTGTAAATAAGTTGAAGACCGGACTACCTGTAAAGGACTCCCGACAGATAAACTATTCGATGGAGCTTGGAGGACAGTCTTTTTTCGACTATGAAAAGCCCCAGAAAGCAGGGTCTTGTGGTCGAAAAGGCACTGCAAGAAGGCTTGGAAATATTGATTCCATATCAAACGATCAATCGACTGGCATTCAGCCTCTCTCTTTTTCGGACTGCATTTCGATAACGCGACATAATTTGGCACAGCTGGAGCCTTATATGAGTTTAAGAGATGGCAGTAACAATGCTGGACTATGCTATAAAGCAGAAATCAAAGGTCTGGTTTTTGATGGAGTATCGTCACAAAGCGACCGGAACTTTTATTCCATTCGGAAATTGTCTTTTCCTTCGTTATCAAAACTTTTACCTTTGATCATCAAATATTCAGAATTTTACAAAAGTTATACCGCCCAGTACAAACTTGGTGACATCAATTTACCTGATATTATAGAATCCGGACCAGAGAATTTCATTGAGGCTATTGTATCTGCTATACAAAATTATTTTTGTCAAGAAGTTTATTCCTGTGAGAAAGTAGCTCGTTTTTTAAAGGGATGTCTAGAGTTGTGGACGTTGAAAAAAACAGAATGGGTCTCACTACAAAAGTTTGCTTCCTCAGATTCCATACCACTAGAGTTTGCATTTCCCAGCCTGTCTGTTATTTCTCAAACACAGCGAAACTTTCTGTTTGACTGTTATTTTTTTGTATTGGAGCTTGTATTGCAAGGAGCCTGTTCTTTTTCTTTTTGTCATGTGATATTTATGGATTTGGTGAAGTTTTTGTCCCGAGTTCCTGAATATCTTTATCAGTCAGAAGGTAAGCTGTATTTTGTCATGAGAAAGATAGTTCGAGTCTATGATGAAACTTGCCTTCTCATTGAAGATGGTGAATCTTTTTGGAGCAAATTCAACACATTTGTTGAGACTTTCGTCGTGAATGATGTTGATTGGTTACCTTCATATTCTTTGGAAGACAAGATAGACTATTGTTTATTTCTGGTGACTCATTTTTCATTTGTCTATTTGTTCAAAACAGATTCAGAAGTTATCGATTTTTCTTCTGTAACCAATCTTCCTACGGAAGCAATGCCTAGCAACTGGGAATTGGTGCTAGAACTTTTGAAGAAGTCTACCTGTTTCAAGGTTGATGATATATCGTTTCCAGAAAGGTCCCATTTTGCATTATATGTATGTGCATACTTATCTCTTTATTGGTGTCCAGATGATAGTTTTCTTGAATGGTTGCTGACCAATATGAATTCGCATCTGAAGTATTCTCTTGAAACCGGCAAACAACTTCCCTCCTGTTGCTTTGACTTGCCTAGTTTTTTCAAGGAGACTTTATATAGATTCACAGAAGGTCCTCCTTTTGTGGCATTTCCTTGTTACTCGAAATGTTATGTTTGCTTTTGGTTTATTCGAGCAAAGAGTGTTTGGTTGTATCAGACAAGCTCTGCTGTTCAGAAACAGTTTTGCTCTCAAATGTTTTTAGTAATAGAAGAAACGGCTGTTTACAGGACGACCGAGATTTCAGTGGAATTTTTGGAATACTTTCAATGTATATATCGGCATCTGAGTGGCCTCATCTTGGCCTTGACTGGTATTTGTGATGATTCGATGAGATTGAACGCATTTAGAAAACTTTGGAGGCCACTTTTGGAATCCTTATCGTTTGATCGAAAATTTTACTTTATATTTTCACTTTTTCTAGATATTTGTAAATTTTTATTTTCATCTCTTGTCAATCCTGGTGAATATGCACCACGCCTCGTTGAAGAATTGTGGCTATTCTTGTCGAAACTGATGAAGGAATACAAAGATTGTTTTCTAATAATATCGGAGAAGAGCTCAAAGTTGAAATCTGATACAGCTTCGGCCTTGAATGGTATGAAGAAGGATATGTTGAGGAAGCATATGTCTAGTTTAGAACATCTAGTGCACAAGATTTTTATGGCTTATTCTGAATGGTCATTAATCGAATCAACTCTTTGTAGGAAGATTCTTTGCTGTTTGGTTCACCCGGACACTTTTTTGTTCGAAGCTCATCCTCTGTTTTTGGTAACTTGTCGCAAAACGATGTTCCAGTTAATTGATAGATTGCTCAAATTTCTACTACAGGGCATTTCTTCTTCATATGAGTCTTCATCAAAAATAGACGCAACAAGTGAAGAGGCTATTTGGGACACGCTAGTTCTTAGTGTCAATGAGGAAGCCTTTATGCTGGCAAAGGAATATGGCATGAAACTGTACACCCGACTAACTCCTCTTTTTGTTGCTATCATGTCTCGATTTTTGACTTTTTTTTGTTTGCAGAAAAGTCAGAATGCCTCCGAAAGTTCTTCTTTTTCAGCTACTTTGCCAGTTCCCACGTTTGAAGACTGCAACTATATTGTAAGACTATCGGCTGACCTTTTTTGTCTTCTGAGCCGTTTAGGTTCTCTAAGTTGGAAGGAGATAACAAGAGTAACAATAGATTGCAATATCAATGAGAATGTCAACTTTGCGTCGCGAGATTCTTTATGGACTTGTATTATTTACCATCAACGTTTTCAAATTTTATTCTGGAGACAAATACTGGAATCTAGTGTACATGAGTTTTTACCGCCCGCTCTATATGAAGAATTTGATTTTTGTGTGATAATAACTTGGCTAAGCTCGTTATGTGGATGGGAATCTTATGCTTCCAATGTACTAAAGCGTGAATCCTGTATTGAGGATATGAAATTTGGTGAATTGATAATCCAAAGATTTCCTCGGTTATCAACATTCATTCAACCCACTGAAAGTGAAAACAACTCACTAAATTCTATTGGGAAACATCCATCATTTGGTCAAGTGGATGCACAGCGTGGTTCTTTGTTTGCTTGGACTTGTCATCAGCTGGAAGATGAATGGCACAATTGTAAACTGGGCTGGAGTCGTGAATACCTTTCACTTGTTCCCTATGTGATGCGTCGTGTCATTCAAAGTAATGTAAACTCCATCTTGAATCATCCTTCAGACCAACAACGACCGTTGCGTGCAAGTTACTTAGGATTTGTGTGTAAAATTTCTGCCATTATGATACTGAAATGCCCCTCTCTTTTACAAAGACCAAGACGTGGAAGTTTACTATTTCCTCTTATAGTGAATATTCGCCAGTATATGGATCATTTTTCATCATTCTTAGGAAACAACAGTCACAGAGAAAAGGTAACACTTTCTTGTCAAGTTTTGGCATGGATCCTAAAAGGAGTTGCTCGCTTACCTTTTGAAGTTGACTCAGATATACAGCGTCTGTTAGTTGGTATTATCCGTACCTGTTTAAGTCAGTTGAATAGTTCTTTTCCAATAGTAGAAGGACTTGTTATGTATCCATCAGCTTCTAGTACCGAAGGCAGTGTTGATATACGGGAGACGTGGGATCGTTGGTATTTTTGTTCATCTTGTGGTACTTCTTCGGGAACACTGGAAAGAACACGAAAACTTCGTCTTTGGTGTGTTCCTATTTTGAATTCTTTTCTTAGAGCAAGTGAAAAACATGAAACTATTTCAACTACTATACAATCTTTGCGAAGTGTATCTTATCGTCTGGTGAAATTTGGTTGCTCTTCTGTAGAATCATATACTTGGCTAAAGAGTTTGATTCCTTGTCTACATTCCACTTGGAAGTTACTATGTCAAAGCTATTGCGAAATGCACGTTCGTAGCGAAATTTACAAATTATTGGATCGTTTATTGTTATTTCCTTTATCTGGAATGCCTGACCTTTTCGAATTATATCTATCCTTTTATCAATTAGTTGGATATTATGTTTTGAAGGAATCAGCGCAGAATGTCGGTCTTTCTGCATTTCGAAAGGCATTGAAGAAGAAAATTGATCTTGCATACAATTATAGTTGGAAACCTCTGGTCAAGGATTTCGTCAGTGTTTCTGAACCAAGTGCATTTAATGTGAGAGAGGATTATACCGTATTGAATGCACATATCGCTGAAGATTCATCCTACGTTGCAAATCACAATCATCAGAATAGTTTTTACGAATGGAATACACTAGATGACTTGTATTTAGGCTGGTATGTCGTTCGACACTGTATCCAACGATATCCCAAGCACCCAGTAGCCACTGAATGGATAGAGTTGTTGTCTTGTTTGGTAGATCATTTCGATGAAAGAAGAGCAAACATGATCCGGAAGGAGATTTTAAAATTTAGTTTTCAGAAGCCATGGAAGCCTTGTTGTATAGGATAAGATAAATTCAATATTTCTCTCGAAATTCGGAAGACTTGCAGTCTTAATTGCGGCCGTTCAATGAAAGCCATTGACATTATTCCACACATTGGGTTAGAATGACGGAAGACTTTGGATACTTCTCGTTTTTGGAGAAAACAGCAATGGAACCAACCACTGATGGTTTTCTGTCATTAGATGAACCAGGATTAGCCTATGCTGGGTCAGAGCTTGGTAAACAGCAGGTAAGATTGATGAGAGTTTTATTTTATAGAATAGATCCTGATGTAATCTACGCCAACACAACAGGATCGAAGCATCTTTGGTCGCTTTTTCGATTTAAGAGAAACAATAAAGAACGAAGAAGGTACTACTCTACTGCTTAGTGGACATCCCCATATTGTAGTCGATTCCTTGTTGGGTGAAAATGAGTTGCGAGCTGTTGACAGTGCAGTATGGACACAACAGAAGACTAATAACTGGAAGGAGTGGAATGCTGACCTGTTAAAGGCTCCAGAAGAATTTGCGTCGAGGGCGAATGCTACAGAGACTGTTGACTTTTTGAGTACAGTAATTCCGAAGGAGGAGTTGGCAACAATAGAAGACGGAAACTCAGATAGAATGGATGGTGTTGGCAGGCTCGAAGGTTTACAGTGGGACTGCCATTCAACTTATCGGAAACATAATGAAGATTGGAGGTTGAAAGGAGTGGACCATTCTTGTGAAGGTTGTAACGAACATTTTATGACTCTTCCTCTCTGTATTTTAGAGTTTATGAGAAATATAGGTCGACCTGTTTCAGAAGAAGAAATTTTAGAAGAAGCCAGAAAGAAATATTCCATTCTACGAAAGTCCGATGGCAGTCGTTATAAGGAGAATCAAATCCGTGCAGTAAAAGGGAGTTTATGTTCGACTGGTATTTTTATGAAGGCTGAGGAGAATGGAAAGGAATGGGTTGTCAATGAAGAAGCAGCAAAACAATATGAAGCAAAAATGTTGCAAAAGCACGGTAATTTATCTAGAAAATGGCATTCTTGGAATACCAGAAGAGGATTTCTGAAGAAAACGAAAAAACTTGGAATAGACTATACTGGAGAAGATGGAGTTACTATGGAAGGACAATGGATGATACCTAAATGCTGTTCTTGCTGTTTCGATTGTTGTTCCTGTTGTCGCGAAGAAGGTATAGAGACTGTTTCCTGTTCCCAATGGAGTTGGTTGATGTCGATTTCCAACGACATGAGAAAAGATCCACGTTGGAATGATTGTTTTGAGAATCCATTTAGAGGATGTAAAATCAACTGTAATTTGAAGGAATTGGAAGATTCTTTGGGCACCGAAAAGCTGAAACATGTTATGCAAACTTTTCATTGGCTCAGAGACTGGTTTATGTGCAATGACTCGAAACAGTCACTAGATCGAATGTATCCAACTTCTCCCATCAAGACGAATAGGAAGACGAATCATTTTGTTTCATCGTCAGTTGACCAGCCATTTTCCACTTTCAAATATGACAAGAGTCGCTTTCATTGTCCCAGTAGAAGAATGTTTCAAGAATATGGATATTTGGAAGAAAAGATGCCTTTTTGAATACTTGGTGAATGATGAAAGAAAGAAAATCATCTACTGATGAATAATATGTATGTGTCCGTAACCTTACGAATGAAGATGATGTCGGCATTTATTGAAGTCGCCTTTCTTTTTATCCTACCAAGTGGGTAGTTGATTGTTGTATTTTTGAATGTAAAATTATTTTCGCAATGCCAAAACTTTTCCTATATTGACAAACTACACCACCCATTGTTGTAAGGAAGACCTTACCTCATCCAAAAAAAATTAACACATGTGAGAAGGATGGGATTCGAACCCACGCCCTTTCGGATGAGAGCCTTAATCTCACGCCTTAGACCACTCGGCCACCTTCTCATTCTTATACCCATGTAGTCACATTTGCTCTTTATTATAATATTCATCAGAACGGCATTTCAGTTTCTTGAAAGCCATCCATGGTTGACACAGATTATCAATTTTTAACAAACGACTAGTATCTTGCAGTTTATCGAGTGATATATTTTGCTATCTATTATGGACAAGAGTCAATAGTCCACGAACGCTAGAATGGCAGGATAGAATAAAAGTACACATTTCTTGGATCACGTATCTCGCTATAGCAGACACATCTTTTGACAAAGAACATTGAGATAGCAAATGTTGTGCACGCTGATGAATGCTTGATACATCATCACTATCAAAAAGATAATCAAAAGATTGTTTCATCCACTTTCGATGCTTATGATGGGTTACTTTTTTCCACACTTGGTGATAATTGAGACATCGAATACGAGGTGGTGTTCCAGTAACCAAACAAAAAGGAGGCACATCTCTACGTATGGCAGCCATTCCTCGAGGTTTTTGTAAACTCTCAACTTGAAACACAACGATAGTCTTACCTCCTATCATAGCTCCTTGACCGATTCGAACAAACTGATGCAAAGCACTGTGTCCTCCAATCACACAATAGGGATGCAATTCGACATGACCTGCAATCGAGACGTTGTTTGCTACGGTTACATGGTCATGTAACCAACTATCATGTCCCACATAAACGTTGGACATCAACAACACGTCGTTGCCGATAACAGTCTTGTTTCGAAAACTTGTTCCTCTTTCAATTTTCACATTCTCTCTGATTTGACAACGACTACCGATCTCCAACCCCGTTTGCTCTCCTTTGTATTTCTTATCTTGAGGTCGATACCCCAATACAGCGAACGGATACACGGTGCAGTGGTCACCAATCATTGTATTCGAATCCACTAGCACGTGGGAGTCCAAACGTACAAAGGAACCGATGTGGCAATCACTGCCGATCTCAGTAAATCTACCTATCTTGCTATTTGCACCAACAACGGTATTGGGTCCCAGTTTACAAAAATCATCGAGCTGTACTCCGTCACCAAGACAACAAGTTTCAGCTACTTGTGTATACAAGTTGCGTGAGGTGAGAAAGATGCGAGAAAGCGTGTCGCTTTGTGATATTACAACAGTTGGTTTCCGGGTAAATGGACGGACCAAGAATCGAACCCATCGCATGTTCCACGTGGATATCCAACGCTTCCAATGAATGAATGAGAAAAGAAGGGAAAAAAACAGATTCCTGACAACCCTCTTCTTCAAAAATTAGGAAATCGACAACCTCGGACAATCGAAGAGACTTGCGAAATGTAGAATATCTATTCATCGTTTTGATATCTTCATCCTTTTTTTTCTGTTTTCGAAATACATTTTGATCCTCAGACAGTAATGATAATAATACTCATGAAGTCCAAAAGCTTATGGATCAAGGAATGGCCTAGTTTGAGAAACCCGCCAAGAATCTTCCCATTTGAAAAATGGGCTCACGTGTGATTTTTCTTTCTGGCATTCAAAATGAGTACAACGACCACAAGTTCCTCCACTATAAGAAACGAGGAGGATATACCGTTACAATCGGAACTTTTATATAGTGTTCAAAGGTTGGAAAAAAGAAACTATGGAGGACGACAACTCAGTCCAAAGAAAATGGGATTGAACGCATACAAGGAAGTAAGGCATCTTTTTACATGTTCATGAAAAGCCTTTTGTAACAAGCACTAGGCTTTAAAGACCAATAGAGTTCCTTGTCTCTTTTTCTTTGAAGGTCCTGCTATAGCAGTGGCAATGGCTGGAGACTGGACAGATTGGCATACTATTCCTTTAGAAAAGGAACCTATCTCTGGTGTTTGGGGTGTGATATTGGATGTCCCATTAGGAACCCATATATACAAATTGGTTGTAGACTTTGCAGAAGAAGGAGCATTACAAGAAGCTTTGACTCAAGGATGGCAACCAACAGAATCTGAATTCACTACGAATAGCATTTTAGAAAGTTGTTACTTGTTGATAGAAGTAACGAGTCCACCAGCTCCTAGAGGAATGAAACGGGTTGTTTCTCTTGATTCATCTTCTCGTTCGCCTATCACTGAATACACTTTAAAGAGTGATGTATGGGTAATCGCTGCAGCTTGGTTGGCTTGTTTGATTGGCATTGCATCGCAGACTGTTCATGCAGCAAGAACTGCAGATTATAACACTCTGAGTAATCGAAGCCTGCCTACCAATAGCAAAGTATTTCAAACTCCTATGCCCACTAGAAATTCTGCTATTGCTTTAATTTCTTCTTTATATTTACAATTTACGAGTACTTTTCTATTCTATGCTCTTATGGTACAAGACTATGGTTTCATAGGTTTCTTACTATTTATCTTTTTTGTCGTATCGATGGCATTGTACATGACGAGTACTGCTTTAGATGGCTTTACAACCAAAGAGTTTATCAACAAATATCATAATGTGAGTGCATACATAATTGGGATGTTGATATCAGACTTGTTAGGCGTTGTCATTAGTTTGACCGATGCTATTTTGGTATATGTTTTTGTATGGCTTAAGCGAGGACAAGTACGACTTCGATCATGGTCAAAGCGTGTACTTATCTATTGGATATTGGCTGTATTGAGTTATTTTTTGGCAGCAGTTTCTTTTTCTGTTCGAGCACCCTTTGTTTCTTTAGAAAATCCACTGAAATTAAACGGTACTCGGATTCCTGGTGCTTTTGAAAATCATCATCATGGACTTTCATATAGTCCTGAGCCAATATCTAATAGTATTGTTGGCATAGTGGCCAATGCATTGGGAACAATTGTGTCATTGCTAGTAGAGTCTTTCTTAGTATTGGGTTGGTTTTCCAAGGAATCCTTTTCGAAAATTGTTGCCGTTACTTTTGCTGTTATGTTTGGTATCATTGCTATGGTATATGTATCGGCAGCAGGGTTGGATATTCATTCACTTGTACAAGCGATGCAGTTTTCCAAAGTGTCATTGAGATATTCTTCTATTCAAGCATTAATCGCATTGGATTTTCTCGGTGCTGCTATAGAGTTGGTACAAACTGTGTTGTATATTGTTTGGAAAACACCCAAAGGTAATCTATAAAGGAATGTGAAGATAGTTGGTTTCTATTTTAGTTTCATTTGACTAATAAGCTTGATACTTTGTCCAACATGAGATGAACAAAAGAGAATAAAAGCTATATTTTTTGATTGGAAATATTTTCAGACATTGGAGTAGACAGTTGAGCATCCCATCCATTTTCTACTACGTAAGGATACATAAACGGCAACAGTATAGGTGAACATAAAAGAATACCACCATAGGGAAAACCTCTTTGGTCAACCAAAGAATGTGTCTGTTGTATCATCCAATATTCAAATGCTACTTCCCATCCAGCTACTAAGGGAACTATTTGATGCGCTATAGAATAACTCCAATGAAACCATATCCAATTGGGAACAAACCAACATTGAGATGTTTGTCTCATCGGGAATTCATTTTCCGGTGGCATCCATCCAAAATATTGTGCAATTTGTTCCGATAGTTTTGGTTTCATACCCAACTCTTTGATCAACGGTGTTTCATCTTTTGCAAGGTTACCTAAGCGTTGAGCCTCTTGCATTGCTTCAAAAAGACCTCCAAACTTATCCACCAATCCGATATTCAAAGCATCCACTCCACTCCATATCCTTCCACGACTAATCTTCTTCACATGCTCTAAATCTAACTTGCGACCAAGACTCACCTTTTCTACGAAATCTTCATAACACAAATCCAAAAAGCGATTGGCTCGATCTTGCATTTCTTCATCCCAGTCTTCCAGCAAGGATGATGCCGCAAATGCAGAAGCATGTTTTCCAAAAGATGGTGACTGAATGGAAACACCCAACTTTTCTGCAGCCTCCTTGAAAATAAAACGTAAGGTAAATGCACCAATCGACCCAGTAATAGTGGTAGGTTGAGCTACAATACAAGTACAAGGAGCAGCTGAAAAGTATCCACCACTAGCAACAACATCACCGAAAGAGGCAATTACTGGTTTTACTTTGGTTGCAGTTTCAACGGCGTGATGAATAGTGTCAGAGGCAACATAGGAACCACCAGGCGATGAGATTCGGAGAACTATGGCACCGATTGAATTATCTCTCACTGCCCTTTCCAAAACAGAACACAGTCGTTTCGAACCACCACTAGAATCATCTCTCATTATACTTCCTACTAGGTGTACTATAGCAATGGATGATGAAGAGATCATTTGAGACTCTTGTTGAGCTGTTCCTTTCGATGATAACTCTTTCTTTCTTATTCTTTCTATTTGTTCCTTGGCTGAAGCAATCGACTCTTCCATCTTCATTTCAAACGCATAATCTAGTAAACGAACCCTTTTTAGCTTATTGTCGGTCATCTGTGACGAAGTTTTATCGGAACTCGATTCATTGCCAGCTACTAAATATGTTTTTGTTGGTCAATAATACAACCCAATAGATATCCCAATACTTACTCTCAGCCTTTTTGGAAGCATTCGATAAATCAATAAAAGGCAACGTAGATGCGTTATTGATTACCGTCTCTGCATATCTCAAATATTTATCCAACCAAGGATCCCTTTGTCGTTTCTCTTTTATTTCTTCTTCACTCATATGAGATACTTGTTGCAAACAAGATTTAAGGTTTTCCAATAATCTTTGCTGCTCAATCCATTCTTTGTAATGGAAAGTAGAAGAATTATCTGGATTCATTTCCCAAGGAAACAAGTCCAATAGCCTAAAGATATATGTTACAAATAATGGCGATAGTAGCTTCCGTGGACATACCTTAAGCAAGATTCTACAAACGAACTAGCTGCTTCTAAGGTACTTGGCGATGTAGTAGAAAACTTGGCATGTTGTCGTTGCAATTGTTCGACTGCAGATAAACATTCATCTACAGCGATTGTCCTTGCAGTTGCTCGAATCGTCCTTCTCGCTTCGACTTTATCTTTAATCAGGTTCATCAAATCATGACGATAGGATAGTCCTTCTATGAGTCGTAAATGAAGAGATTCTCTCGCTGTGAAAGGAGCTTCATTCATCAAAGCCAATATTCCTTCAATAGATAAATTTCTGCTCTCTGCAACATCTTCTGCAATCTTATTTCCAAGGCAAGACATAAGAACTTGCAGTTGCTCACGTTGATGAACAGTCAGTTCTGTCTCAGTAAACGTATTGGGAGCATTCTTATATTCATAACGAGCCAAAACTTTTGGAACAATGCCAAGTTGATCCAACAATTTTCTAATAAAGACAACGTCCGTGCTTAAACCAACCCATCCCAAACTGCCTGAAGGTTGCATACGAACATCTTCACAAGCAGAGGCAAGGTAATATAAACTAGTTGCGTTTCCCATCAATTCACCAAACGTGTCAGTATAGAAAATGGTCGGTTTCGCATCGTTGGTTTTCTTCCGAAAGCGAACAATGGCATCTCTAATATCTTTCACAACTGCTAAACCCAGGAAAGAGCTCGAAAAATCATCGCCGTGTGCAATCAGTGCAGTTATTCTGGGATCACTGGCTGCTTTATCGATGGAAGCAACTAATCTTCGAAGAGAAATCTACACAGCTACAATTAAGTAATAAGCAAATATCAGTTGTACATACCTTTGGTTTCGTTTTGCCTCCACTTTGTAAGGCCTGAAATAGGGCCTCTCCAGTAGATGGTTCCTTTTCAACTACAACTATACTGGATAAATCGAGATCAAGGACACCAGTACCTAACTCTTGTGGAACTCGATTTTGAAGATTCCGATACAAAGAATGTGCAACATAAATAGAACCTGCCGTTGCCAAACCAACTACTGCAAGTGAAGCTCTTACGCCGCGACCAACAAATTTAGCAAACTTCCAGGTTCCTAACGATATACGGCGAAAAGACATATCAACTAAGAGCCATTCTAGTCTCAAAGACAGACAAATACAAATGAATGGTAACAATAAAAATAATACAATGTATGAGTGGCGTATGATCGATGATTATGTCGTGACAGCCTTATATAAATATACTCGGCTCTTTTCCAATAGAAACTCTATTTCCAGTAGACTTCAATTGGTTTTTCTACAGACACGAAAGATCATTGCAAGCTTTTTTCTTCTACATTTCTGAAGAACTTAAGGATTTCGCATGACTCGACAATGACTGAATGATAGAAAAGACTCCTTGACGGGGTTTTCTACTTTCAAGGACTTTAGATTTTTTTAACGGACCAGGTACTGTTCAATTCCTAGATGCATGTTCATGGCAACAAGTATCCTTTCAAATATTAGTGTCCTAATTATGTTTGAATGGAGTGTTAACATTTTTCTCAAAGGACATCTGTACAATATTAAACTCATTAGGACAATATAATGAGAGTATTATTCTTGAGAGTGGCTGTAACTCAAGTTTTGTGATATCTACTTCATTCAAGACATCGTTATCATCATGTGCAGCTAATTTATGTCCTAAGCTTGATGTTTCCCACAACTGCTATCCTTAATTCTTTGTAAATTCAATTTTTTTTTCTTGATAAACAACTTTCATCAATCCAACAACAAGCGAGGATGTAAACTACATTTGATCGACAAAGAAAATTCTCGTTCTTTCAATCCGAATTCCTGCTTCGGGAACAATGCTTTATGAAGAGTTCATCAACGAATAGCTTTCACATTTCGGTTCACTTGACTCTTGTTTAGTCCTATCTTGCTAAGAATGTTTTCCATGTCCAGTCCCTAAGAGTAAGATAACTTGCTCAGCAATTTAAGTTGAATAAGATAAGGGCACCTCGTACCACAGTTTCATCTGTTTCAACGCCAATTTGTTCACAAAGTTCTTTGTATTTCAAGTTGGCGTTCTCTGAAATAGCATCCAATATATCCTTGGCCATCCGTTTTCTTTGCTTCCAATTGGACACATTGTACAATAGATTCTGTTGAAGCTTCTTCCTTTCTTCTGGGTCTATTTGCTGTATACCTGCTGATAAAACTTGAAGCTTCTCATTCATTTGCTGCAAAGTTGACTCTAGCTCATCTCTCTTGTTTCTGGCTTCCTCTACTGTCATCTGCGAACTTAGGTAATTCACTTCCTTCTCTAGCTCAGATATTTCTGTGGTAATACTCGCGTATTCTTCTTCTTTCAATCTCAGTTCTTCATCCATCTCCTCAACTTCTTTCTGTTCGGGTATCTCAATAGTATCCTGTCTAAATAAGTATATTTTTGCTTTTCCATACTCTTTCACAGACACAACTTCTTTTTCCACTAAGCTGGATAGAATTTTCTCGCACAGCGCCTTCTTGATACCGTCTTTTTGAAGTGCGTCGACAATGTTTTGAACGCTGAAAGGGCGATTTTGCTGTTTGTTTTTTCTCAGTGATAAAGTTTTTCTTCTCAGAGTATTCATACTTACCTTTTCCAAAAAGCGCATAACTATTTCTTCTTCGGCAAAGGCGTTGCTACTTTTCCTTTTACTCATCTAGAAAAATTTCAAGTGGCGCTCATCGAGGCAAGATTTGGAACATTAAAAGAATTTGGCGCCAAATCTGAAAACAAAGCATTTTTTTTGGGGAAGAAAACAGAAATGAATATCAGCTTTGGTTAAAATGGCTCAGGGCGTAAAGGATTGGTTGAAAGAGGATCCTGAGTTTGCTGACTGGGTTGCGCCTTTTCAAGAAGACAACATATACCTTCCTATCGATTCAGGACTGGATGATCTTTCGAAAGAAGCTATCTGGTCTGTTTCATCGGCAAAGATTGGGAATGGAGTTGAAAAACTAAGAGATGGAAGAGTGGATACCTTTTGGCAAAGTGATTCGACCCTTCCACACGTCATTAACATCCAATTCAACTCCAGGAAAAAGAGTATCTGAAGTTAGATTATTTCTCGACTATCGTTATGATGAGTCTTATACTCCACAGAAGATAGCCATTCGTGCGGGAAACTACTTCCGTGATTTGGAAGATATTTTACAAAAAGAACTCAGCGAACCACAAGGCTGGGTACGCATACCATTATGTGAAGAAGATTTGTCGCAGGACTCGTCCTCAAAGCTGGTTTCTTTCTTTAGAGTCGCGCTTTTGCAAATAGTGATTTTGGCAAACCATCAGAGTGGAAAGGACACACATGTTCGACAAGTGCAAGTTGTGGGATTCAGGAATAGGGAAAAGGAAAAGCTGTTTAATCAACCCAATTTCCAGACGATAGACTTTTTGGCCTATCAATATTTGAGATGATATGTCTGTAGCAGTTGTTTCGCTTGCTGCGTGAGACGGATAATAATAGTCCCAGATGGCTTTTGTATGAAAATGTTTTCAGTTGGCGTTTTGTAAACCGTTCTAACCATTTATTCTTTAATATTTTGTGAACGAGTCAATTCCATATATTCTGTATATGATGTGGTGAGATATATCATACAAGTCTATCACTTTGTCAATTATGTTGGTTCCAAATGGGTTGTATAAAATTAGTTGAGAATATTATATTGGCAATAGTTTTATTTTATGATTTTCTAGCACAAAGCTGCCTGGAATAGAGTTGACATATCTCTTGAAAACTTAAGGATCACTTGCTTGTTTGATAAGTTTTCACGTGATATCAACTATTCATATAGGACAATATTGCTCGATCAATTGAATTGCGGTTTATATATTTCAGTTATTTTCAACTAGTTCAATGTGTACATAGGAACTAATAAATAGGATTTCCCACTTTGCAGTTGTAACTTGTCGTGACAATCATAAATAGTAGTGTTCCTCCACATTTCTTTTCCTAAACCGAACTTGACTTGTTGATTCGTTGTATTCATTTCAATCAGCTTCACTCGTGGTTGGGATACGTTTTGATGACCACAAAGCATATCCAGAATAGGTTTCTGTCGTTCATTCAAAGCCGAATTGAAACTATCGATGTGGAGAATGGAGACCGCAACCGTCTCTTCCAAAAAGTTTCTCAATACCAAATATCCATCCCATATCTAATCAGTTTTCCATTTGTAACCAAAAAGGAATGAAATAGTTGAGTTGTGGATCCATTTCAACAAAGTCCCACTTACTTCCATCGACCACCCAACACTCAATATTTGATGCAATTCTGAACTCGTCAAAAAAATGGTCTCTTCTTTTTCTTCCAATAGACGAATCAACTCCTCCAAACAAGAGCCATCTGATGAAGATGAACTCATAATAAGAGATGGTGGAATACGTATACTCAGATATTCATTATCGTACAGTTTATCCACATTTTCTAAACACCATTGTTTACAAGCACTTTGTGTAGTTGGCAATACGATATCGTTCAATATGGACATCCGTTGATCGATGCTGCGATATATACTCGTTCGCATCGGAGGATCGAATGGAATCAAATGAATACCACGATAACCAAGTTTACGACAAATATCTATCAAACTTGGACCCAAACTGAGTCCAAAACAAATTGTCTTTTCAATCAAACCATGAAATAACATCAACTTACTTATCATCATTGAGACCAAGTACCGATGGATAGTATTTCCAAATTTGATAAAAGGCAGCAGTGCCATTTCTTATCCAATCCATCAAAGACATTTCCGTTTCAAAATAAAGAAATTCCTATAATAATCTTTGAGAGTTGTACAAAGATGTGTTACACATAACTTGCATTGATTTCTTGATCCAATTCTGAGGAACAAACTTTTCCTTCCAAGAAACATTTCAGTGCTAGAGCATGTGCATCTAATAGTATTCGGTCAAAAGATATTTTTACAAATGTAAATCATCCAACCAACGTTTTAACGAAGAACTCTCAATCACGGAAGCTCCTTCCATCAGTTCTTGAATCCAGTGTCGTGCGTTGAAACCTATTTGACCTCCGAATTCCTATCTCAAGGAGAAATCACTTGTGACTATTTCTATGGTTACTGTCAACATCTATACTTACCGGATGTATGAAGCCACTGGAAAACAAAGACATCAATCTTTCAGCTGCTTGTTCAACGTCCAACAAAGGCTTGAACTGAAGAGTACAATTGCGACCAGTGGGGCACAAGAGTGACTTCATTTTATCCACGTCTGGTTTCTTTAATACCATAAAGGGAGATATGACGACTCTTTCTGACCAATTCCTATGCATATTGATAGACTCCAACAGCTTCTGTATAGAAATGACACTCTCGAGATCTAAATAAAGAATAAGGCCTCAAACATGATTCCTCTTCAACTTACTCAAAGCTGCACTGGAAATATCAACCATATGCTCTAAACCCCAACCTGAAGACACAAGAGAAACCAACCTACTTGTCACCACCAAATGACTCGTGATATTGTTGCGTTGAAGGTATCGATGATAATAAAGACTACCGGAAGAAAGTGTATAGACTAGAATTGTGTTAGTAAGAAAGCAACTGGCAACAAAACGGACTACTTGTCACCTACAGAGAGCAAAGAGGAAGAAGACGTTAGCCACAAAACAAGCTCTACTAAACAAGCGTCTATGGCGTCTTACAAGTCTTCCCCAAAAAGGCTGCATCTTCTCCAACGACAATCATCCAAAAGGAATCTTCCAAAATACTTTTTATTATTCTAACGAAAAATATTTCACGCAAAATAATTCAAATTTCCTTTCTTCTTCGCCTGAACTTGAGCAATTCCTTCCACAAAGTCTTCGTGAACTATTTCGGTTCTGTCAGATCTCAAAGCAACCATTCCAGCTTCCACACAAACAGCCTACAAATATAAACTCAATACAGAGACAATAAATATGAAACACGATACCTTCAACTGAGCACCATTGAAATCATCTGTGCTACGAGCCAATTCTTCAAAATTGACATCCTTGTAGTAAACAAATTCATAAACATTACTTCAAAAAGGCATCAAAAACTTACAGGATGGACATTCATTTTTCGAGAATGTATCTGAAGAATACGAGCTCGAGAACTTTCATCGGGTAAGGGAAACTCAATCTTCCTATCTATCCGACCCGAACGCATAAGTGCTGGATCTAATATATCTACTCGATTCGTAGCAGCTATAACTTTGATATTATCATCCGATGAAAAACCATCCAACTGATTCAAAAGTTCCAACATGGTTCGTTGTACTTCACGATCACCAGAAAGTTCGGAATCAAATCGTTTGGTTCCTATGGCATCCAACTCGTCTATAAATATAATCGTTGGTGCTTTCTCCTTCGCTAGGGCAAAGGCATCACGAACCATCTTCGCGCCATCCCCTATAAACCTAAGAAAAAAATTTATCCAAAGTCCTTGCTTTCCTCGGTAAAGTTCTTACATTTGTACTAGCTGCGGACCCGCTAGTTTCAAAAAAGTTGCATTGGTTTGTGCTGCACAAGCCCTTGCCAATAAGGTCTTTCCAACTCCAGGAGGACCATACATAAGAATTCCTACATTCCAAACTGAGACAAAAGAGTACTCTTCAAAAACACAATCATTACCTTTGGGAGGACGAATTCCTAACTTGTCAAAGCGCTCCTTATGTGTCATCGGAAGTACAACTGCTTCCACTAGTTCCTGTACATAATAAACAGTCTTATCTTACTCAAAGTTTCAACAGCAAACCTGAATTTGTTTATCCAAGCCTCCAACTTCACTATAATCTTCGGTCGGTTTCTCATCCACTTCCATAGCTTTCACTCGTGAATCATACTCTGGAGGTAAAGTTTCCAGAATCAAATAACTGTCTTTGTTCACTCCGACAAGATCTCCAGGCTAATGTATACAAGTAAGCTTCTTCCAGTCATTCAAGAGACAACATACAAACCTTTAGTTTTTCAGGCTCAACTAAACCTATGACAGGCAAATAGATGGTTTGTCTTGTTGATGTCTTTATAACTGCTGCCTTCCCACGACGTTGTGAGTCTAAGTCCATGCTGTGTCCCTCGTCCTATTTATTCATCAAAGTTTCCCTTTCTTATACACCAGCTTCCAACTTACTTCTTCGTCCGCCCTTTCTTGGTCAAGTAATTCAACTACATTTCCTACTAAATAAGGTAGCTGTTTATTTAACTTTATCTTGTCTTGATTTTCTTTGATTCTTTCCTTCAACGTGCTTTGTTCGTGTTGTAAACGTTGATTCTCACTTCGAAGCACCTGCCCATCTACATATCACAAGCTCTCTCCAAAGGGTCTCACTCACTTACCTTTACCTCCGACTCTAGTAACCTAGCTCGTTGGATAATTTCTTCAGTTGAAGCGCTTTGAAGTTCTGAAAGAAGACTTTCCGAAGCTGCGGCATCATCCGACATGATCAAGCAAATAGCAAAATATTTTGATTCAGAAGTACCAACCAATGGTCCTCTCCTTTGGTAGAAGCACTTGAAAATTTCTTTTCAGACAAGACACATAATAGAAAAGAGCTGTCTTACTGAAGAACAAAAATAGTCTAAGAAAATTGACTGTCTTACCATTGTGATGCTATGAATAACGTTCCTTTGTGTTCATATGATCAGTCGCAGAGCAACACATCCACAAGAAGAAAAGAAAATTAATTATAAATGGAAACAGAGCCATACTCAATACTGCTTCAACTAAATGTGTATGGATGCCCTCATATGGAGCTTTTGTTCAAATCTTTTGCTTAGAGTGTGTTACTCCTCTTAAGGAGACGATACTGCAAAGAGAGCTTTAAAAAAGAGAAAAGCGCTCGACTAAGTATAATTGGCCGATTTAGCTCAGTTGGCTAGAGCGCCAGGCTTTTAACCTGGTGGTCGCGGGTTCGAGAGTGTACGAGCATCCCGCAGTCGGTGTTTTTTTTTTGTTTTTGAGGAATGCAATGTTTGTGCTTAGTGCTATGGCTCTATTAGTCTATGATTCATCCTATTGGATTTTTTGCTTTAAAATGCTTTGTTTAGTTGATTGGGACATTATCATAGAACCATAAAAGATTGTGGTTATAACAAATCTTTAGTCAACGTAAGCCTACCTAACTGTATATATTTTCAAAATGAAATGGAATACTGCACAAAGATGATTCTTCACTTGTTGCTATGTGGACATGGGATGTTCAAGATGTAACATTCGTTGTACATGATTTATTGCTTACAAACAACTTTCTTTGCATGATTGTAAATTATTCAGACAAGTCGTGTTCTTATCACGTCTCTATCACAACAGGTAGTCCAGCAGACTCATATGCCTCTATAGTTCAGAGTCCTGAATGCAAAAATTCGATATAAAGAAACCTAGTTTCATCAAGTTGCTATAAAGGAAGTAAAATATAAGGCAGTCGTAGTATTCTACTGTATAGATGAATATTTCCAACTATCTTTTGGGTATATAATTGACAAATTGAATTGCCTTGACATTGTGTGTGTGTGTGTGTGTTTGTAGAGATGACTAGTGAAATGCCGGCAAAGGGGATACACCAAGAAACTTTACAAAACAGCAGAACAGAGGCAAGTAACGAGTTTGAAGTGTTAGAAGACGACGATGAATTCGAAGAGTTTGAAGACGAAGGTATTTTTGGTATTTGTAACTGGAGTTTTTACTAAGCAGTCAAAAATAGAGTGGACGCTTCAGAACGAAGACGGAGCCGTAGAAGAACAAGAATGGGAAGAAGACTGGGACGACGAAGCTGCAGATGACGACTTTATAATACAACTCAGAACAGAGTTAAAAAACCAAGGTGTTTTGAAAGAGGAGTCTTGAGCATACAGGGGAGGCACCAAGTTTCTAGAAACTTGGTCAACTTGTTCCGCGTCCACAAAAGTTGCAATAAAAAAATTTTACCTTGTTTGGCACGAATAAAAGATACGAGAAACTTGTCAGTACACTCCGACGCAGAATGCATGTTGAAATAGTCTTACATCCTGTTTTATGTGCATACTGAAACGGGTAAGTTTCTACAACTCCCGTTTCTAATTTTCGAGAGCAAACTCAACGTCCAGAAAATACATCAAGCCTAATAGACTATTATCTGAACATACTCTCAGCTCTCGTAAACGACAACGTTGTGTGATTTCTTATGAAAAACAGACTCGCGCTGTCTTTATTGCTAAACACGGCGAGTGAATTGAAAACGATGAATTTCTACTCCCAACCTATTCCTGCCTTTTCTTTTCTGCTTATTTCCAAGTGTCGCGTTTATTTTTTGGGGCAACAGGCTATAAGGAAGAAATTGTTTTCAGTTGACGTACGAAACTTTGTTTCAACTATGAGTGCAAGTAGTAACGGTGTAGCTAATGGTGCTGGAGGTACCTGTAAAATTGACTTGAAGGATCCCGAGTTGCTCAAGACTAGTTGCTTTATTGGTGGCAAGTTTGTACCTGCTGCAAAAGAAGATGGTCAAGGATGGTTCGATGTCTTCAATCCTGCAACAGGTGAATTAGTTGCAAAAGTTGCTGATGGAGGAAGGATTACCACACAACAGGCAATTGAGACTGCAAAGAGTGCTTTTGACTCTTGGAAGAAACTTACCGCTTTAGAACGCTCTACAATACTTAAAAAGTGGTTTGACCTTATCATTCAAAATGCTGATGACTTGGGGAAGATTATGACTACTGAACAAGGCAAACCTCTCCCAGAAGCAGTAGGAGAAGTCAAATATGGTGCATCCTTTGTGGAATTTTTTGCTGAAGAAGCCAAACGTCTCTATGGTGATATTATCCCAGCAGGTTCACAAACAAGAGCACTGGTGATTCCTCAGCCAGTGGGTGTCTGTGGTTTGGTCACACCTTGGAATTTCCCGTAAGTTTTTTTTTTTGATATTTCTGATATCCAGCTCAACTTGATTCCACTAGTTGTGCTATGTTGACACGTAAAGCAGCACCAGCACTAGCTGCAGGCTGCACAGTCGTTTGTAAACCGTCAGAAATGACACCATTGTCTGCACTTGCTTTATGTGAACTTGCTGTTCGTGCAGGTGTACCAGCAGGAGTATTAAATGTTGTAACCGGTTTTCATGCCCAGCCAATTGGTGAAGAATTGACTACCAATCCTGTTGTAAGGAAGATTAGTTTTACTGGTTCTACAGCTGTTGGAAAGAAGCTGATGATGCAAAGTTCTTCGACTGTCAAAAAGGTCAGTCTTGAACTTGGAGGTTTAGCACCGTTTATTATTATGGAAGATGCCAATTTGGATGCAGCAGTTTCCGGTCTAATTGCTTGCAAATTTAGGAACAACGGTCAGACGTGTATTTGTGCGAATAGAGTTTATGTTCAGTCAAGTATATATGATAAGTTTGCGGAAAAAGTTGTAGAGAAAGTAAAGACTCTTCGAGTTGGTAATGGTATGGAAGCTGGAGTGAATTTGGGACCTCTTATCAATGAAAAAGCTGTTGAGAAAGTGGACAGACATGTAAAGGATGCCGTATCTAAAGGAGCCAAGGTACTTGTTGGTGGCTCTCCACATTCTCTTGGAGGTCTGTTTTATCAACCCACAGTGATGACCCACATGATTGATTCTATGGTGATGTCTTGTGAGGAAACTTTTGGTCCTGTTATTGGTCTATTCAAGTTTGATTCTGAAGAGGAAGTGTTAAAGAGAGCCAATAATACAAATTATGGTTTGGCATCTTATTTGTATACATCCAATTTGGCGAGAGCATGGAGAATGGCAGAGTCATTAGAAAGTGGCATGGTTGGTTTGAATGAGCCCATGATTAGTACTGCTACTGTTCCCTTTGGTGGTGTAAAGGAAAGTGGTATAGGTCGTGAAGGAAGTAAATATGGCATAGCAGAATATGTTAATCTGAAATATGTGTTGATGGGTGGTATTGTTCCATCCTCTTAAAGCTTATGTTTGTTCATTTGTTGTCGGACATTGTGTTTGATATATGTTGAATGCTTTATAAAGTTGGGCCATTGTTGAAGAGGAATATTTCATTTTTAAATGTTATAGTGAATCCCATATAATCTAGTTTTCTATGAAAAGTTTTTATTACTTGCTCACTCTGTGGAAGAAGCATTAAAGAATGGGCCTCATAAGATTCCTCCTCCTCAAATAGAAATCGACGTAGAAAACAATCTCGAGGAAGAGGAGGAGGAGGAGAGGACGGTTGAAGCAATTCCAGAACAACACAATTATTCATTACAGCTGAACGTGGCCATTTGTTCTTTCTTTGAGAGGGAGGGGGTGTTGAAGATACTGTTTGTTTCTTATATTTGAATTAGTATTGTTCAGTGTGTATTTGGTAGCATGTTTTACGGAGTTGTATTGTAACTGACCAAAATATCATGGCTTGCGTGGCAAACGAGCCTGCTGGTTGGAAGACAAGTTACGAACCAACTCAACTAGCAGATAATGAGTGCAGCACCCCTCAACTTGAAGTTTGTACTATAAGGTTTTTGTTATTGGATGGTAACGACTTTCGTGTTGCTTTCCCACCAAACACTACAGTGTTGCAGTTGAAAGAAAGGGTTCTTGAAGACCGACCACAAGGCAAGCAACTTTTGGGTCCTCCTGTTTTTACTCAAGACTTGTAGCTTTTCTTTCATTTTTAGAACACAATAGACTGCCTTCTCCATTGTATCCCTCAGATATTCGTTTGTTTTACTTTGGAAAAGATATGGAAGAAGAAAAGACCCTTCAAGGTAGGAACAACAGCCAACAAGACGATGTCTAGTGACTAAGCCACTCCTAAGATTATGGAATTTCACCTCAAGAAGTCTCCACTATTCATTTCGTTGTTCGAATGAGAACACATCAAGTTGTTCAATCCGAAAAGGATGAAGTGAAAAAACAACGAGCTTGTGCGTCTTGTGTAATATGTTGAATGGTGGTGGAGTTGGGAAACTGTTGTTGTCGCATTTATTTATCATTTCATATGGCGGTTAGGTGAAGAAAAGGTTGATAGTCTTGTCGATGACGAACATCTTTCGTTGTAGATATTCCCGAATTATTCTTATGACACAAGAACGTAAATTTCATCTTTATCTCATTTCACTGTATTTTGTCTGCTACTTATTCTATCACCGAGACTTAAAGCCACTCCTTGCATCTTGCTTCGAATTCTTATAAATCCAACGATATTTCCTTGTGCTGTCTTTTCCGCACTCACATTCAACAATGCATCTTCTCCAAATATCGATGTCGCATATAAATTGGCTGCTAGAAATCCTGATTCATTCTCCAATCCACGTGGTGTAAGACATTTCATGTTGGTACAACGAATCACAAAGTCCAAGTATTCACCAAGGTCCACAATATTGGTTTGAATGGCAATCTTATTTTCCCATTCAAACTCTGCCCAAAGTGAACGGAAAACAGCATCTGAAACTACACCGGGATGAAGATAATCCATGACATCGATATGAATATCGCTTAGAATAACACTACGCGAAGGAGAAGCTTTCCCTGCAACATCATAAACTATTGTGCCAAATATAATTCCAGCTTCTGTGGAAGAAACTTTGATATTGGTTCGAATACTTCGTTGATCCAATGGTCCTATATTATGGCTTTGTGGTCGTTCACATAGTCTTAAATCTCCCATTGTTGCTAGTTCTACTGTCAGATTTTGTAAAGTATCCGTGGTTTGGTTCATCACTAGGATATCTAATATGATGTCATATTGTTTAACTGCCACATGAGCCTCAGCATAAACTGGATCAGTTCTACCAGTTAATTGAACCACTTTGGTGAGATCAAATTCGATACTTTCATCTTCTTCTTCCACTACATGATGTCAATGTTCGTCGTTTCAAAGTGCTGTCTGACTTACCAAAGTTAGAGTCCCACTCTTTCAAAGCAGAGGAGTGTTCAGAATAGTCAAGAAGGCCTCCAAACTGTCGTTGCGTTCTCAAAATTCTAAACTCGATGGGCTCATCTACTTGCAAGTGATCTTTTTCCGCTTGTTCCCGAAGTTTCTCGTCTTCTTTCTTGTGCCTTTCTCTAATGTATTCTTCGAATGCTATATGGCTTGATCTTAAGAAAAGGTCTCCAGGAACATCTCCAGTCAATGAAAGTATACATAAAATAATTCGTTCAGCAGAACCTGAGTCCATTTTGGATGGAGCCTCTGAAGACTGTGCAAAACTAATGCTACTTCAGTATTATTATCCTCCTTCTTGGTAAAACTACTTACCGTAACAAAGAACTGCAGAGAAGCATAGCATTAGCATTCATTTTATGACTCGTCTGCTTATTCACTAGATTACGAGATTTCAGAGCCAATTTGGTAATAGCAGAACAAACTGCAACTCCAAGAAAGTAGTCACCGCCAAGTATCAAACTTCGAACAGCTGGACCTTGTTTATTCAAGTCTCTCTTTTCTATTCCAGTAGCCAATTCTTCAATAACAGTCTGTGTTGCATAAGTCCCATCTGCCAATACTTTTGGCTTTTTGGAAGATACGGAATGAAAACTATGATCCGAACTCACGCTTTGGACATCACTGAAAACTTCCGTTTCCGTATTTTTAGTCACATGAGGTGAAAGCGGTAATGGACTAACTACAGTTAGAACTGCTTGGAAAGAATTATTGACTTGATCACTATTTGAACTGAATTCTGCAAGAATCCAAAAGATTCCACGCAATACTCTAGGGTTGTGCAATCCAGAAGTTACGATATAACCAAGTCTTTCTATGATTGATGACTGAAGATGAGGATATTTCACAGCCACCTCTCTCAAAGCAATAACGGCATCGGGTGCAACGACAGCCAATTCATCATCAACAAATTCTTCCAAAACACTTGTCGCCAAAGCTACACAGTCTGGAAAGTTCATAGCAATATTTCGAATGAAACGAAGCAATAATTGACGATATTGTAATGTTACTTCAAAGTCATCTCCAACTTCTGTGGCAAGTCCGTGGATTTCTTTTCTTATCAAGTTGATGATGGGCTGTGCATTTCGTGATGTTACCAAATCAGAAGCCAAGCTGAGTACTTTCTTTCGGATTTCCAAATTAGGAGAGGACAAAATGCGCATCATATCAAATAATACTTCTTGCATCACAGACAGATGATTCGTACGAATTTCTTCCAAACGATCCAACAAAATAAGCCGTATATTATTATCGCTCTGAGATAATAATAGCCTACAATAACATTCCACTGCTGCACGAACAGCTGTTGTTGACTGAGATAATGAAAATAAGGTATTTGCAGCTTCAAAAGCGACCGAAGCAGAACTACTTTGAAGCAATTCAAAAATCAATTTGATAAATGTGGCTTTTTCTTCCGGTTTTGATTTACAAATAGTTCTTATCAACTTGAGAGCAGAAAGTTGAAGTGTCTCACCCCATGAGGAAACAACTTCCAACGAGTGTACCAAATATTTCACTGCCTTATCTTCGTCACATTGACAAAGCATCTCAAACGCGTTCCTTCTACAAGATACATCGGTTTCGCCTTGAAGAAACTGATAAACCAATTCAGGAGCATCGGGTATCAAATATTCAAAGTTTCGAAATATCTTTGAGAGGAATGAGATGAAATAAGATTTCTAGAACCATTTTGGTTTTACTTACCATATGAACTGCCAATATTGCATTTCTTCTTACAAAGCTGTGTCTATGTTCCAAGTTTTGTCTAACTGTAGGCACAAGCGGCTCCAGTATTTCGGCTTCTTTCATTTTACATATAAAGCGCAAGGCACAACCTCTTGAATACTCGTTGGGGTGGGTCAGTTCGTTTCTAATCATATTACTATAGAAAACAATTCATATAGATAAAACACAATGTCTTCACACATACCAAACCAAAATCATCTCTGGAAGCATTTTGCCTTGGGGCCCAGTCTTATCGACTATTTCCAAGTACACCAAACAGAGCTTGCGCAAGTGATTGTCTTCGTGCGGAAGAATAAAACTTTTCAAAAGATGAGCAACTTGAGAAATTACAATCCGGAGGGGACCAACCGAATAACTGTCATAAGCACTCCAGGAAGGGTTTCACCGTTCAATTGCAACAAAATAGCCCTCTTCAAAGCTTTTGTTTTCTTCTCCACGTCACTGGACTCCAAATCCTTTTTAAGTTCACCTACTTCATTGGGTGTTGAACGATCATAGTGCACGGAGAGAGTACACTGTTTCTCCAAGGCAGCCATAGAGAGTCTTGCAATAATAATTTCCAACAAGAATAATCAATCCACAAAGAATTTGTATAATCAATCTTTATTGTCCACAAAGAAGTAATTGCCACTTTGCTTTTGCTCTTTATCTTTTACCGATTCCAATTTGTTGATTCTAGGACGATAATTGGTTGGGTCTCTTCGAAAAGTAATATCTAAGTTCTTGAGGAATTTGTTCATTCCAGGGACCAAGGCTTGAGGAGCACATGCAGTACATTCTCTAGCCGGAGTGCCTTCATATACGAGCACTCGATCTGCTAAATAAGTTGCCATAATAAAGTCATGCTCTACCACAAAAGCAGTCTTCTTGGAGTGTAAAATAAACCTTTTAATCACTTTGGCAGTGACAATACGTTGTTCAGAGTCCAAATAGGCACTTGGCTCATCAATTAGATATATATCAGCAGGTTTTCCTAAAGCAAGAACTATTGCAACCCTTTGAAGTTCACCACCAGAAAGATTCTTCACTTCTTGATCTAATATGGACTCTATTTGCATAGGCTTCAATACATCTGTTGAGAACTGAGGATGATTGAAAGAATCTCTTATTTTGCCGTGAAGTAACTGACGAACAGTTCCCTCAAATGATGGCGAAATCTTTTGAGGTTTATAAGAAACATGTAATTCTGGAATAGTTTCTTCAGAATCAGGTTTCAATAATCCTGCCAACATACGAATAAAAGTAGTCTTTCCAGTTCCATTTTCACCCAACATAACCACAATTTCTGAATCTGTAAAACTTCCTGCCATAACATGCAATACAAAGTTACCCAAAGTCTTCGTCATGGCTGGATAAGAATATAAACGAGGTGCATTATCTCCCAAAGACTCGGTATCTCCAGTTTCCGATATTTTAAATGATAAAGCAGTTTCTCTAAAACGTAGATTTTCCGTAGGAACAAAGCCAGCAAGAAATACATTGATTCCTTCTCTTACTGAAAAAGGCATAGTGACAACACCATAAGCGCCAGGCACTCCATACAAACAACAAATAAAGTCCGATAAATAATCCAATACGGCCAAATCGTGTTCAACTACAATAACATAAGTCTTTGTTCCCACATGAATAAGAGAACGAATAGTCTTCATAAAAAGATCAGTTTTTCATCCATCATCACTTTCAAGGACAATCTTACCTGTGCTGCTTTCAGCCTTTGTTTCACATCAAGAAATGAGCTCGGTTCATCCACCATATAGACATCTGACTTTTGTACAATAACAACTCCAAGTGCAAAACGTTGAAGTTCACCACCACTTAAAGTCTTTACGTCTCGATCTAAAATAGACTTCAAGTCAAGCGCTTCCACTATTTCATCCATTACACCGCGGTCGTTTTTCTTCTCTAACAAGTTTCCAACAGTGCCACTAACTGCACGAGGGATTTGGTCGACATATTGGGGTTTGATGATGGCCTTCAAGTTGTCTTCAAGAATCATAACGAAATAGTTTTGCAGTTCACTTCCTCGAAAATATTGAAGGATTTCTTGCCAATCGGGAGGATTTTCCCAACGACCCAGGTTTGGTTTCAGTTTAGCTGACAATATTTTTAGTGCAGTACTTTTGCCGATGCCGTTAGTGCCTACCAGACCCAATACTTGTCCTGGTCTTGGAGTTGGAAGACGATGAAGTTTGAAAGAGTTGGGTCCATAACGATGAACCGTGTCTTTTTCCAAGTTTTTTGGTAGATTGATTATTTGAATAGCGTCAAAAGGACATTTTTTCACACATATACCACAACCAATACACAACTCTTCAGATATATAGGCAACCTTTGATTTGGGAGTAACGTCGATACAAAGTTTGCCCATACGATTGACAGGACAACTTTTTTTGCACTCTTGTTGGCATCTTTTGGGTTTACATTTGTCTTCGCTTACGATGGCTATTCTCGTAAGTTTTTCCGCCATCGTCGTCGCCAATACAAAGACAAATGTCTAATGTCCCAAAAAGGAATCACATGATTCGACTATGCTATACAATTCCATATATATATATATATGTATGTATATATATATATATATATATGTGTATATATATATATATATATATATATATATATATATATGTGTGTATATATATATATATATATATATGATATTTGTATCACTATTCTATGCAATACATCATTGCATATCTCCTATTTTCATATACTCCTTATACAAATTATGTACTACAATATGCATATACTCCATATACAAAGAAAAGTAATAGAATAGCATGTTTCCATTGGATGAAAAATAATTAGTCCCATTTACTTGTTGCCGTTGAGTTTCAAATGGTGCCCACTTTTATTCTTCCTTCGCACGTGACTCTTTTGTTGTTCATAGTAGCTACCTATTTATGGTTATTCCAACTTTCCCATTCTTTTTGTTATGAATATGTAGTAAAGATACCTCTCTTGTTGGGTGGTATATACCTTTCATTGATTGTGTTTCAGGCAGCACAGGAAGGACGCAGGCCGTGGAATCCAAATAAACTCAGCCATCACGACAACAATACAAGTATTCGTCAGCAACAATTAGCATATAGGGAGAGACTATTGGTTCTTAAAGAGAAAGAAATGGAAAAAAAATTTATTCAATTGCAAAAAAGCCTTGCTGATAAATTGCAACTTTGTATGGTTCAAACAGAGAAGAACAACTTGAAAGAAGATACAAAATCGCCTCTATTGAGCAACAGCTATGAATTGGAAGAACCGAAATGCACAGAGATCAACTTCCTTCCTCCCAAGAAGAGTACGTTATCAAAGGAATCAGAAACCAACGGAAAAGAACGAAAGATAACCAAAAGAAAGTGGTTCCGAAGAAGATTTTTCCACAAGAATACCATATGAAACTTCAAAACGAAAATTCAATTATAGAAAAACTTGTAATGCCTTGAATTGTAACATTGTTGTAAAAAAACTGGACCTTTTCCAATAATATTCAACTTTGCCATAAGAGAAAAACCAAATTTATTTAAACATTATCGAAAATGAAGTATAACAAAGAAATCAAACAAATTTCATCAAACAATCTCCAGGATAAATAGTAGGTAGATAGATAATGTCATCGCTCTTCTTCGTCCGATATCGCTGAAACTTGCATTCCGTACTAATAAGTGCAAGAAAAGCAATCAAATTGTTAATCGCATATTCACGACCCACACAGACATGTGGGCCTATACCAAATGTCAAAAAGTTCTGACGATATTTAATATCTTCTTGTCTCTCTGGACTCATACGATCCTAACAATAATATTCCATTCAGTTCAATGAGAAAAAAGAGTATGAAAATATACAAACCGGATCAAACTTATATGCATCTGGAAACCCTTGCATACAAGAACTCCATATGGAAGGCATCACAAAGGAACCTTTAGGTACAGTCACATTCTCTGTTAAAGGAACACTGCCCATCGCATTTTGAGGAACCATAACAGCAGGAGGACGATATCGTAAAATTTCTTTAACTACTTGACGAGTATAAGTCATACTTTCCACAAGTTCAAAGGAAAGGGGTTCATTATTAGGTCTTAGCCTTTTCTGCTCTTCCTGTACTTTCTTCAAAACATCGGGATAATCCGACATCAAAGCCAAAGTCCACGTTAAAGAAGCAGTTGAGGCATCTTGGCTTGCAAATAAAAAGTCCATGAGTGTTTCTGCCATCTTTCGATTGTTGGAATAAGAAGGCATTTCTTTATCTTGCTGTGTCGCCTCTTCCATTTCTTCCAATACCCGTTGAGTCCAAAAGTCAAGTAAACAGCGAGGAGTTCCACCATTTCCAATGTATTTCTTAGATTGAATAACTGCATTTTCTAGCAAAGCTACAATCTTTTTCCTAGCAAAATAGGCTTTCCAGAGATTGGTTCCAGGAAGAAATACGGGAGCCGAAATAAAGGCCTTTGTGACTGTTATATACCAGTGGCAAAATTGATCTCTTTGTTCACCTATATAGGGACCAGCAAAGACATATTGAGAAGTTTCCAAGTTCAGGTCTCTACAAAGAAAAGACATTTCCATCTCATCATTTTCTTTGGACAGCTGTATCCATTTTTGCAAATGACTCTTGATGGAGGTCTCCTGAAGGGTGAGATATACACCGAGTGCTTTACGAGTGAACAAGCTTAGAAAACTTTTCCGCAATTCCTTATGTTCTTGTCCGTGCATAAACGCAATATTATTTTTTCCTAATATCAATCTTGCAGAAGGATGAAGTGCCAGAAGAAATGTTCTAGCAGAGTTGTTATTGAGAATAGCTCGCACCAAAGCGGAATCGGTTACAAACAAGGTTATTCTTCCCACCAAGAAATTTGCGGAAACACCTTGAGGGTCTAATAGTCTTTGCTTTTCCCAAAATTGATAAGGATTCTTTACCATTTCGATAATAGAACCCAAAAAAGGAAGGGTGAAAGAAGGTCCGGGTAATTTGGAGGAACGTTTCCACCAAAAATAATGAAGTTGTTCAAGGATAAAGTAACATATCATGGTTATCACAACTAGCAAAATGATAAGGTTCCCTGAAGAAAGGCTATTGAAACTAACTATATCCATAGGGTTCACTGATAGAGTTGATTGTGCAGTTGTTATGCTACAAATCCCAAAACTGTGCAATTCACCACACAAATCAAAATAAAAACGACGATTCGAAAACAAAAAATGTCCAATAGAGGCGTGTCATTCAAGTCATTATATTCTTATAGGACAAAAGCATATATTTGTTTTATATTTATATACGAAAATAAGACTAAAACATAGTTGTAAATGTATTAATTCTTGTTGGTTTTATCTAATCTAGACAATATAAGGATTGGTTTGTCTATATCAATTGATAGAATATGCTGTCTATATATCTATATATATATCTATCTATCTATATATCTATATATCTATATATATATATATATAAGAGAGAATCATGGCCTATTTATTAACTCGTGATATTCTTTACAAGAAAAATTAAAATCATCATTAGGGTAGTTTAGGCATTTGGGATTTGAGAACAACAAAGAGCTTGTTGGAGGAAGAAGTTGTTGTTGGAACACCTGCATATTGGCTTGGTAATGAGTCGGTTGGCAGACTTTTGTCAAAAGGTACCAGGACTCCGTGGTTTTTACAACTTTCTGGCGCGTGTGCACTTGAGAGGCGTAGAAAAAGAGTTGCGCAAGTATGGTGGGTTAGAAAAGGCCGTCCCTAAAGCAAGTTCTCAATACAACTAGGACTGAGATATGATGACCTTCTTAATGAGCAAGACCCTGACGTTAAACAGGCTATTGAAATGCTTCCAGAACATGAAAAGCAGCTAAGGGCTAAACGTTTCATTCGTGCGTTTGATCTGTCTATGAAAAAGACTCAACTACCCGAAGAAATAGCACAAAAAGAGGATATTTGGAATCCTTATCTTCGAAGTCGCATTCAGTTGATTCGCAGAGAAAGGCACCGAAATGAAACTTACAAGTAAACAATTTTTCATAAAATAAAGAGTTTTGTTTGGGTTTTCTTCCCATCCTAGTTGAGAGAATATGGCATTATCCGCAGTGTCTCAGTGGCTTGTGTTGGGATATACATTTTTGTTGACTATGGGAGGGTATGATGTGTCACATAATAATAAAACTGAGAGTTGAATCAGAATATAGACTCATAGGATATGTCAAAGCAGGCAGTGTGCCTTCTTTGATATCCAGTTTGCTCAGCGGTACTGCTCGTGACGATCTTCTTCAGTTGTAGTGCATAACTCGGGTTTCGTAGGTAGTATTTTACTATATGGAGTATATCTATCCAACTGGAAGGTTTGTTTCTTGACTCTTGTCGTATTATGTGTGGTATTCCTTTGGAGATGGTCCAAGACAGGCAAAATAATGCCTTCCGTACCTCTAGCTTGTTTGACTGCTTTCACTTGCATTATTCTATGGGTATTAGAAAACAAAACCTAAAGAGTTTTCCAATATAAAGAGTTTTTGTCATAAATGGCAGTCGATAACTATTGAGCTTTTGAAATTGTGGTTTCTTCATGTGGTGCTGAAATAATAACAAGTCTCGCCATGTCTTACGCCTACTTGTTTAAATTTATCATAATAGGAGACTCAGGAGTTGGAAAGTCTTGTCTACTTTTACAGTTTACAGACAAAAGATTCCAACCTATACACGACTTGACTATTGGAGTCGAGTTTGGTGCAAAGATTGTTCAGATGGATGGAAAGACGATAAAGTTGCAAATATGGGATACGGCTGGACAAGAGTCTTTTCGTTCTATTACTAGAAGCTATTATCGTGGAGCTGCTGGAGCATTGTTAGTATACGATATTACACGTCGAGAAACCTTCAACCACCTTGCCACTTGGTTAGAAGACGCCAGACAGTATTCGAGTCCAGATATGACGGTAGTTCTGGTCGGTAATAAATGTGACTTGGAACACCGTCGACAGGTTTCGAAGGAAGAAGGAGAAGCTTTTGCTCGTGCACACGGTTTGAGTTTTCTTGAAACATCAGCGAAGACAGCTTTTCACGTGGAAGAGACGTTCACGGAAGCTGCAAGAACTATTTATGAAAAGATCAAACAAGGAAAGTTGGATTTGAATGGAGACTTTCAGGGTGTGAAAGTTGGTGCTACAGCAAACACCATACAGTTACAACAGAACAACCAAGACGAAAGAAGCGGTTGTTGTTGAAAATTTTGTGAGGCTTGGTTCCCAAAGAACAAGTTCAAGGGAATAAAAAGTTTGTATACACTCTTTACACTGACGTTAGTTCAGATAAGACTCGGAATATCTTTTTGTCGCACCACTTGAATGAACTTGCGGAGATTTGGATCAAGTCATCTACGCAAAAAACGTTGCATCAAGTGGTTTCGAAGCTTCGTCGGTGCAGCTAATAAACCCATCAGTCCTATGTTGGCGGCAACACAAGCGTAATACCTAAAAAGGAAAAGTTGAAGTAATCAAAAACTTGACTTCGTTCTCCCTACTTTTGAAGGAAACTTTGCTTTTTCGTTTTATGATGAAACTTTCTCATGGCTACGAAACCTCCCAACCAACCGCCAACCAATGCTGTGGAGCAAAGAACCTTTTCAGGAATTCTCCAACCTCCTGTTCTCGCCTGTTCCTTATCGAGACCAAATAAACCTGCAGCAGTTGTATTCACTAGTCCCAAATAAGAGACGAATAGTCTAGTATTCGGGTTATTCAATGGGTTTCTAAAGGACATTTGTCTCAAGTAACAACACTAAAGGGATCGAAAACCACCCAAAACTACAATTGTCGTCGGTTCCGTACTAAAACAGACATCGAAATGGTTCAAGTGGAAAATTCAAACGATTCGTTTATTAGTAAGTTTTCATCAACGACGTGACCGCTTGCGCGATTGGCTATTCTCTCTGTCATCTTCGGGATAGCGACGCTTTTCTTTGTCTTCTTCAGCTGCTCGTCTTTCCATTTCATCCCAATCTAACCCTTCTTCTTCCGAACTCAATTCGGCTTCTCCACCAGAACTTCCTTCAAGTTCTTTGGTATCCACTTCTTCATCTGGTTCATACTCGTCGGAATCATCCTCAGACTCACTATCCGACGGATTATATGAAGCTTCACTCGAAGCAGCTTCCTCTTCATTGCCTGAGCCCTCTTCGGAAGAATCAGGATTCAAAAACTCCCAACCACCTTCCTCATAGAAAACAGGCAAATCTGATCGAATAGACTTTAAAACATCAGTCCAGTTGAGACTAACTCGACTTTCATAGTATTTTATATCTTGCTCATCCAAAAAGCTCTGTAATGATTTCAACTCTTCCTTTGGAATGGATGAGATTCTAACAAAGCATTTTTTCACTTCTGGTTCCGTTTCAAAGTTCTTGTAAATAAACACAATATCAAAGCTCTTCAACGAGAAATCGACTCTCTCAAAGCATGCAATTTCAACATCAGGGAGCGAAAGAATAAACGGAGGCCAGTCAATCAAGTCTACTATACAATGTAGCGTAGGTACAAGTGTCAAGGTTGCAGTGGCTGGAGCACCAGAAAAACAAAGTTCACGATAGGGAATATCAAATTCTATTGCATTGCCATTCTCTACTTCTTTCACAAAACGATAAAAAGCACGATTAATTTTGTTACGCATTTCTCTTTCACGTTGTTCCTCTTCAACTTCTTCTTGGTCAAAGTTTCTTCGACGACTGTTGGAAAGTTTAATAGCACCCTCCATCACCTCTGTGTAGAACTGAACATCTTGTGACTTCTTCCCTCCGACCATAATAGCATGCTTTAAGTGAAAGTGCAAAACCACAATGATCTCGCTCTTGGCTTCTTGGAAAAATGCATGCCTAACAATTGGACTTGTAAGAAAACCAAATTAACGACTTTCTTTCAAGACACCAACTCACTTAATGTTTCGATACAAAATATCCACCACAAAACCAGTCTTTGCTTTGTATCGAAAGCCATTGGAATGTGCCTCCAAGATACCGGAATTCAACTTTCCCTTTCCTGCAAAGGGTCTTATCGAAACATCCACCAATTGAGGGACTCTTCCTATTAATAACTTGAGCTTAAAGCTATGCATCATATATACAGCACATCAACAATATACCTTTGTCTAGAATTAAAGCTTCTTGTTCAACAAGGCTTTCCTTCTCACGTTCTGCGACTTCTCGAGAAATAAATCGCTTCCTCAACTCCTTTATCTTTCTTAGACATTCATTCAAATTGACGGGACTAGTACTCCGAAAACTGAGCTCTTTTATAAAGTCCTTTTCCAAGTTCGGGACTTTTGCAACTAGCAAGATATTAGAATATAATGAAACCAATCGGAGAGGACTTTCGTACCATTATTACTTCGATTTTGAGGTCCAATGCTAACAGGAACGTGAAAATTGATTCGAAGATATGTAAAATGGCCTTCATCACTCTTACTGGCGTTTTTAATAGTGGCAACATGGAATGGAACTGCCATCCCATTAATTGGTACAATCAAGGCTTCCGCATCCATATCCACAAAAATCTGACGCGGTCTTAGTGGTGGCAGAAGTGATGCATCTTTATATGCTGCATACTCATCAGCAGCTTTCACTCCTGACGGTTGTGACGAGTCACGGTCCTTTGAACCATTTCCAGACAACCTTTGTTGTGCCTATTGAAAACAGATTCAATAATGCGAAAAATGTTACAATAAATGCTTCTTACTTCTTGTAACTTTCGCTGGGCAAGTTCTTGTTGATGTTTCTTTCTCTTTTCTTCGTCCTCAACAAAGTTTTCTTCTATTTCACCAGCACCTCTATTTCTTCTCCTTAATGAAGTACTCTGAGCAACATTCATATCATCCAAATATTGTCGCGATATTTCTCTATCTGCTTCCTCGTCCTCTTCTCCTTCGAGGAAATAAGTAATTTCCTTCAAATCTTTTGCAACTTTATCCGTCAATATTGAAAGGTCATCCTCGACTACAATGACAGTGTCCGCCACTTGCAGGGCATAATTACCAATAGAATCATTAAGTTGCTGCAGTCCGATTGAGAGGTTAAAAACCATATTAGGCTTCACTTCTCTTTCATTCTTTGGAGAAATTAGTAGAGAGGAATCACGAAATTCTATGCCTGTCCCAAAACCAATATTTTTTGTCAAGTGTTGCTCCAAACCTGACTTCTGTCGCTTCAACTCATTCAATACCTCCTCATAAACAGTACGAAGCTTGACTCCGGGACGAAGATATTCAACTGCTTTGGCAAGGACATTAAGAAGAATACCGTAGTTTTCACTTCGCTCATTTGTCGGGTCCACTAAAAAGGTACGCGTAACATTAGAGCAATAGCTTCCATATCTAGCTCCAATAGAACAAATAATGCAATCAGGTGAAAGCATATTTCGGTCACTTTGAGCACTAGGTCTTAGGTCATAACTGCCGCCACTTTGAATAATAGGAGGATAACAAGCATCGCACAAGTTAGAGTCTATCTTGAGGTTAAGTTTCTCAGGAGAAAACATATATTCTTCAACCTGTTCTGATAGTTTCTCGTGTGAAACCTTCTTCCCTTCGTCTAATATATTTTCAATACGCGGGATCAGGAACTTGTTAAAAATAGTTGTCGTGACCGTTGCTGCAGTTTTCATACGATTTAGTTCTTCCTTGTCTTTGACTTGCAATAAGGTAGCAATATCATCATTTACTACTACGGTTTCAAGAGGAGGGCCTCTATTTATGTACTTGTCGAATAACTCGCAAAGCTTTCCTTTTTGAGGGTCCTTCCTTACGACTCCAAGTACACACTTTGTATCTTTTCCCCCAAATATTGTTTCTACAGCTTTTTGAAAAGTCGATTCAATCTCTGACTCCTGCGAGAACTCAAAGAAAGTGAGTGTGGGCACGTCTGTGAGGTTCTTTGACAGGTTTCTCAAAGCAGTACAATTCTCCGTGTTCGTAATCACATTTAGTTGTTCTTTGCGGAAAAATAAAACAGTTTCCTGAATCTCTTCTCCAAAAAGCCAGACGAACAAAGATAACGAACGAGAATAACCAGTTACTTCGTCTTGCTCCGTTTTCCCAGAGGCAACAGCTAAAACCTCTGAACTATGCAAGCCACCCGAACCTTCCGCTTCCCAGAATGAATAAAGACTGCGAAGTTTTCTTGCAAAGTCTTCTTGAGAACGAGTCACCATACTACCGTAAGGAAGCAAGAGGGAAATAGCGCAGTTGTACCCGAGTTGGCGCAAATATTTAAATTGCTAATTACCGTAATGGTTTCTTGAGCCTTCAGGAAAGACTTGAAAGAATAGAGTTATCCACGGAAGCAAGTCAGTTGAGTGAAAATAACAAGGAAATCGTTTATATATATAAATATATATACATATATATATATATATATGAGATGTGTGACCTGTCCAAGTCTGATGTGAAATGCGCCGAAATGCCTTCAAGGCTCAAGGAACTCATACAAAATATTCTAGACTTAAGATCTCATACAAGCCTATGCTACTCTTTGCACAACGCTTTGGCCAGCTACTAAGTGTACATCTATTTCAAACGACGTCGGTTACTTGTTCCGTGATGGCGTCTCGGCCTCGATGACAAGTCTTTCTCCCTTGAACATTTGACTTATTTGTGCTTGTCTCTGTAACATCTGCAAATTCTTTTGGGCTTTCTCGACAGCTTTCAAGATGGCTTCTTCATCTTGGAGAAGCCTATTATAACATGAAGTCAAGTCGTAGTTCTTCTCGGCGGTACCGACTTACTTGTTTTGCCTAAAGGATTCCTTCACTCTAGCCAAGGAATATTCACGGAAATTATAGTCTGAGAACATGCTACTGTATTTCAGCATTTTCCGGTAGAGTCGCAGAACTTCTGAACGACTCATCAAACAACAAGGGCCCAATCAATCCTTTTATTCATTCTCTTCGTTCAACCTTAAGAGCATTCATTCTCTCACATTTTTATAAGAAATTTAACAGTAAAATAAAAGATGGTGCATATATGTTAATTATTTCATTTCATGAAGAAAACACACTTTTGTAGTAGAAGCTGTATGAGAGTTGCCATAATATGCACATGTGGTTCTATTTCAAACTACCATCTATTCAAAGTCTTGTTTGACAAACCAACCTATGGGCTATGAAATGAAATACGAAGGTGTACATTAGAAATGATTTCCACTTACAATCGATTTACGATTATTCATTTGTGATTGTGTGGTTCAAAAGTATTTTGGTAGAATTCTATTTAGCACTCTTTCAATGGCCTTGTGTTTTTGCAGCGTATGTGCATTCTCAAACAAAGGACTCTCTTCCAGTGTTTATCGTCCTTTCGGTTATACTAGTAAAACAAGTTCTTTGAAAACTAGTCAGTTATGCAGAAATGTTACAAAAAAAGTAACATTATTTCAAATGAAGACGTCTTCTGGTAACAAGACTACTGTAAAGGTTCGTCGTCCTAGACACAGATTATTTGGACTCTCGAATATGTTATACTATTCTTAGAATGTGAATACAGAACAACAACTTGATTCAGAATTGAATGGTGAAAAACCTGTGGAGAATGATGTTTCCAGTTCAGAGGAACAAACCTCTAAGTGGGTATACCCTTCAAGGAGATATGGAGCCACCATAGATATGGATGGAAAAAGCAACGTTTGGGCAGTTGAACCTAAAGTAAGTTGGGGCGTCGAAAGCTTTTTGAATGCTTTCTTTCCGTGTTTTATAGGTAGTTGTACAATCAGAAGATGAAACAAGCAAGGGCAACTGGATACCTCTTATCATTGGAATAATAGTTGTTTTAATAGCTGCAGCTTTGCCTTTTTTGCCTTTAACTAATGCCGACCAATTTCGGTAAAGCAAACTTGCGAAACTTTTTGGGGAGTTCGTTGTAGGTTTTTTTAAGGGAAATAAAAAGGAACTTGTACACTCTTAGGCAATTGTTAAAAAAGGGAGATTTACTACAAACCAACACAAAACATAAATTCCTCTTTCTTTTCTTGTAACTATTATGCAGCTTCTTCCATTTCTGCTGCCATCTTTCGAGCATTCTCCACCACTTCATCAATATTTCCTTGCATATAAAATGCCTAACACACACAAAAATAAGCCAAATACAAGAACAAAAAATTATCATCCTTACTTTTTCTGGAAGATCATCATATTCACCGTTCAAAATTCCTTTGAAGCCTGCAATAGTATCCTTCAAGTCTACAAATTTGCCAGGATATCCTGTAAATACTTCTGCAACATGGAATGGCTGAGATAAGAAACGCTGAATCTTTCTAGCTCTTGCAACAGTCAATTTATCATCTTCAGATAACTCATCCATTCCCAAGATGGCAATAATATCTTGCAAGTTCTTATAATCTTGCAAGACTCTCTGTACTCCACGAGCGACATCATAATGTTCTTTTCCAATGATTCTTGCGTCCAACATACGACTTGTCGAGTCCAGTGGATCTACAGCTGGATATATACCCAACTCTGCAATTTGACGAGATAACACGGTAGTTGCATCCAAGTGAGCAAAAGTAGTTGCTGGAGCAGGATCTGTCAAGTCATCAGCTGGCACATAGATAGCTTGGACAGAAGTAATTGATCCTTTCTTTGTAGTTGTGATTCTTTCTTGTAATCCACCAAGATCAGTTGCCAAAGTAGGCTGATAACCCACAGCTGACGGAATACGTCCCAACAAAGCGGACACTTCTGCATTGGCCTGTGTAAAGCGGAATATATTATCAATGAATAACAACACATCTTGACCTTCTTCATCTCGGAAATATTCTGCAACTGCAAGTCCAGTTAATCCTACACGAGCACGGGCTCCTGGAGGTTCATTCATTTGACCATATACCAGTGCAGCTTTAGAGTCTCCACCATCTGTTCGAATAACACCACTTGTAAGCATTTCATGATAAAGATCATTTCCTTCACGAGTTCTTTCACCGACTCCTGTAAATACAGAGAAACCACCGTGCTTTTTGGCAATATTATTGATTAGCTCCATAATAAACACTGTTTTGCCTACTCCCGCACCTCCAAATAGTCCAATTTTACCTCCTCTTGCATAAGGAGCCAATAGATCAACTACTTTAATACCAGTTTGAAGAATAGAGGCTTCAGTTGATTGCTCTGTAAACTTTGGGGCTTCTCTGTGAATAGGATAGAAATGTTGGGTTTCAATTGGACCCCTTTCGTCAATGGGCTCTCCGATAACATTCATAATTCTTCCAAGAGTTGCTCTACCTACCGGAACCCTTATGGGATCTCCAGTATCCACCACTTTTTGACCTCTCACAAGTCCTTCAGTCGAATCCATAGCGATGCAACGTACAGTGTTCTCTCCCAAGTGCTGAGAAACTTCCAATACCAATCTGATATCGTGTCCTTCTACTTCAAGAGCATTCAGGATGGGAGGCAAGTCTCCTTCAAATTGCACATCCACTACTGCTCCTATGATCTGAGAGACTTTACCGTGACTTTTAGCTTTTGAAGAAGTAGTTTTCTCTGGGGTTGAAGCCTTTGGTGCATTTGCTGTACTGGGTTTGTTAGTCTCTGCTTTAGTAGGACCTGATGAGCCGCCTTGCTGAGTAGAAGCCCTTCGAACGCCTCGTACGAAGTGTTCTACAATCAGAATAAAGATATGATTCCGAATAATAAGACGAAATGCATACCTTGTTTCAAACCGATGGAAGCTTCACTTTGACGTGAAGAACGAGCGAGAAGCGAGGCAACTCGTCTCGAAAGAGAAGAAACGTTCCGTACCATTCTTTCTTAACAACCAAATCAATTGGACGGGGACGAACGACAATACAAAAGCAAGTTTAGATTCCTCATGTTTTCAATGTTAGGAAGAACTGCCGTATCTTATTTGAGGAAACAGACTCAAGTTCATATACTGAAAAGAGGTTTTGCAGACCAAGTTGCCCAAGGTTCAGAGAAACTGAAACTTAGCTTTGCCACACCCACTTCTGCCCTTCGAAAGGATGCCTCCGTGGTAAGAAGAGGCGCGTGTGTAGTTTCTAAACTTCCTCTCAATTGCTATAGGATATGGTAGTATTTCCTGCAGCTACAGGAATGATGGGCGTTCTTCCTCAACATGTTCCCACAGTTGCTCAACTAAAACCTGGTGTTGTCACTGTAATAGAAGAGGGCAAGGTTAGATGGAGAGAGAACTTTTGTGCCTTTTCCTCTTATTATATTATCATTTTTAGGAAGATAAGTATTTTGTCAGTAGTGGATTTGCTTTTGTTACCCAGGATCGAACAGATATCTTGGCCGTGGAAGCTGTTCGTGTAAGTTGAAAGTCGTTCTCTTGTCTTTTATTGTCTCTGTCTTACTTTGCTTACCGTAGTTGGAAGATCTGGATAAAGAGGCTGTACAAAGAGGATTAAGTGAGTGTGAAAGTGCCATAAACTCAGCTTCCGATGAAGTCTCCCAAGCAATTGCACAGATTGGAGTGGAAGTACACTCAGCCATGAAAAGTGCACTTGAGAGCTAGTGGAACCAATATCCTGTGATGTTGTTTTTATAAGCTTTTGAAAATAAAGCAAAGTGAGGCTTTGACAATTTTTGAATATCGTTCTTTTCTTTTGTTCCTGAAACTGACAACAACTGTGTTTAGAGAAGGCTTAGATAAACACTCCCACATACCCAACAAAGAGACAATGACATGAAAAGCATATAACGGACTGTTAGAAAATATTTGTGTTATTTTTTCAACTGTTGTTCCATGAACATTTTCTTTGCAGATTGCAACTCTTCTACGGGTTGGAAGCAGTCTGCATAAGGATAGATATTCCTATAGAATGATCGTAGTTCGTCAACCACGTGTTTGGGATAGCCTAATGTTTCAAGGAGAGCGACATGACGTTCACAGATTTCCCGTCGTTCAACATGTCCTTGCTTTTTGCTTACTAAATTTTCAATCACAAAAGGATATCTTTCTTGCATATCTAAATGTTTCAATAATTCTGCCAAATGAACACGAAATGCCAAAGACTCTTGATACATGTCCCAGTAATACATCAATAGCTTCTCAAAGGTGCTTCCTTCACATAATCGATGACATTCATCCTTCACAAATGAAATGATGGATATAGGAAGTTGCTCCAAGTAGCTACAACGCTCTTCTAGGAAATAAGCAAAATGTAGTTTCTTCACCACAAATATATAAAAATCATCATTGCTTGGACTAGAGACTTTGTTCATATTCAATACTATTCTTTCCATATGAACAACTGCCTTCAAAATTAAAACAAGTTTCTCTTCCTTTAACGCCAACTCAAATGCAAGGGTTTGGACAGCCATCTCATCTCCAACATATCTCTCCAAGATACTTATATATTTATTAGCCTCATAAAGAGGATCTCGAATGCTTTCATATAAAGTTTCGCCATTAGGATCTATTTCCATCCAACCAGAACCAGTTGATGAGGAAGTGCTTTTCACTCCATGAGCATTGCCTTCTTTACCTGCTGGACTATCTATCAACAAACAAATCAATCTCAAAAATAGAGAATGAAACGATGGCTTACTCTTTGACTTGTCGTTGTCGTCCTTGTGTATCTTTTTCGACTTTTGTCCTTTCTTTTCTTCTGATAAAGACAAATCCGACAAACTCAAATGCTCTTCATTATTAGACTTTTGCTTTTGAAGTTCAAATATCTCCAAATACAGCCTTACGAGTCCTTTTGCGTTTCTCAAGTAATATTTTTGACCAAACAACTTATCCTCCAGTCGAAGCACTCTAATATATGCTCTCAAGGTTGCCTAGCCACAAATAATAATAAATGACAAAAACAAAAAATTCATTCTACCTACTTTTCTCAAACAATAAGAGTGAAAATCAAACTGATCTTCAATAATATCTTGAAAATGACGCTCTACAGCTTTGAATAATTTTAGAGCTTTTGAAAACTCTTTCAAACGAAAGTGTGACTCAGCAGACTCCAACTCATACCAAATCACTTGCAGGTCGTAAATATTTTGTGATTCTTTTACTCCTTCTTCCTTTGTAAAAAGAGACATCCATGCCTCTGCCAGTGGTATCATATCAAGTCTAAGAGCCAATTGAATACATTGGCAGTTGAGATACCTGTCCATTATACTTGTAAAACTTGATAGTATACAATATAATTCAACTGTGAACTTACCTATCTGCCAAATCCAACTTTCGAGCTTCGTTGGCAAACTGAAGAGACTGGAATATACCACCAGCATGTTTGAATATTTTCGACTTGACACTGTATGCCTCTATCAAAGTAGGTGTGTGTTCAATAGCTTTATTGACACACACAAGCGCCTGTTCCGTATCTGCTTTCATATCAAAGTGCTGTGCGAGAAAGTACAATGACCATAGTACTGCATCTGGCGTCAAATCTTTGCTCTTCGAAATGACTTGCGTATCATAAGATTCTCCATTTTTAGAAGCATTTCTGTCCGTCAACTTACAGTTGTTTAAGCCTTCATGATAAAACTCATTCAAAACTTGCTCTATCATGTTCACCTTTGTATCATTACGATAAAGAGACTTGCAGTCAGTCATCAAAGATGGTACGCCTTGATAGAGAAAACGACTGAAATACTCCTTTACTCTTCGAAGGAATTCTTCTCCAATGGCAACCTCTAAAGTCAGTCTTTCCAAGCTTGACGAATGAGGGTATCGTTGTTGAAGCTCGTTACAGGCTTCCAGAGATATATTTGACTCCAAACAAAAAGAAGACACACCATTGTTCAAAAACTTATCACTACGAAAACTATAGACGACCATATATAGTCGAATGTATTCCAGGTTGTTAGGATTCAGATCCAGCAACTGAAGAATTGCAGTTTCGGGTTCTCCCGAGTATAAATGTTCAAACTCTTCGGTCGAAATACTCTTTGAAAGAAGCAACTGAACAAGAAGATTGGCGCGAAATTCTAAATAAGAAAGTAAATCGATTATCCTTCCTTTGTTTTTCTCCAGATAGTCCAACGAAGCTTTCCAGGCACCCATCTCCTGCAATATCATAGCATGATAGAGAAGAGTCTCGGAAGTTTCATACGCTTCTTCCATTTGAGCTATTTTCGCTTCTTGATTACTTCCCTCCTTTCTTTTATCTGACGAGGCGTCCAAAGAGTCCGAATTCTTGCCAAGAGTACCTTCATAGGACTCCAATATTTTGATTGCAATATCCATCTCGCCTTTTAAATGACAGGCCACTGCAAAACCTAGCCAATGGTTCCTTATTCCGGGTTTGATGGTTACCAGTTTTCTTCTCGTTAACATAAGACCATCATAATCCCTTGTTTGAACCTAAAGGCATTGTCAAGACTCTTTCTAGACAATAAACAAACCTCTAACCTGTAAAAGAGCTAAATCGCGAAGAATTTGAATATTTTCTGGATCAAACTTTAATGCTTGGAGATAAGCCTTTGCTGCTTCCTTATAGTCCTGATCTCCACGGTACAAGAGACCATAAACATGCCAGCATATATGGCTTTTCAAGTCATTTTTTAAACCACGTCGCACTAGTTCGTAAGCTTCTTCCTTTCTGTTTAAAGCGGCGATGACGAGTCCCTTTAGTGCCAAAGTTTCGCCGTGGTTTGGAAACTTTTTCAGTATGCTTTCTGCACACTTGAGGGCCTTTTTATATTGTTTGGTCTCATAATATTTTAGAATATTCTTAAAAGTGGACTGTTCTTTTGACGGCAAAGAAGAGGCGACCATTGAAAACTTTCGAGCATAAGCAAAGCCAACAACCCCACCGCAACTAGTGAAAATAATAACAATGATGAATGAGCATCATTTGCAAGTCTTTCGTTTTATTACAGTTATCAACGAAAACTACAAAAGGAAACATTAACGATGGTTTCTTGTAATATCTTCAGAGTTGGTGCCAAAATTCGTGTCTTCATGGATATTTGTTCGAACCCTATACTCCTTTCTTCGAAGATTACCAGTAGAAAGCGTTAATCGGTTGTCGATGGATGGTGAATGGTTATCCAAACGTGTCGAAGAAACCACGGTTGGAGAGTTCAAGCGATGTAACTGTTTAGCATCTATTCTTTCTGAAAGATTGGGTAAGTTCACCTTTCTCGATGAAACGGTTGTGTCAGAAGAAGCCATTAAAGAAGACAGCGATTGACTGCCACCTCCTCGTAAATTTTGCAAAATTCCATATGTCTCTTCTGATGTTTGCTGTCCACTTTGGCGAGAATGAGAAAATCCACCTCTTTGAAGACTTGTAGCAGATAATGTATTCAAACCAAAGCTTCCAAAAGTAACATTTCTCAGTGGAACTTGACCATTTCTTGGACCTACAGTTTTTGAAAGTTCCCTCGAGTAGTGGTTATCAATATTCTGTCCAGGCTTATTCACTAGTGGTCTATAAGAAGTAGCTGCAGAGTCAGGCATCAGTCCACCTGAGTCTGTTGATAGAAAACTATTATTAGACTGAACATTTCCAACGTTGAAAGAAGAAGCTTTCTGTCCCTGAATATCTGAAGCTACTTCCATTCCTGAATGATAAGCATCTATGGAACTCTCTGAAAGTTCTCGCATAGGTGATTGTTCCATATAGTTTGGCTGTATGCCATTCAAATTGTATTCGTGTTTTACGGCACTTCGATCCATCCCAAAAGACTTGGGAGAAAATAATCCTTCATTATCCCCCCAAGATGAGTTGAGATAGTCTTCTTCATAGGTATGGTTTGACTTGTTCGATGAACTTCGAGATATCAACTTGGAATTATTATGAGACAGTTGTCCTCTTTGAAACGGGAAATTAACAGATGACATATGGTCCTTCCAAAGTGTGTTATAATTATTTGGTAATACATTTTCACGCTTCATCGACTGCTCTTCTCTTAAACCTTCAAAACCTGCTCCATATTTAGGAACACTGCATTTATCTACCTGCTTCCAAATCTCCAAAGGTGAATAATAGGAAGTTGCATTTTCCTGATAATCCTTCCTTCCTGGATCGTCACCAAAAGAAGCAGTACCACTATGATAGGGATTGGATATACCACTTCTTTCAGTCACATACTGCTGTGACCTGTTATTATTCAGTTTTCTTTCAACGAATCCTACCAAGTCATTCAATTGTTTGTTAGAAGCAAATTGGGCTTGTCTTTGTCCAACATTTTCCGGAAACGCAAAAGCTGCATCTTGGGAAGCATTCATACCAGCATTGGATAATATCCGAGGAGACTTGGAAGTGAACATCGTCATTGAACTTGGATCAGAAGTCGATCGAAGCATATTCATGGCATTGATATTCCACTCCATTCCTTCGAATTTTTCCTTGGCTATCACTTCAGTATTCGACTTGTTTACAGTTTCTCTTTGCTGTTCAGAAAGATTCGAAAATATTTTCGTTTGTTCTCCGAGACTTTTTCCTTTTTCAACCGACTTTGTTGATTTTCGCTTTCCTTTGGAGTCACCACTTTTCATTGATGGGCTATTTACATGTTGAGCTGGATACTTCATCTTGGAACCTCCCAAGGAAGATGATTGCATGGTTACTTGTTGCAGTTGTTCTGGAGATAGAGATGACGAATTATGCGTCATATTATGGTTTGGTATACTATTTGGCAAACCTTTTGAAGATACGAAACGCCTCGAATAAGGCGAGGATAACGAAAAAGCTGTTTGAGATGGAGCCGCAATTGGCAATTTGGAATGCGATGAATGATTCTGCATTTCACTTTTCATATGCTGAATGTTGTTTCCTTCCATCAAAGCATTGTTCTCGACTTCAGTTTTTCCAGTTGGTGCTAACCCTGAATACTTTGTGTCCAGTATATTCGCTTGAGCGACTGGACCCAGTCGGTTCTCTTGGCTGGGTCTCGATAGTCTTGGAGCTGCAGAAGAAGTAGCTCTGGGATAATAAGCATTATTCCAACTCATGTTGCCATTCCTTAACGTAGAAACATCAGGACTACCATTATCCATCCTAACAGCATTCATCTTGGAACGAAACACAGCCGAAGCAACCGCAAGTTCAGCTTCACCTTTGGAAACTAGCAAAGACCCAGACTCAGTCAAAAAACTATTATTTCTAACATCCTTCCCATTTAAATAAATAGCATCTCTCAAACGTCTTTGCCTTTCTATATTATTCCCTTCAAAGTTTCTATAGAAAATTGTCATTCAAAATGCAAATAAGATCGAAAGAAATTATCTCAAACCTTTTCTTCGCCAGCAACTGTAACGCATTCTCAAAGTGACGTTCATTCTGTACACGTTCTTGAGAAAGGTCAACATGATTGGGAAATTCTTTTAAGAATGCCCGATCTTGTTGAACTTTGTTCAAATCGTGCATACCCGCAACGTATGATGTACAAATATTCATAAGAGAAGCCAACAAATCATCCGTTTCTTGAACAGAGCCTTCCTTTCTTGCATTCAGAGAGTCATTGTTGGAGGATTTCTTATCCTTTTGCAGTTTCGATTTGGAAGAGAACGTAGAAATATCTTCAGATTGCGACCTTCTTCTCTTCCTTCTATTCTGCGGGTATTGCAATACTCGACATTCCAAATGTCTTCTTCTCTCCTTATCCTTTTGTCGTAACTGTGCAACGTCTTCATCATCACCATAAAAAAACGGTGACAGAGGACTGCATATATTACGATAAACATTTAAAGACAACTTCCTCTCCTTGTTACTTATGACTTCCTTCTCAAGTGAAGTATCCGTCTCATTATATTGCTGCACTCCATCGCAATTTTGTACTGAACTGGAGTGAAATACAATCAGATGGTTCCCAAAGCTCTCAACACTAACTAAGCGAAAGCATAACTTGCATTTCAACACTTTTGCCCAACTATCAAAAGCTTCTTCTCCACTGACAAATTCTTCCAATCTGTCGTTTCCAACAAGACGACTTGTACACTCAGGCTCTTTAGAACATCTTAACGAATAAACCCATTCATCTAATACTGTGGTGACATTTTCCCACGTATTCCTATTCCAAGTTTCTCCAGGTGGAAGTAGCTCCAAGGTTCTTTCCATAAATTCATTATTTTCCAACGAGGAACATTTGCATCGAATGAACCGAATAAGATCATCTATGGCGAACGACTCCAAATCTTCTTCCCTCAAGTTTTGCAACATATTTGGAGAAAAGAAATCTAACGAGACTTTCTTTTCAAGCGAGTTCCCTAAACAAGTGGGTAGTATTTTACTTTCAAGCACTTGTTCTTTTTCCGTTATTATAAAGTCTGCTTCTTTATCCATGATAGAACGGGATATACTCGTATACCACGCGCAAACCCTGTCGTAGAAACAAACGAAAATATTCCCTCTCAAAGAAAAACTTAAAAACAATGGTGCGTACAGTCAGGAAAAGAGCACATTACAACAATAATATCAAAAGTTATTTTGCTTTTGTCACAACTGAAGTGGACTGACAACGTTAAATGCCTTTGGCCAAAAGGAATATACAATTGCTGTTGTGCTGATATTCAAATAAGAAAATATGGCTCTACGTTCAGGTCCTATAGCACTTGTAGGATTTTCCTTGATTGCTGTATTCACTATATATTATGTGCATAGTTCACAGAAGCAACAGAGAGAAAGGATGAGAAGAAATATTTACAGAGAACTGTTGGAGGAACGACGTTCAAAAGGTGCTTGAAGAACTTTGTTTGGTACGAGGTACTTATAAGCAAAACAGCGGCGAAGGTTATGAAAAGTCACATACATGGAGTTGGAATAAATAAAAGTCTTTTGTTCAGAACCCAAATAATTTTTAGCGTTTGTGCTCAAACCCACAAGTTTTTCTGTTTGGTGGGAAAATAGCATTGCCATCTAAAAGAATATCCTCTTGAAATATTGCAAAGTATGGCACGTGTCCAGAGCCTAACAACCGAAGACTACAGACAAAACTTAGAAAATGGCTTCATTCAAATGGTTAACTATGAGGAAGAATTCAACTCGCAAGTTTCTCAGTTCGTACGAGACGTTGGACTCTATAACGCTGACTTGGACTATCACGTTGTGGCAGTAATGGGGTGTCAGTCAAGTGGCAAGTCAACCCTTTTGAACTTACTTTTTGGAACCCAGTTTCGAACTATGGACGCAAATACAGGAAGGTACCAAGTGACTCAAGGAATTTGGTTGAGTAAAGATAAGGACTTTCCTATATTGGTTCTCGATTTGGAAGGAACAGATAGCAGAGAAAGAGGAGAAGAAGCAGCAAGTTTTGAAAGAAAATCAACTTTGTTTGCTTTGGCTGTTGCTGACGTGCTTATTGTCAACATGTGGGCACAAGACGTTGGTCGTTATGTGGCTGCCAACCTTGCACTTTTGAGAACAGTGTTGGAGTTGAACTTGCAGCTTTTTCAAAATGACAGAGAGCATCGCAAGACCAAATTGTTATTTGTATTGAGAGACCACGTGGAGACTTCTTTGGACTTGTTAGCCAAGACTATTCGAACGGATCTTGAGGAGACCTGGAAAAACTTGCAAAAGCCTTCTCAGTTTGAAAACTCTACGGTAGAAAATTTTTTTGAGCTGAAGTTTGTTTCGTTACCTCATATGGTCTTGAAAACTGAGGAGTTCAAAGCCGCTGTGACGAACTTGAGAAATCAGTTTCATATAAAGGGAAACTCTCCGGACTCTATGTTTCCAGAAAGTTATAGAAGATTGGTTGCCGCGGATGGTTTTACGACTTATGCCAATAATATATGGGAAACTATTCGCTCCAACAAAGAAGTTGACATTCCGTCACAGAGGGAAATGTTGGCAACCGTTCGTTGTGAAGAAATTGCCGAAGAAGTTTATTTGAATATTCATCATAAGTTTCAAAATTGGAATGAGACTTTCGATATGTTAAAACGAAACTCTAAAGGAAACTTTGAGGACTTGTATGAAAAGCTGATCGATGACCTTGGAGATCAAATTTGGCAAATTATGATGGAAGCCATAGAAGCGTACAACAATGGCACAAAGCGATATATCTCTAGTGTTTCAGAAGCCAAAAAAGTCAAATTGCAAGAACGTATAGAAGCAGAAGGAAAGGAATTGTTTCTCCGACAGCTTTCGTTGGTTGAAGAGCACGGTTTGCTGTTTCTAGAGAAAGAATTGGAACATTTAGCTTCTAGAACTAAACCTTGGATAGATTTCCAAACTCAAGTTTGCCATTTATTAGAAAAGTTTTGGAAAACTTTTAGAAATATTGCCAGCTGTTCTTTAGGAGAGGCCAAACTCCTTTTTAAGGAAGTGATACAAAGCAAAGAAGAAGAGTTTGAGCAACGAGAGCAGAAAATGGTGGAAAGATTCCGTCGTAGTGTAGTAGATAAGACGATTCAAGTATGTGTAGAGAAGACAGGTTCACAGTTTCGAAATTTGTTTATAACAACTTTGGAGAATAATCCACAGGATATTTGGTTATCATTGAATAGACCTCTTAGTTCTATAATTTCAGAGTCATTGAAGGAACTTGCGATATGCCTAAATGAAATTTGTTTGGATGAAGATCGTAGAATGTCGATTTTAAAAAATGTTCTGACAAGGTTCGAAGAGGAAATTGAGCTGAGAGTAAAAGATTTGTTGTCCTCCAACTCAGTCACAATGTCATACCTTTACCGTAAGTTTGACAACTGCTTTCGTAAGGACAGTAGAGGCGTTCCGCGTGTCTGGAAGCCCGGAGATGACTTGGACTCCTTATATTTGGATGCCAAACGGGAGACCCAATCATTATTGATTACTTTATCAGAAGCGAAGTTAACTATTTCACTTGAGAATTTACGGAATGAAGTTGCTATTGAAAATCTTTCAGACTTGATGCATGACTCTGAAATTGTTTTTGAAATTTTTTCCGTGGAAAGGAGAAATACATTGGAAGAAAAGTTGGAAGACTATGCAAAACTTGCGTATACAGAAGCCAAACGTTCACAAGAGACGATTCATACTCGTTCCCAGATTCCAAGTTGGCTATATATTGCTCTCTTTGTACTGGGTTTCAATGAAATGAAGATGGTGTTACGAAATCCTTTGTTATTATTATCCGTTTTGCTTATTCTTCCTGTGCTTTATGTTCTTGTGCAAGCGAATTTACATAGCATGTTGTTTTCAATGGTGCTTTCCAAGATGGAGCAATATTTACCCGTACTTCAAGGAAGGATGCATTCAGTTACGTCCACGGAAACCATATCTAGTGGAGTAAACTTGCAGTCTTCTTTTGATTCACCTATTCCTAATCGAGTTACTGGGAACGGAACAGCGAAAACAACTGGTATCCGACTAAGAAAGCCTAACCATTTTTCCCAGGAAACAGTTAGCAGACGAAGAAGAAACAGTGCTGGAAGTGAATAAACTTCTTTCATTACCTAATAAAACGAACCGGGGTTCAACTTTGTAGAAAATTCTCTCAATACGAACTTGATTTTATATACAAACAAATCAAAACAAGTCATGTAGTAGACTTATAAAACACAGTCAAGCCTTCTCTCTCTTTTCAAAGATGCAAATAAACAAGCAAAACAAAAACATTATATAACATGGAAACCGACAAAATGACTTAAAGCGGCAATTTGGTAGAAAATAACATCTTTTGTCGGTACTAGATCACATTCTAAAGACGTTTGTTCACTGAACGAACAGTTGGACGATAGCGGCGTCTTCTGGAACCGCTACTGTGATAATGGGTAATGACTGGTTGACCTCCAGGTTCACCATCCACATATACAGCTGAAACATCTTCTAAATCTGGAAGGTCAAACATAGAGTCCAAAAGCAAACGCTCCAAAATTGCTCTAAGACCTCTAGCCCCAGTCTTCTTTTCAATTGCCTCATGAGCAACTAGCCTCAGCGCTCCTTCAGACATGTGCAACTCTACACCGTTCATAGCATACAATTCTTGAAACTGTTTTACTAAGGCATTCTTTGGTTGCGTCAAAATAGAAACCAATTGATCCATGGTCAATGAATGGACTCCAAGTGTTATTGGCAATCTACCGACAAACTCTGGAATTAGACCATATTTTATAAAATCCTACTATCTGTCAGTTCTTTGCTTTATCACGTTCATTTCAACTTACGGTGCTTTCAACATAGTCAAGGATGGAGGCATCCAAATCTCTATTGGACTGTTGTCTTACCATTGCTCCAAATCCGATACTGGCTGCTGCCAAACGATCTGCAACAATCTTTTCGAGCCCTGCAAATGCTCCACCGCACATAAAAAGAATATTCTTCGTGTCAATTTGAATAAATTCTCCTCGAGGATTCTTCCTTCCGCCTTTCTCTGGAACATTGACAACTGTTCCCTCTAACATTTTCAGTAGTGCTTGTTGAACTCCTTCTCCTGACACATCTCTAGTAATACTGACATTTTCAGACTTCTTTGAACATTTGTCTATTTCATCAATATAAACAATGCCTTTTTGCGCGAGAGGAATGTTGAAGTGAGCAGCTTGCAAGAGCTTGTACAGGATACTTTCAACATCCTCCCCAACGTACCCGGCTTGCGTAAGCGTTGTTGCGTCAACTATGACAAACGGTACATTGACTTGCCTAGCTAAAGTCTTTGCAAGAAGAGTCTTTCCTGACCCAGTTGGTCCTATGATCAAAATATTGCTTTTCTCCAGTTCCACTTCGTGTTCTGTTACTGCTTCTGGACTGATACTAATTCTACTTCCTCCGGCTTTGCTAGTGGCATTTGAACCCGCTGTACCTGTAGAAGCGGTATAGCTTCCTGCCAAAGAAGCACCGGAATGAATAATAGAGTGTCTTGCAGGAAATCCTAGCCTCTGTGGCACTATTGAAGCCAGGTCCTCTGAGGAAGGGGATTGAACTTCACTCACGCGAAAATCTTGAGCCCTGGCATCGAAGTTACTTGCAGTTCCATTCCCTCTTGCAGTTGTATCACTGACTTCCCCTGTTTCTGCGGAGATGGAAGTAAGATATTCGTTCAGGGCAACTCTCTTGTAGTGATTGTAGACTGCAACAGATAGAACTTTCTTTGCCTTCTCCTGACCAATGACATAGTCATTAAGGCCCTCATATATCTTTTTAGGGGTAGGAAAGTTTTGTATCGTGTTCCTTAGAGTCTCCGTGTATTCATCTCCAAAACAAGAGTCATCTGCGGCTGCATTGGCAGTGAAGGTGCACCTATCCCTGGTTCTCAGACACTTCGCCATTGACTTTTTGTTAACTTACCTAAAAGTAGTATAGACGGCTGCTTTATTATACCGAAGAAAACAATCTAGTTTGTACTGCCACTTGCTGGATGACAAGAGCCTTCGTTCCAGGAGAAGAGGAAGAAACATACCAACCATGAGGTCTCCTTAACGGGAGATTGCAATTTTTGGGCGCCAAAATGTTGTATCGGGTTTGATGCAGTTTCAATTCAGGAATCAATTGACTTTGAAAATATTTCTGACTTGTCACTTTCTATGACTCGAAATGACGCAGGAATAAGCGAAAGTAAAACTGAAGAAATTCAAGCAATATGCATCAAGAAGGCAGTGAGCTCAGTTTTGATGCCTCTCATGGCTGCAGGTTGTAATCCTATGTACTGGCTCGGTGGTTCAAAGAAGAAGAATATGAAAACTGAAGCATACAGCTGTTTCTGCAAGCTTTTTGCAGAAAAACCTTAAAAAGACATCTATTGGCTTGTAAAAGAAAATCATGCATCCTAAAGTTTTGATCAGGCAAAAATGCGAGTCCTCAGAACATTTTGTCTCCTCTACTCTGAAAATCAACACATATGCGTGACCCAACAAACAGAAGATTCTTAAATGTACTTGTCTCCTTCGCCTCAAAGTTCTTTCAAATTCAGAGTCATTGCAACGATACATATATTCAACTCACTTTCCATTTTAGTCCTTGGTCTGTTACAACTTTAATCAATGATGAAAGATAAACTTCCATCAACTGAACATGGTTTTGCAAACTGAACTGCGGAATTATTCTATTGAAATCACATTTCAATTTGTATTGTTTGGTTTTCTTTGATAAATATATTTAAATTCTTTGAAGATGTTCAAAGTCAAACCAATGTTGCATAAACCAAAACATTTCAAACAAGAGAAAATGTTACGGCATGACATTTAAGCACAATGGCTTTCATATGCAGTCTTATCTACTTGTCCTTGAGAATATTCGATCGTACAAGTCTCATTTTGAGCATATTTTTCTCTTCATCGCATCAGCTCTTTCTCAAATTTACCAATTAAGGCAACTAATGAAGAATACCAGAAAAAATTTTTCGAGCAACCACGAAATGTTCTCAAATTTTTCAAACTATGTAAGTTTGTCAGCAAACACCCTTTCAGGTGATCATTTTCTAGTTTCAAAGCTATCAACTACTGCGGGCTATTAAAATCTGAAAATACAAACTCAAAATGTAGACAAAATAGAGTGAATTTTACTCCAACACTGTCAACTGTCATGGAGAGAATATTTCAACGTATAGTTCACAAAGAAATAGCAAAATTCCTTGAGGTCAGTGTTACTTGTTTTTAAACTTTTCCTTTCTTCCAGCAATTCTAACTTCAGTCTCGTCGCATATACCTTGAAGCCAAAAGGAGTCTGAAGCAATGCCACAAGAGTCAGGCTTCTGAAGATACTCTACAATGCGTCATTGCAAGTTGTGAGAATAAATGGATATGCATTCTTATTCAAGAGCTATCGCGTTTCTACCCTATGCCACTGCTTTGCGGTCCCAATTTTGCTCATTAAAAAGTTGGAAATACTCTCCTTGGGAAGAAATGAACAACCAAATATGTTCAAACACATTGTGCGAAGATCATTTGTGATATTGTCTTTGATGAAACTTTTCAAACCCTAATATTTTCTAAAATGTATTTCCTTATTATTCCAACTTGCAACGGCTCTTCAAAAATGAAACATTTTAGTGCAAATGAAGAGAAACTTGAAACTTTGAACCGTATGTATAGATTGCATTCTCATAAAGTCCAACCTTAGAAGGATAAGAAAATATCTAAATGAGAAACCCACTCAACTTGATCTGACTTGAGTTTACTTCACATTCATGACATTCGAACTCACGATTTCCCGTTTTTGTCGGCTAAGTTGCATTCCTTTCCGGCATTCTTGAAGATACAATTGATTGTTTAGCCTCAAAGGTTTCCTCTGTATTTTGTATGTTTGCAATTCGCTACCATTTCGGCATTAAAGTCTCCTTCCCAAAATTATCTTGTCCTTTGAGTAATAACGACCTATTTGCAGACTGAAGCAACTACTCTCTTTTGAGCAAGAAATACTTTCATAACTTTTCTCAATCAGATTGTTCCGTCATCAGATAACGGTACAGACTGTCCATAATAAATACAAAACAGCATGAACTGAAGACAACGTTGCGCGAGAATCATTAATCACAATGTCAATGATTCCTTTGAAAAATTCTTCCATTCTTTTTCAATGAATCCTCTCCAGAAGTTACTTCTTCATTCTACTTCAAACGAAAACAATGTAACGTTTTTGTCCATCATACATAAGGGTACAACAATAGCATCTTTCATGATTGGTGTCTTATAACATTTCGTTAAGAATTTCAAATAAGAGACATTATCCTTTTCAATAAAAAACACTCTTCAAATAACAGAGTGTACTATCAGATAGGATTTTTTAATAAAGACATTTTGGCAAGCAAAAGATACTTGTGAATAAAAATTCAAATAAGAGTCATTCTTTTTGAAGTTAAAATATCGGGAATATAAACAAAGATGAAGGCCAGAGATTAGTAGCCGCATTCAAATCCTCATGCTTGCTTTGAGCTCTCATTATAAATTCACAGCTATTAATCTTGAAACCACCAGTAGAAATATCAGTCTCTGCACCTTCAAATTCAGTACAGGAGCCAGAGGATGAAAGAAAATCGAACCTTGTTCTATGGAGCTCCCTTTGACTATAACTCTCAAATATAGTCCAGGGCAGGCAGTTGTACGAAACGAATCGATGAGACGATAGGCTTTAGATTCTCGAACTTCCGGAATAAGAAAAGTGCTAGGTTCCAATTTCATAATTTCAAATACGTTGTCCACAAAATCCTCCATATTTTCAGCAATAACTTTTTTGATTCCTCGGTTCTTGACATTTGGACCAAACCCAAAAGATATTTTTCAAATCAGCGGAATTCCTGCAGTCTTCTTCCACAATCGTTCTACAGGTAGCTCTCGTGAGTCATCTGAGAATAATATTGTCTCTTAAAAGGACACTAAACAAAACTTTGGAGGCTCAAGATTGGACACGCCAATATACGCAGAGTCATCTTTCTCAAGCGAGCCTCATATAAACGGCTCAGATTCCAGCAGTTCAAACAGCCAAGTAAATAATTACTTTTCCTGCTTCAAGAAGCACACGTACAATCCGACAGAACTTGCAAAGCGACATATTGTTGCTCATATTTTTCAACTATTTCGCTAACGTGCTCTTTTAAGCCGTTTATTTCGTTCAGTTCGTCCATCATAGAAATAAAGGCTCTGTCTGAAAGTCTTGGAGAAGGTGCTCTACAAACAAAAAAAGGCTTCGTTGTTTCGAGGCTGCAATAGGGAATTCAGCATTCTTTTCAGTAGTCTTGCTGTGCACCGGGCAAATAACCCAAGCTACTCTGAACAGAAGACTTGGCAGGACTGTGAATACTGAACACCCACGAAAGAGCTGCCCTGTTTCGAGAGACGTGAAATTATGAGTTCTACAAAATGCTTCTAAGAATTGGCTAAACCGTTGGAGATTTAGTACTAGTTATGTAGTCCTTCGACTGACTCACTGTGTAGACGATTGGGTTAGCAAAAAACCTACCAAAAATTTGTCTTGGAAATAAATACCGAGCATAGCTGCAAGAGGGTTGATTCAATAAAGTTCTATCATATTCTCTCTTCTAGAGGCAATTTGTACAGCTTCTTATCTTTCAATAGATGGTTCTCTCAAACCTAGTATATATAAAGACTAACCCAATTTCCCACCCTTTTTACTGAAAGAAGCAATCAAGATTAGAGCTCAAGACAAGATATTCTGCGTTTCCAACTTGTTTCTTTATGAAAAGTAACTGCTTTGTTAAAGTATGGGGAGTTTGAGAACAAGAAATAGATAAAATGCTTGATTTTGCAAAGTTGCCCTACGTTTATAAGAAAAGAATCCTTTCTGTAACAGCGAAGAAAGAGAAACGAACGGAAACTAAAAAGATATCAACAATAGAGCAAGTTTGGCACTATAGGAAACTGTTGTTCTAGAAAAGCGAAGCAAAGAAATCTTTCAAGTCGCTGTAAAGAAGCCACTGTCATTGGCTTTATGTTACCCGATGCTGGGTAACAAATGCTTCATGTTTAAGGCACTATTCCCAATCTTTCAAGATTAGAAAATCCTTGAAGAGATTTGAGAAGCTCAATTTGCGAGTTTTGCTAATATTCGAAAACTCGTCTAGTGCTTTGTTATTAGATCCTTCAGTACGGACAAAATACTTTTTCTAAACTATAACATGGAGTAAGGGTAATATGGTGTAATTTTCTCAACATTCCTCACTAGATATACTCTACCATCTTCATTTGATGATTTAAACTCTGAGAACAAGTTGAAATACAAACTTGGAATCGTAGAGAACCCTTCAGTACGCTCGTCTAGTCGGATGAAAAAGTAGCGCAGTATTCTTTCTAGAGACAAGCAGAGGAAGACGAAAGACAAACAAGAATATATGTAGCAACAACTTTTCAAGTTTTGAAGAGTGTACAAAGTCCAATCTATTTCGTCGTTTTCAAGTAGAAAATAGAGCTTTAAAGTCAGAGTTCAGGTTCGTTGTTATTAGCTTCATTTGTGTATTATACAGCACGAAACAATGGAGTTTGTCATCCAAATCACAAAACTGTGGTTAGAAGAATGAATTTTTCAGAAGTTTGATATAGTTTTTGACAGTGTTATATAAAAGAGCCCCCGACTTATAACAACTTTTGAAAATTATTTGTTTTAGAAAATTTCTGAGATATTAAAACAAGATATTCCTAAATATTTCTGGAAAGAGATAAAACTATTTCTTGTAGGGTTGAAATGCCAATATTTCTCGAATGTGGATTATCCACAGATTTGAAAGCGTTCCTTAAATTCGATAAAATGTCTTTGCCAATAAAGTTTTCTACATCGGCTTCAGAAAGAATAACCAATTCACAGTTGTGAGGAATCACGAAATCTTCAACACTATCGCCAGATGAATAACAACGACTAGAATGATTCAAGTCCTCAGATACGTTGGTTGCTAACTGAGTACTCATAATAATCAACATACAATGCCATGTAGGATGACTAGTCAATACTTGATCATGCACTGGTTTTAAAAACTTGTGAGCGTCTTCCAAAATTTCATTCCATCGAATACCATTACGACTCCATCGGCCTTTACAAGCAATACCCACAATCATCAAGTTCTTCTCATTCGTTCTTCCATGCAACTTGAATAATATATCTGGACTATGGAATGTTGAATGAAATGGAATATATATCTTTTCAAGTTCTAACATTTCTTCCACTATCCTTTCCCATTCATCATTGCTTCCAAATGTCATTCTCTCTGTTCCTAATACAGCTCTGGTATAATGTATAGATTTCATATAATAAGCAGCAGATTCGGAAGAAAATTGTAAATTCATTTCATTCCAAACACGAGACAATTGACCAAGAGTAGAAAACATTGAGCTGTTCGTAGGACGCCGAGAAAAATGTAAATAAAACAGTGTAGCAATAAGACCTTCCAAAATTCGACATTTCGACTCATAAAAGAAATCAACAGATTGAGACTTGAGAGTTTGTAAAAGTAACCATTCTAAACGATCATCCTTTAAGCCTTGGTCAATATATTCAATCAGTAACTTGGGTATCAACACTTCATAGCGTTCGTTGCGGTCTGGTTCTATAACCAATCGACGATAGAGACACATATCTGTAACTAGATCAAACAAAAACACATCAGAATTTGAGCTTATTTGCACAGTTTCATCAAAATCAAATCGAATACGATACAAAGATAATAACGTAAGCATTCTTAACAAGCGCTTACGCTGCTCACTGAGACTTATCAGACGAGGTAAGAATGGCGCAACACAATAATTTGTTACTGAAAGATCATTCATTATGATCAAGAAGGTTTCCTTAGATAATAAGAAATTGTTGTTGGATGATTTATACAGCAAAAGGTAACTGATTGCTCGAACAAGTAAACCAGGAACACCACCAGTCAATTCCAACAACAATTCTGCAAGTTCACTAGTTGAGAAGTCTTTGTGACAAAGAATTTCTGAAACCTTTGGGCTCCCAGGGAATAAAAAGGAAGAACTTTTCTCCAAATGTTCCACGATACTATGTTTCTCAAGCGGCGAAAGAGGAATAAACACTAACTGAACCCTTGAGACTGAAGCTACGTAATTATATATATTTAAGCCTTCACTTTTCCCAACAACAATAAAAAACAAGTCGGGTTCTTTGCACAATTGACTAATGATACCGAAAAAGTCATTGTAAGGTCGATAGCTGCAAGTT